GCCAACATGATTTTCCCATGGTGGCCAAGTGCCACGACAGCGGAAGCCTCTTACGCCATGGTGCTGCACAGCACAAGTCATGAAGAGTTTCAGTGTATTTTAATAGATCCTGGAGCCTATACCAACCTTGCCGGACTGCATTGGGTACGCCGGCTCGCTCAGAAGTGCCACGCCTTGAACCTGCCTGTAACACAGAATCAATTACACTCCCCGCTGTCCATCGCAGGCGTAGGAAATGGCACGCAGCAATGCACCTGGTCAGTGCGCCTCCCTATAGCTGTTCCAGCTTCGCGTGACGGCGTTGAGGCCACCGCAAGCTGTCACTTCGAAACTCCTGTGGTTGGAGGAAGTGGAGCAAATCTGCCTGCGCTGTTGGGTCTTAGATCACTTCGAGCAAAGAATGCCATCCTCGTTCTCAGTGAACGAGACGAGGACCTTAAGTTGTTGATCCCCGGCCCAGGCGGATGGGAATATGAACTAAGCCCAGGTTCCGTGGAGCATCGCCTCATGACAGCACCGTCAGGACATCTTCTGATGAGATGTGACTTGTACGAGAAATCCAAGACAGTGCCGCTCAAGGATCCAGGAGTTTCTTTCCTTTCAACACCAGCTCACCAGCAGTCAAGCGGTGCTGAAAGCACGCTTAGCGACGCTGATTTCGGCCATGGGCTGGCACAGAGGTCTGTGGAACAAGTGCCAGGCCCATCGTCTTCATCCCGTTCCTCCACTGCGCCCGCCTTCCCTGTGCAGCGGACGATCGCGCCAGGACCTGTGCAGCGGACGATCGCGCCAGGACCTGTGCAGCGGACGATCGCGCCAGGACCAGGCAGCAGTGGGGAGTGATGCCACGTTCAGTTGAAGAGGTTGAGCGCCTAACGTCCGAAGCCCTAGATGCCAAAGATTTTTCATCTAAGCGGTGTGAGGCATTGCTTCGGGCGGTTCCATTCCCGGCCCGCACACATGTGCGCTCAGCGCAACAGCATCAGGAGCCGACAAGGAGCCTTACTTTGGGGTTATATTCTCATGGTAATCAGATAGGCCTGACCTTGAATACGGACAGGTATCCCAAAATCTGTCAATACTTGAATCGGTTCATGCGAGCCGGTCATCCTCGTGGGCATTGGACTTCGCTGCACATCAACTGCAACTCACCAGTAGGTCCCCACAGAGACAATCACAACTTGATGGGAACGGTCAATGTAACAACAAGTCTCGGTCCCTTTACAGGGGGGGAGCTCTGGCTGGAGATATCCAGTGCAGAAGCGCAGCACCACCCAGACGTACTCTGGCTCACCAAGGATGACGGCTCTCAGGTGCCAGGTGTGGCCGTTGACACACGGAATAAGTTTGTAGCATTCTGCCCAAAGCTTAGCCACGCAGTGCTCCCTTGGAAAGGATGCAGGTTTTCCATCACCTGTTACACCTCCCGTGGTCTCGAGCATGTGCCTTCGCAGTGTGTCAGGGCCCTCCGTGACCTCAACTTCCCATGCATTCCATTCCGTGAAGCGGTTGAGCGCCCTGTTGGCGAACCCGCTCGGCAGTACACGGCGGCTGAGCGCTTCGACAGCGATCCCGCCGGTTCTAAAGGCGAAGTCTCAAGCAATTTGCGCAGATCCACTGACGCTGTGCTGTCGGATACCTCATCCAGTGTTGCTGTGGTTGTTGAAGAAATGCCGGCCGCATCTTTGTGTCTACAACAGCATGGGTGGAAAGTGGCGCAATACCATCCCAGCCATGTCAACTCATCAGGCACAGCTTCACTTGCGCAACAGCTGAAAAGTATGCAGGTGCAGGCGCTGTGGCTGGATCTGCCTATCCCGGGCAGGCACGTGCATAAGGACCGCCTCTCCTCGTATATGACACAGCTTTGTGTGTGGCTTCGTTTGTGCCGCGAGCTGGGCATCCCAGCGGTCTTGTTCGGGCCTCATGGAAAGGGCTGGCTCTCACCTGCGGTTCAAGACCTCGTGGCTAGGGGCCAGCTGGTTAAGTCGTACCACCGCATATGCGCCTGGTCCCTGAAAATAGATGCCCTGCAGGCCGAGCCAAGCTCCACATGTTTTGTCGCAGCTTGTACGCCCCTGGGCTTGCCAGGGCACCCATGTGTTTGTTCGCAGCCACAATCTCAGCATAAACTTGATTGGGTTGCAGGCACTCAGCCTCACCAACGCCGCTTGCGTGCGCAGATGCATGCTGCAGTGGCATGCAAGGTGGCTGAGCAGTGGCTAGCACAGCAGCTCAGACAGAGCACACCCGACATTTCCCAGTCATCTTACGGCTCGGCGACGGCCTGCACTGGTGCAGTCCGTCGATTTCCCCCTGCCCGAGCTGGGCCATGCGAGCCGTTTTTTCCAACTGCTGATTCTCCTTCTCCTCACTTCACGGCGGCAACCTCCGCCTCCGCAGTGTCGATGAAAAGGGCGACTGCCCCAAGTCAGGAGTCCGGTGCATTTGATACATCGAGACGGGCAGTAGCCCCAGACTCCCACTTGTCGATTTCTGCTCAGGCATCTCATCCCACTGAGGAATCAGCATTCCCCACCGACGCTCGAGTACAGCAGAAGGCTCACCTCAAGGCTCTCAAAGAGCAGGGCCTAAAGCCCCGGACCCGCAAGGTCATGGTAGAAAGCCACTACGACGACTGCGGCACCAGCCTGGAAAGCCTCGCTGAATTTCTGCCTGCTGGTGTGACCGTCCATCCTGCTCATTGGGCAATCTATCAGCACACCCAAAGCCTCCCTCCTTACTGGCTGTTGGGATCACCTGCAGGTCCCGGCCTACCGCCACAGCCCCTTTCGTGCCACCTCATCGAAGGAGTGGAGCCAGGCTTAAAGATGTTGAGAGAGTGGCCAGCTGGTGATTCGGAAATTTGCACACTGTCAGGTGGACATGAGCACACCGCGTTATGGTGCGTACGCAGACGGGTGGGGCTTGACAAGTATCTTGAAATGGCCGCCTTAATCGACCCATCAGATCCTAAGCTTAGACCAGGTTTAAGGGAGTATGTTCTCTTTTCACGCCCCCTGGTATGCGTCCTTCTACCCACGTGGGTTTCGGATAGGCCTAATCCTTTAACCCCAACGTGTGAAGACCTCGCCACTGTGCAGAAGCACCAGGCGCGCCATTTTCTCTGTGAGCAGCCCTGGACTAGTCACCTAGGGCACTCGCAAGGGTGGTGGCAGTTCTTGCAAGCTCCGGACCATTTCTACATAGACGTGGCCGATCGTGCAACCTCCTACTCGTTTTGGGCCTCCCATGCATATCTTCTCAGGCCTCTCCGCAACCATCCCTGGAGCCCTGAAAGTACTGAACCTCCGCAAGTGTGGAGCAACAGCTTAGCCACCAGTGTGATGGATGGCCTTAGCCTTCTATGCGCAGCCGAACAACTCACACAGGCCTACCCATCGTCAGCTGCAGGCCCCGATGCCGAATCGGATCAAGTCCGATCTGACGAGGGCTCTGAATGGTGGCGAGCTTGTCCGGGTTGTAGGGGGCGGCAAAACAAGCACGACGACAGGCATAACCGTGTGCCTGGTCAATGCAGATACCCCGATGCCGAGGCACTGACGTGGAACTGCCCCGGCTGCCGTACACACCGGCCCCGTGGGCATCCGACGCACACCATGGGACCGGATTGCAAACACGTCATCATAGCCGAACGCAAGGGGCAGCCAAGGCAGGGTCGACACCCGCGGGCACCAGCCCGCAAGGCAACCGATGATCCGTCCAAAGATCTGCAGGCGCAGCTCCCGGACGCTTCGGATCTTGGCGCAGCTGAGGAGGCCGAAGCTGCAGCAGCGGACCCAGCATCTTCTTCAGGAGCCGCTGCCTCTTCCTCAGCACCTCCTCCACAGGCGGCTGCGGAACTAGAACCATCTGGCGAGCCCCATGAGCCTGAGAGTTCCGCTGTTCCCGCTGGGAGAGGACCGGACCATACGCCGCGTGTGAGAAGAACCTTCAAAGATGCCGGAGTCGGCCAGGAGGTCCCCTCAGATTGGAGCCGTTTCGACATCAGCCGCTCCATGCGCGTCCTTCGTGTCGGCAACGAGAGGGCCATCCGACTAGAACTGCGTAAACTGCACCTTCGCTTCTGGCATGCCTCCCGCCAGTCACTGGAGCAAATCCTGAAGGCAGCAGGTGTTCCCCAGCGCATTTTGGCATATGTGCCCGACATAATAAACACTTGCCAGGAATGCCGGAAGTGGCAACGCCCTGGTCACGACACGCAGCATGCACTCACGGCCAGTCTTAAGTTCAATCAACACGTAGAGTTTGATCTCTTGTTTTACCGCAGTTTCGTGGTATGCCACCTTGTGTGTCGGGCTACCAGATGGCATGCAGGCTGCGCTATTCCCAGCAAAGAAGGCGAAGTGCTGTATGAAAACATCAACACATGCTGGATTGGGATACATGGACCCATGCAGCAACTCATTGCCGATGGCGAGTCTGGCCTTTGGAGCGACACTATCGCCCAGCGCATAAAACGCCAAGGCATTGAGATGAAGCTGCGGGCCCCGCAGCAACACGCTCGATACATCGAGCGCCGGGGAGCCATCCTCCGGGCCACTCTCCATGTAATGGAGGAACAACTTGAGCATGAAGGGTTGGTCTACACGTTTCCAGCTTTGTTGGCCGAGGCCATCTTCGCAGGTAATGCGTTGGTGCATGTCGGTGGCAGCACGCCGTACCAGGCGGTGTACGGCAGGCAGCCGGCTATGTTGCCGCCACTTGAGATCCCCGACATGCCTGAACGCGAAAATGTCAGTGAAACTGGGGACCGGCAGCGCAGCTACATCCGTGAAGCAGCTCTGCAGGCAATGATTCAGGCCACCAGCCTGGCACGCATCAACCGGGCGGCGCACACGCGCACAGCACCAGATAGTACCCGAGAGTTTAAGGAAGGAGATTTGGTTGATGTGTTTAGGAAGCCCCCCAGTAAGGATGCCTCAGGCTGGTCAGGTCCGTATCGTGTGACAAAGTCCTCTCCAGGCCAAGTGCAAGTAATGGCTGGCGGCCACTCACGCACCTACAGGAGTCAAGACGCACGTCTGACGCTCCTAGTCTTGTACACCGCCAACCAGCCATCAGCATGGCCTGAATGCATGAAAGTCATCACGGAAGTCCTGTTGGCACTTCAGCCCGGACAGTCCGTGTTGTATGGATTCGCTAACTCCCCCACAGGCGGCTGCGCGCTTTCAAAGGCCGCGCGCCAAACTCCGCAAGTGCTCCATGCACTAGATTTCCTCTTCAACAATTGTTGGCGGCTCCCCGAGACCATCGGAGCCCGTCTGGCTCATGGCGCAAGAAGTCTAAGTGCCGTCACCTTGGCATCACACTCCACTTTGATTTGGTGGCAAGCAAATGTAGACCAGGACGTCTGGTTCAGCAGTTTGCAAGGCACTAAGGTTAACTTACTAGACCTATTGGGCGATAGCTATAGCTCTAGCTTAGTGGTTCAAGCCTTACACTCTGCCGATCAAGACGTTACTCTTGCCGATGCTTGTGACGAGGCTGCCGACCTCAATCACGAACCCTCCTCGGAAAATGCCTTGCCTTCCAGTGACACCGAGCCGCTTTCAATCCATACACCACAAGGGCCTCTGTCAGCCATCTCTGAAGGCTCCGAGCAGGAAGACGAGGCTCACGCCTTCCTGACGTCCTGTCCTTCTGATGAACCGGCTCTTGTAGAGGCACTTCGTGTGATGTTCGCACTGTCTGAGTCTGAAAGCCTGGAGGCCTCAAAAGAGGCCGCTGTGGACACTCACGTGCCCTACTTCGATCCGGTTGATCCAGTCACCACCACTATACCCGACCCCTACCAGCACTACCGTTCAGCCCACGTTGACGCAGCCCTCTACGGATCCCTTGACTACCACGACCCTGCAGGGAACAAGTGCGTAGAGCTGTGGTTCACTAGGGACATGGCCAAGGTAGTTGGGGACGATAGTGGTTTAGGCCCCGACGAAACATATGCCTTAAGAGTTTACGCCACAGGCTACCGCCAGGCTGTGATCCAGCGGGAAACTGACTTGTTGACCCCGCAAGACATGCTGAAACACCAGCCTCTGGTGGCAGCAGCTGCTTTAGAGGAGCTGCAAACCTGGCATAAGTATAAATGTTTTAAACGGGTGCCTCGTGCCACAGCTAAGAACATCATGGACAGTAAGTTTGTGGCCAAATGGAAAATGGTCAAGGATACGCAAGGCAAAGAGAAAAGGGTCGTGCGCATGAGACTTGCGCTGCGCGGATTCAAAGACATGCGCGAAGGCCTAGAAAATTTTGCAGCGACAGGCTCCAGGCAATCGCAACGACTGCTTAGCTCCGAAGTGGCCTGCCATCCGGGCTGGAAACTAGTAGCGGTGGACGTTGCCAAGGCTTTTCTCCAGGGAATGACCTACCAGGAGATGAGCGAGCTTACGGGAGAAGATGAGCACGAAGTGCATTTCGACTTACCGGCTCGCGAAGCCGAATACCTCAAGCAGGTGCCAGGCTTTGAGGGTTTTGATCCTCGTAAGGAAACTTTAAAGTGCTTAAAGCCCGGCACCGGGTGCCGTGATGCACCCCGTGCTTTTGCCTTGAAGCTTGCCCAGTTTACGCGGTCCGAAACTATCGGTCTTCGGCCTTCTCTCTACGATTCCGAACTGGAATTGAAACATGTTGGCAGTCGTCTGGTGCTCCTCTTGGTGAAGCACGTCGACGACTTGAAGATCGCTGGGGAACCCCGCGAGGTCGATGCCCTGGTGGCACATCTCGAATCCGGGTTCGGAAAGCTCGCCTATCAAGAGAATACCTTCACTGTGTGTGGCCTGACACATGTCAGGCACAGCGATGGCAGTATCGAAATGAATCAGGATTCTTACATAGCAGCCATGCGACCCATTCAGCACCCTGAGTTGACGGGAAGAGCCAGTAGTGAGCAGTGCACTCCAGTTGTGCACGGCCTGTTCCAGAGTCTCTTGGGTGCAGTAGCGTACAGTCTACTTTCGCAGGCTTGGGCTGCTGTGTTCGTGGTGGCCCTTCAACGACACGCTGCAGCACCGACAAACCTCCATGTGAGGCGCTTAAATCTTCTGCTGGCAGCCCTGCAGAAGCAAAAGGCCAAGCTGCTCTTTCCTGTCATGACCTGCGCACGCCGTATAGTCGTATTCTCAGATGCTTCTTTCAGCAAGGAGAGTGATCAAAAGGGATACGGCATGCGTGGAGCTGTGTTCTTGCGAATGGGCTCCCACAAAGGACAGGAGCGCTGTCACTTCTTGGAGGCTCATTCCCAAAGCCTCAAGTTGGTCACCAGAAGCACCTTCGCTGCCGAGACTTTGGCCGCTGTAGGAGCAGTGGACTCTCTTGCAGCTTTGTTGGTGACTCTCCAGGAAGTGTCGTGCGGCACACTGTCCACTGAGGCTGCACGCACACTTAGGGAACACGGAAGTTTCGCCTTTCAGTCCGAGTTGTGTATAGATGCGATGAATTTATACTACGCTCTGTCGGCTACATATCCCAAACTACCAGCCGAAAAGGCCCTCTTCATCCATATAGCCTGGCTAAGGGATTTCATAAGGGTTAAGATTCCCGGCGTTGTGTCTTGGGTTGATACCCGTGATATGCTAGCTGACGGGCTCACTAAGGGAAAAGTGGAGCGCGCAGCACTGCTGAAGGCAATGCTGGGCATCATAAACATGATGCATCCGAAGATCTCCACACCTTAGAGAGCATGCACGTTTGATAACGTACTTGTACAGCAGCAGCAAACTCGACGAGCACACCCGACTTGTTAGGTATCCTGTAGAGTGAAGCCGTCCAGCATCTTACTTGAGTCGTGGTTGTGTCCGTAGCCGAGCAGCTGCCCGAGAACTCTTACCAAGCCCCTGCGGTGAAGAAATGAAGCCTTCGGTATTGCTCTGTTTTTCGCTACTCCTTGTCTTCGGACTACGGGGCTGTACAATCCGCAACCACTAAGCGAGGAGGTTCGCGCTGCCGAGGCCTCGAAAAGCAGCACCTACTTTTATAGACCACGTGCAAGCAGTGATGGGTAGGGACTGCCCTAAGATCCCAATTCCCAAATCCCAAACCCTAGACCCAAAACCCAAAACCCGAAACCATGAACCGGACACGGAGCCCCGGACTCTACACCCCGGCACCCCAAGATTTGAACCGAAGCCATTTGGGCCCCCTTGCTGCCGGTACCTCGCGTCTGGCAGGCCCGTGGCTCCCGGGAAGATTGAGATTAAGGATTCATCATTAACACGGAGCAGTTCCTATACTTGTCCAAGCAGGTACTACGAAATGTACAATATGCTGCTCCCACGACTGCTGCTGCTACTGCTGCTGCTTCTGCTTCTGCTGCTGCTGCTGCGGCTGTGGCTGTGGCTGCTGGTGGTAACTGTGGTGGTGGTGGTGCTACTGCTGCTGCTGCTTCTACTGCGACGATGGCAAACGAGGAGGAGGGGAGTAGGAGCAGGAGGGCAGGAGGAGGAGGAGGACGACGACGCTTGCTGGTTTGTGCCGTTCTGCTCTGTTTCTGGCTAGGTGCTTACGGCTTCGGGGGTTTGGGGCTGTTCATGCTGCTTTTCGAAGCTTAAAGCTGGCTTTGACCCCCTCTAGTCTCTAGGTGTCTGGAGGACTTCGGGGCTTTGGGTTTGCGAGGCTGATTTGGCGTCTGCTGCTTCAACGTGCAGACGTTCGGTGCCGGTCACCTGTCGGGCGCCTCAGCTAAAAGTGCTTAGGGACGCAGGAAGTCGTGTTGCGATGGGTATGGTTTACCATGCTTAGAGGATCATGGGACTTAGTAAGTAAGGTGATAAGTACCTTAATTGGGGTTATAAGTAGTTATAAGTCCAAGGTTGAGAGCTTGGGGAGACTTTGGACAGAGGCTTCAGGGCCAAACAATGCGAGGAGTACGGTTCACAGCAAGCCATGACAGCGAGCCCAGTAAGCTACTGCCACTGCTCCCAGAGGCTCTGCATCGCTCTGCCTACTGCCGCCCACCTCAGACTCTAGTGTAAACCTGAACTTGAAATCCCATATCGAAAACCTTAACTATTACTCCGTACAGCCTGAGCTTTAAACCTAAACCATGAACCCAAAGCCTAGGATCTAGAACCTAAACCCTCAACTCTTGTGGATCGTTCCGTGGAGCAGGCAGAGGCCTCTGATGTGGAGGCTTCCGCGGAGCTTTGGATGGTTCTGGGCTTAGGGTTTCGGGATATGCGAAGTATGGGTTTAGAGAGGGCTTGGGGTGCAAGGTTTGCGGCTTTGGGCTTGGAGTTTAGGTGTGGGCCGTGTGAGGATTCGGATTGTTGGTGCAGGAATCAGGGTTCAGGATGAAGCATTACGGTTAGGCGATTAGTAGGATTAGTAGTAGTATATATTAGTATTAATATCAATATTAGTATTAGTATTAGTAGGACTGCCATCCTCGGCAGGTGCGACCCGAGAGTAACAAAGCTTGCGAATGAGACCTCATAGATGCAACGGATGCCATGAGCAACGGTCCCCAGCCTGAGGGGTTGTTGATGCAGCTAGCATGTAATCTCTTCTTTTGAGTCCTTGGGCACGGTTTAAGGACCCAAGAACAATTGTGGAGGGTGTTTGGAGTAGGATGTGGTGGAAAATTCAGGCTGGTAGCAAGTCAAAGTTCAGCGAGACATCTGCCGTCTGCAGCTGTCTGTCAAGCTGCCCCACCTGATGACGTTCACATCCTAAACCCCTAACCCCTGAACCCTAAACCCCTAAACCCCTAAACTCTAAGCCCTAAACCCGGAACCCCCGAACCCTAAACCCCTAAACTCTAAATCCTAAACCCCTAAACCCGCGTGCAGACGAAAAGGAGCCCTCAAAAAAAAAACCCCTAAACCCCTAAACTCTAAATCCTAAACCCTAAACCCCAAGCAGCCATTGCACTTTTTTAAAAAAAAAGCCCAAGAAGCCATGGCGGGAGCCGCCTTCGACGAAGCCTTGAGCGGCACGCTCCAGAACTTCATTCAGCGAAGCCCCCCGGGGCATCTTCCGGACTCCGGCAAAGGGGGGGGGGAACCAGGCTTTAGGGTCAAGGGGGTTAAGGGTTTTAGGGTTAAGGGGTTTAGGGGTTTAGGGGTTTAGGGTCTAGGGGTTTAGGGGTTAGGGTTCAGGGGTTTAGGGTTTCGGGGTTTCTTGCTTTGGGGTTTCCTGCAAGGGTTCCTCCAAACTTCTTCTCTTTAAGGGTTTGTTTGATGGTTCCTTTATGGGTTCCTGTAAGGAGGTTCGTTTCTAGCCCCCAAAGTAAACCTCCTAAAGAATGACCATCCCACCGAGGTTCCAAAATGCCTTGGAAGCTAGCCTTACAAAGTTCAGAAGTTTGCATACCGGAACCAGCCTGCAGCTTCCACACTAGAGTAGGGTTTGGGGGGCTCCTTATTATTATTATTATTATTATTGTCATTATGGTATCATTCGGCATATGATACCCCTAAACCCTATTCCTATCTTGCTACGAGCCGTCCCCAAAGCCTTTCATATCCGAAAGCCCGCTTCCTCAGCCGAAGGCCAGAGGCTGAAGGATCCCAGGCCCGAGACCCCTGAAGTACTGTGGGGGTTTAGGGTTTAGGGTTTAGGGGTTTAGGGGTCTTTAGGGTTTAGGGTTTTAGGGTTTAGGGGTTAGGGTTTAGGGGTTTAGGGTTTTAGGGTTTAGGGGTTAGGGTTTAGGGTTTATGGATTTAGGGGTTTAGGGTTTAGGGTTTAGGATGTATGGAAGGTCGAGAGCCCGGGATGCTACTACGGTTGATGATAAGGAATATGCCATAATTCCCATAGTTTAGGGCCCTTAAGGAGGTAATGCAGGATTTATATCATCAACAGTACTCGGAGGTTCATGGGTAGTTATAAGTATTATAAGTGGGGTTAGAAGTAGGGTAGCTACACTTGTAACTCCTATTAGGGGACTTAAAATCTACATATAACGATCCATGAACCTCCAAGTAGCTTAGGTTTGATCGCAAACATTGTGCCCCAAAACCCTAAACCCTTAACTCTAAACCCTAAACCTGCGCAACCTCGACCACCCTCGCCACCAGCGCAGGACGTCTTGGCCCGGTGTCGTCAGCTCGTGGCCCCTGCAACCCTGCCCAAGGAGCTTGGAGGGGGGGGGGGGTTCCTTATTATAACTATAGTATAATATGCGGTTCAAAGCTCTATTCTAACTATTATGAGGGGGGGCACAGTGGAAGGATTAGTTGGGATTGAGTCCTCCTGCAACTGGGTTTACGTGGTAGCAAAACTGGTTGGGTGCTGGGGTTCTTGCATCATCATCCCCTTTGGGAGTATTTACCGGAGAAGGCTTGCAGTAGTAGCGCTAGTTGAGCCCGAGCATTAAAGCCGCCAGAAAGTGGAACTCATACTGTAGGGGCCTTAAGAATCACCTTATTCTATTATAGTATAGTATACACCAAAACTCTATTCTAATTATTAACGCCCCTACAATAGTTTCAGGATTTGGTGTGGCGCGCATGCGCGGCTCACAATGAGCGGAACTTCCTCATTGTGCGGCCGCCGACAGAGAGTGCAGCCCCTTGGCTGCCTTTGGTTTTCCTGTTCTTGGCCGTAGATGTCCTTGAATTCCCAAGCTCTTCTGCAAGTCCTATCCTAGCTTTCAGGGTTTTGGCCTGCAAGAGCCCATTCTAGTAGCAGTACTGCAGCACCAGATGCTCTTCGGATTCCGTTCGTAATGTCGACCGTATAGTGGGAACCTGAAGCTCTGAGCCCTTCGTCTCAAAATCTCCATACTTGGAGGTTCATGGGTACCTTAAACTGCCAAAACTTACTTTGTTGTAGGTTCTTGTATGTTACGGTAGTTTTATACGAGTTATAAGTATAGTTACCCTACATATAACTCCACTTATAACTACCCATGAACCTCCAAGTAGAGTCCGGAGGAATCTGGCGAGCTTTTGGTGGTGCACGAAAGCGGGCGTGCTGGGAGCCGCGCGCAGCAGCAAGTGCCCTACAAGGAAGCTGAGGTTTCATTTGGTTTTCTAGGAGGTTCCGGCCAGTTGGCCCAGAACAATTGTAAGAGCCTCTACCATAGAAGGTGCCCTGCATCGAACCAAGTCCGAAACTCTGACTGCAAGCCACATGGGGTCCGCAATAACTAGACCGTAGTTTGTTGGGGTGAAAGACTTGAAGGAGGTTGAAGGATACGCCAATAGTAGCTACCGTAGCCCCCCACGTCAAACCCTGTGCGTGCCTTACAGCGTCTCGGTATGAACACTTGCTACGAGGCCTTGAGCTCCTTTTGCCTATAGAGGCTGAGTTGCACCCGAAATCCCGAAGCCCTAAACCTCAAGTCCCAGCAGGTTTCGGATATGGGACTTGGAGGGTTTAGCATCAGCGCGGTGTGCTTGTGACGCTTGGTGGGAGGTGAACCCTAGACCCTAAACCATAAAACCCTAAGCCCTAATCCCTAAACCGTGCCATAAACAGTGAACGCTATCATTTGCAAACCACTACCGCACCGCTGGTGGTCGTGATCGTCCATGAAAAGGCCGAAGCTTCTAGCTTCTTTGGTGTGTGAGACGAAGGTTTTCAGCAGCTTGTGGAGTTGCGGATTCAGGGTTCAGGATGTACCTGGGGCCCCGAAATACTAAACCCGGTTGGAGCCCTAAACCCTAAGCCCTAAACCCGGTTGGAGCCTTTGGAAGGATGGCTTGACTGACAAGCTCTTCGCAGTGGACCACGAGCGGCAAGAGTGCACCCGACGCCGGCTTGGAGTTTCAGTAATATCGCGGTCAAAAAAATGACCAATACTCTTTTGGGGGTTCCTCCTTATAATTATAGTATAATCATTAAGGCCCCTAGATTATGTTCTTGAGGGTGAGGGTCAAGCTGGGAGTTCGAAGCCTCATTCCTAAGGCTGCGTATCCTGAACCCTGCATCTTGTTCCCTTAAGCTGATGCTGAAACAAACCCTAAACCCTAAACCTGAAGCCCTAAATCTTAAATCCCTAAACCTTACAAATCCCTAAACCCTGAAGCTTAAGCTAAAATCCCAAGCCCTGAGCTAAAATCCTAAACCCTTGAGCCAAATCCTAACCCCTGAACCTCAAGCCCCTAACCTGCAGATCTGACCATTACGACTCGGTACCCTCGGCTCCAGGGCCCTCTGGACCTAGGGCCTTCTGGACCTGGGTTTAGGGCTTAGGAGCTTGGGTTTAGGGTTTAGGGCTTTTGGTTCAAGGTTTGGGGTTCAGTAGGGTTTAGTCTGCTTGAAAGTTTGCAGTCTTGCAGCCCATGATCTCAGGAATGTGGAGTCAGCAGAAATCGGATGACCTGATGGCCCAGATGGCGGCTCGCCTCTCCTTTGTGGGATTTTGGGATTCTCCAGCCACAGATCCGAATCCTCGCAACCTGCAGCTTTAAGGGATCTATAAGGGATCTATAGTAGGGTTCTATGGTATAGGGGCTTAAATAATGACCAATGGGGGTGTTAATCCTTATAATTATAGAGCTGCATGAAGTTGAATCAGAGGGGAAAAGGAGGGACCCTTAATGGGGACCCTTACCCTATAATGGGCTATATAATGGGTATATAATAGCTATATTAAGGGTATATACCTAGGGGTCCTTACTAAGGATCCGTCCTTTTGGCCCTTGGATTGAAGGGAGCGCGCAGCAAGCCCTACATGCACATGCGTAACAATGTGGATGCAAGACCCAATCGGAGCTTTCTGTTCAATCTCCTACTTGCAGATGTAGCTGGGATATCCGTGACGACCGGACTACCGTTACTTCTTCTGCTGTCGCAGGTCTTCGTCTTCCTCTTCTGCTTCTTTTCCCCTTCCTTTTCCTGTGATCCTGGTGGTGATGGTAGTGGTTGCGACATCAGCGGTAACGTTTTCACTTTCGCATGTCGTAACGTGGCTGCCAATAAACATAGCAATGATAGCAACCAGAAGGAGAACACGTGTACTTGAAGAATCATGAAACAGCCATGCACAGGAAAGAAGGCGGCCCTTTTCTCCTTCACACCCAGCTTCGGCTTGCACGCAGCACTGTGTGGGGGAGTCAGTGATTGAAAACGAGTGAGCAGGTGGCTACATGTGTAGTGCCTCGAGTTTACGATGCGCTTTATGCGTCAGGCGGAAGGGGTATGGGTGAAGCGATTAGATGATCCTCTTGCAGGATTATGTGACAAGACTTTCTTTCAACTACACAGTCATCCTTGACCTAAGCCCTTTGCGGAGGTTCGGTGCTTTCGTGTTCAGTTGTGCCCAAAATGTTGAAAATTTGGTGTTTTCGAGGACAACATCGACGAAGAGATCGCCGAGCCGTTCAAGGAAGCGCTCAAATCAGAACTGCGCAAGCGCCTCGGCGCTAGGCAAGAGACAAACTGCTGCCTTCAAGATCGAACTGCCTGTCGTTTTGCGGCTATTATGTAGTAGTATACACAACATAATCCAATAATACATAAATAGTATATAGTACATATTAGAATTTTAGTATGTACTATTCAATAGGTAACATATAATATGTAATGTGAAGTTCATATTCCGTCTAAATGTGTTGTGCAAAGCAGGCCCCAAGTCTGACAGCCACAATCAGGAAGACAGCACCAGGAGAACAAACAGCCCAGGATGCTAGGGGTTTAGGGGTTAGGGGTTTAGCGGTTTAGGGTTTGGGGTTTATGGGGTTAACTGTGTCTAGGGGTTTAGGGTTTTTAGGGTTTAGGGCTTATAGGGTTGATAGGAAGCCGTCAGGTCGGCCAAAGCCGATAGTGCTTAATCAAAGCTGTGGAATCTCTGATTGCATGGCAGCTAGATTATAAAGACCGTCATGGTAATGTGGATAAATGTAGCGGTAGCGGCGACGATAGTGGCAAGGGTAGGCTACCTGAGAACATCAGCAAATGATTTTCCCGCGGCTTCAAGACACTGGTTCCGAAACCCTACACCCTATGTCACCGCCGTGGCATATCCGAAGACATGGCAGCTGAGGTACGTCGACAGCCGCTACGCAGATCAGGGAGGTATGAGCACAGGTGCTGCTTCCTACACACTTTATAGCAGCTCGCAGCAAGCAGTTTATAATGGAACACCGCAGAACATCGGAAGCATCCTCTACCAACGATACAATAGATTTGTAAGATTGCATGAAACTGAAGACAAAACCTAAAATCCCCAAAGCCTAAAGCCTAATCTGCAAACCCAAGCTCATACTGCAAACAAGCCTAAAAACTCGAAAGTCCCTTCAAACCTCTACTCTAAACTCCATGACCTAAGCCCTCCACCCTAGCACTCCCAGACGGAGCCCTTGATAAAAGGAGCTAGATCCTAAACTTGTAGCTCCATACCGCAACGGCCCGAAGCGGGCAGCGAGCTGAAACCCAGGCAGCAAAGGCCAGGAAGTGGGGGGCGACATTGAGCTCACGCTGCTGGGCCTGACGTTCAATGCTTCACGGGTTTAACTGAGCAGTTTTCGTAGGAGGTTTGGGGTTTGTTGCATGGCCCTTTGTAAACCATAAATACAGTAAACCTTGCTAAAGTACCTCTTTAACAAGCACTTTTTAGCAACCCTGGTAGTGACCCGGAGAGTCTACATAAAACTTGTCAATGACTCCGAGACCTTCAAACCCATAAGAGTCGCCCTGAGGGTTCCTTTAAGGGTTCCTTTAAAGGAACCCTTAAAGGAACCCTTAAAGGAACCCTTAAAGGAACCCTTAAAGGAACCCTTAAAAGGAACCCTTAAAAGGAAGCCTTAAAGGAGCCCACAAGAGGAAGCCTCAAAGGACCTCCACTTGCCCGCAAGGATGATCGTCGCTGCCCGCCGGGCCAGACCTCGCGGTGCCTCGAAGTGATGGATTCTGTTGAAATGAATAGCGTTCAGTTTGTATAGGTCATTTTTTAAACATATAGTCCGTAATATATAGTATCTTGTATATATATATATGTATATATATATATATAGAGTATATACTAGCAAATATATAAGTCTAATATGCCGTATATAACATGAAGTACGTACTAACTTGAGGACTCCATCCGGTTCTTACTATGAGAGTGCTTCACGGCTGCTTTCAGGGTACTATAAGGCAGCCAAACAACGGTACTGCAGGGGTTGCTGCAAGTGTCCTTAGGGCTGTTGGGGGTGGTTCGAGGCAGTGTTTGGGTGTTGGCGGTTCGGAGGGTTGTGCTTGCGCAGCGCATGTTTCGGGATTCGGGAACTTTGGGATAAAGGATGTACGTTTCAAAAGCTACTTATTCGTATGCCCTAACAAAGCCAATCTTCTAAACCCACATTCCTTAAGAGTCTTCATTATCATACTTGCAGCTCGTGGATCCAAACAAGTCCAAATCGCCTGTACAGTTCTGCAGTTCTACGTGGATTTTAAGGTTGGGTCTGGGCTTTAGGCTGTAGTAGTCTTTGTGATCTTCTTGATCCTCATCGGTTTTGGGAGTCCAGACAGGAAGAGGTTGCTCTTGGTTCGAAAGGCTGCTGATGTGGTTTTGCCTCGCATTTGCGTCTTCTTTGTCGGGCCTTGTTCCGCTGTACAAGAAGCCTCGAAGCCGTGCATATTCGAAACGAGGATTATGGTCCGGCACGTGGACCTCCCAGCAACTCGGGCTGCGTTTATTTGCGTGCATGCGGTTAAGTCTGAGAGAGGGCTCTTGTTTCCTGGCAGCTTTGGGGTGCAGGGTCTACTGAGTGGACGATTGGACTGATTCGTGGGGCTGGAGTCAGGAACTTCTGGGGTGGTTTACGTTTGTGACTTCGGACGTTTGCAAAACCCAAATGCCAAATGCCGAGCTCGCCAGCCCATATACTCTCAACCGTAAACCCTGAACCCCCAACTCTTCAGCAAGTAATACAATTCGCTGAGAATCTGAAGCCCCGCTTTAAGAGTAGTCTTTAAGGAGGACGGCTCATATAGAACCCTAGTAGTACCCTTTAAGGGGCACCCTATTTCAAAACCCCCCAGGGATCCTTTAAGGGTTTCTTGAGTACCCTTTAAAGGGCACCCTGTTTCAAAGCCTCATAGGATCCTTGAAGGGTTTAGGGTTTAGGGCTTCAGGGATCGATTAGGGCTCGGAGGGTCCTGGAGCGTGCCTCAGGCTTTGTACCAGACCGGTCTGGAGAAAGGCTTCCGGTTTAGTTAGGTAAGGAAAAGGGTTCCCGTTTTAATTATTGGTTTTCAGGGGTTCTATAATATAGGGTTCCCTTTAGGGTTCGGATCTAGGGTTTAGGATTCTACAGGTTGTGATGTGCATTGACGTGGAGTGTCTTGTAGTCTATAAACCCTCCGCTTTGCTTGCAAGCTCGTGATGCGATTTATACTTGGAGGTTCATGGATAGTTATAAGTGGTGCTATAAGTCTCCTAATAAGGGTTATAACAAGAGCTACCCTACTTATAACCCTACTTATAACTACCCATGAACCTCCAAGTAGGCCATGGATCAGCCCAAAGGTCAGCCCCAGAACCGCGGTCGTTACTCACCGAGTCTCCCTGACAAACCCCAACAAAAGCCCCAAAGCAGCCTTGGGCTCCACTCAGCAGCAGAGGTGGCGGACGCTTTTCGAGCCGGGACAGGCCGAGCCTGTCAAGACGCCTGGGCTCTGGAATTAGCTTCCTCTCGCTGCAGCTGCAAGACTAGCAGTAGTAGCAGTAGTAGCAGGAACCAGCTGGGGCATCAGGGAGGGTACAAGGGATCCTTAGGGAACCTTAAGGGAACCTTAGGGAACACTAGAGTCTCTAGAGAGAGCAAGGGATTAGTTGCGGGGGTAGTCTCGCATGATGATCGTAATTGCAAGCAGTAGTCAGATCCTAGTCTCTTCGTCACTACTGCTGACCGCGCTCAAGGATGGTGGGTATTCTGGAGTTCATCAGCCACTATGCCGAGGCACAGCACGGGCACGTGCTGTGGTTGTATCTCTGCAAAGCTTCAGCCAGAAGTGCACTCTGAGTCCAACTGCCAGGTCGTGCACTACTAGTTGCTAGTTACCTAGTAGTAATCGCACGAGTGTGTCGTTGTCATGGTCGTCCTAATCCTTCAGTGTTAGATGGAGCCATTTCGATATTAATTGGTGTGGTCGGAATCTGAGTCGTGGTCTGCAGGATGGAAACGTGCACTTCCGCCGGCGAGCAGAGTCTCGGAGCTCAGCTACCCGGCAGCACTTCAAGAGGAGAAGTCGTAGGTTGAAGGGGCAGGGGATTTGAAGCGACTGACGTGCTCAACAGTCTCCCCACGGTTTAGGGTTTAGGGTATAGGGTTTAGGGTTTAGGGTTGACGCAGACTTGCCAGAGTTAATCCTCCTTCACTTGGACCTTCGGTCGCGGCAGAGTAAAGGTCCTGGCGAGCCATTCTTCCGATCTCTTGGATGTCATTTACCCGTCAGGAAGTGCACGTGGAAGCCTAGAGTGGACAGGTACTATTATGAGTGTTACTATTATGATAATTTTGTTGTTACTGTCATTACTATTCTTCTTCTTCCTTGAATGCGGTGCCAGCATGAAAGGTGTAAACCGCTCCGTCCTAATTCGACAGGTTCGCATCGCCAAAGTCTCGTCTACCGGCTGACCAACCATCGCCCCTCGCCCCTCTTGTCCCAAATGTGAATTTGCCGCACTCCACTCCTGCTTCGACATCCGATCGTTTGAACCTGAACCCCTGCAGCACATGTCCGCCCTGCGCAGTGCCCCAAACCCTAAACCCTAAACCCTCAACCCTAAACCCTAGCCTTAACCCCTAAACCCTAACCCCTAAACCCTAACCCCTAAACCCTAACCCCCAAACCCTAACCCCTAAACCCTAAACCCTGAACTCGATCACGAGGTCTGGAGTCCCTTGATCGTTAGCGAACCCCGGCGCCTTGAGGTCAAGGAGACAACGGACCCGATAAAGTTCGCCCTGGAGGTGGTGAAGGCATGCTGAGCAGCTTAGCTAGGATGCCCAGTAGTACCCTTATTCCCTTTTTGTAGTCCTAGGTTCTTTATAAAGTTACCCAATACCAAAAAGGGAGCCCTTTTAATTCCTAGGTAACTGGGCATCTTAGATAGCCAATCACACGCAGCTTTCGCTGCCAGCACCACCTCGCGTCATCATCACCACCATCATCACATTACCAGCATCACCTTGGGTTCTCTTACACAGCCATCTTCACCTGTTTTTCGAACTGTCACTCGCATCGTGGCTCTCCGTATGGTGGTAATGCGCGAGTTCCTTCTAGCGTGATGTGATTGTTGCTTCACACTTTGCAGGAGGAGCTGCTACTGCTGCTGCTGCTGCTGACGCTGGTGCCGGTGTATATAAGCGGTGTAAACGCTGATGGTGATTATCCTGAGCCGTAACCATTCCGAATGTATCTTCGACTTGCATAGGACGGCCGAAAAAGCTGTGATTCGTACGAAGCCGCGAAGCCTCAGACTGTGATGCCTTTGCAGGCCATCCGAAAGGAGGAGGACAGCTTCCAAGCCTCCACGGAGGTGGGGAGAAGCCTTGGATCCGCCCTGCGATGATGAAAACCTACGGCTACAGCTGTTTGTAGGGTTTGGGTTTGGGGTTTAGGGTATCTGAGGATCCTGCTACAAGCTAGCAAGCTGAGAAGCCGGGGACTGATAGCTGGTAGTCGAACCCGCCGCCGGAAGGACCAAGTCGACTCACTTTGTGACGGTACGCTGCGCGCTCTGCGGCGGACGCTGCCTGTGTCGAAGGCTGTGCGGGTGCGACGGAAGAAGTTGGTTGATAGACCTTGACTGATAGTTGTATTGCTCACGCAGCTCGGAGACTTAACCCACCGGGGCTTCAACTGGCCGCGGGAGTTCGCAAGCTTCCAGCGCTCTCGGGACTTGGAAGTCCACTGCAGTGCGTTTTTGAAATGACTCATGTCGCGAAACACAACTTATTACAGGCTAGAGCAGTGGTGATGCCAAGTGAAAAGACAATGGCACAAATATTGAAATAATGTAGAGGCCTTCACAATTACCTATCGTATTTTTGGGGTTGTATTGTAATTCTAGTTATCCCAGCCCCTGTATCATTTTTGATCCCCAGCAGCGCCCTGGCAAAACTCATAGCGTAACAAAACGAGCCCCCGAGCCCAACGATGCAACACATCGAAATCCTACTTGAATTCTCTAACATCCCGAGATCTTGCCCTAAATTCCCTAAACAAAAAGACCCCACACCCTAAACCGAAACCCTAAACCCTAAACCGAAACCCTAAACCCTAAATCCTAAATCAAAACCCCTATCCAAGATCTCCACAGGAGCGCTTCGACTGGCGCCCGAGTCGCCATGCCTTAGTCAGAGACCTGAAGGCAGCTGGCAAAGACGGCGGAAGCTGAGGCCAAAAAGCATTGCTACCGAGGCCTTAAGAATTAGAATAGGGTTCCTTTAAAGGGGTCCATAAGGGTTACCATAATGGCTATTATGAGGATTTACTGAATGACCAGAAAAGGGCTTCGGGGCCCATTATACTATAATTATAATAAGGACCCCCCCCCCAAATAGTGTTGGTAATTATTTAGGCCCCTATATTACTATAGCTGTTACTCCAAAAGGGTTCCTCGTAAGGGCTTATCTACGGGCTTCATTGTGGGGGGACGTCAAGTTCTCTGCTTTGGAGTTGTAGGCTTCTGGGTTCAGTGTTCACGGATTCGAACTCAGTTTTGACCTTGATCGTTTGCAGTCTAGAGATTGATACTAATCTGCAGTTGCATGACTGGCAGTATGTAACATTCTCAATTCGAAGAGCTGCTGCCGTTTTTGTGCTGCTGGTGTGCAGATGACCATCGCGAGCAGAGTGGTGTTGCCGGCTATCGTCTCGAGGTCGATGCTCACAGCGGTGGTGGTGCGAGGGTCGTAACGATGATAATGCGATCCTTTGGTCATGGTGATGATGATGACGGTGATGATGGTGATGATGTTGATGTTGTCGCTAATGGTGTATGCTTATGTCTGTTTTGGACCCACTCCTTGCACCGAGCGCCCCCGAGCTTCGAGCATGGTGTCCAACGCTGGTAGCATGTTTAGGAGTTCTTCGTCATGATACTTCGTGAGGCGTGCAAGTTGAGGAGATGGGGGTCGGGTTTTCACTAAGGACCGAAGCTCAAAACTCTAACTTTCAGTCTGCGACCTAAACCCCAACTTCGACAAACCGCGAAAGCCTGAACCCTAAACCAGAAATCGAAGCCATCTATCTCGAACCCCGGAGTCCGATTAATAACTAGAACAGTGTTTTGGGCCCATGATACTATACTTATAATAAGGACCCCCCCCCAAAAAAAAAGTATAGGTAAATCCGGAGGCCCCTTTCTTAAAGGGGCCATGAAGCCGCTGTCCAGAGTCGGTGCAGTGGCTGCCGCGCGAGGTTGGCGGTGCCCGGGTTGCATACCCGATGAAAGATCCCTGGCAATAACCGGGTTTAGGGTTTAGGGTTTTGGGTTTAGGGTTTAGGGTTTAGGGTTTAGGGTTTTGGGTTTAGGGTTTAGGGTTTAGGGTCCCCTAAAACCCAAAACCCTAAATCACCCCTAAAGATGCTACGTCGGGGTTGGGGCTTTAGGCAGTGGTCGATCTGCGCAGCGCTCAAATTTCCAGACGTTGCTGCGGGTCTCCGGTAGACTGGGGGCCGTTGGGGTTGATGACCTCTTTGCCACTCTGAGGCACTGTCTCATCCTGGCAAAGACCGAAGGCCAGGGCGGGGGGTCTGTGGGCGATGGTGATTCTCAGGGTTCCTTACATATAAGTATAGTATAATGTACCCCAAAACCCTATTCTAATTATTAAGGCCCCTGAATTTCTCGAACCCCAGAGCCCGATCCTTCTTAGACTTTCGAGCAGGTGCATTTACACAACAGGGCCGGTATTGCTGTACAGTCGCTGACCACTAGATGCGACGATGTGTGCTACTAATCTTCAGGACGAGTCGTCTTTGCTGCTTAGCCCGTAACTCTGTGCAGCGTTTTTCCCCTTTGATGCTGCGAGGATTTCGTCATATTCGAGTAGCTGTTAGATAGCTTCTGGTTACACGATGCACATGCTGCTTTGCGGTAATCTGCATTCATGCGATGGTTCTTGCTTCTTCAACTAGCTTCAATGTCTGCTCTCACCAGTATGTTCATGACGCACGTCACTGCTGAAGTCACTCTTGCTGCGCATGTTTTGGCGACTGCCCTAATGATAAAGCGGAAAATGGTAAGGAGGGTTCTATTGTTGCACTTGCCGATACCTGCGATGTCGCTGTTATGGTCTATTCTGCACTTGTCTTCTTGCTACAGTAGCAGGTCAAGCAATCTTAGGTATTGTGGAAGATGGGCAAGCAGGTCCTTGTTGCCTCTGCCAGAAGCCTTAAACCTGCATGTATTGAATGCCTGATGTTCGCTCGGTGCTCCCGGAAAGAGGGCCGTGCAGATACTGTAGGGGCCTATATAATTACCAAAATTATTCTTAGGGTTCCTTGTTACAATTTTAGCATAATATACCCCCCAAACCCTATTCTAATTATTCGGGCCCCTATAGCCGCCCAAGAACAGCAGGGACCTCGATGGCTTCCCTGGGCGGCTTCTCTGCTCCAATCACAGCCCCTCCCCCTCTCGTCTTGTCAACCCTAGGCCAGGCCTGAAACACTGGAGCTTTCATATAGTGGCCTTAAGAATTGGAATATGGTTCCCTTAAAGGGGTCCTGTGAAGGGTTCTTTGAGGGATCTATATTAGAGTTCTATGATATAGGGGCCTTAATAATTAGAATAGGGCTTGGGATATACTATACTGTCATTATGATAAGGAGCCCCCAGGACCCTATTCTAATTGTTAAGGCCCCTAAAGTAGTCCTAAACCTTTAGCCTTGATCTGGGCCATGCACAGGCAATGAGGCAGCGTCCGTCATTGACTCCCTGCAGAAGGCAGGGTGGCTGTGCTTGTCGTGGCTTTTTTGATACAGAGGAGTGCGAAGTCCCAAGTATGACACTCCCTCAGCACAGCTACTGACCTCGCAACTCTAGATGCATGATCGCTCACAGGGTTTGGAGACTAGCCGTCGGGCTGCCCTGAGCGGTCGACCACCACAGCAAGTCCTACTTGGCATACAAGAAGACAGGGGAGACTCGACACCAGTGTCTTTCAATCGGGTCTTGGCTCGTGAGTCTCCGAATGCAGGGCAGAAAGATTCCTAAGGTGTAGTAGGCGTTCCGGATATTGCCCCGAGTTTGCTACATACAAGCGGGGGATCGAGGAGTTTTGGCAGGGAACCACTGAAACTGAACCGCAGGTTATTATAAGCGAACACGCCTCCCTGTGCCCCCCCGCTCACCTGAGGCGGGCATTCAGACGAATCTTTGGGAGCCATCTCTCTCCTACCGCTGCCCGACACCGTCCCTGGTGGACTCAGGCAAGTGAGCGTCATTTCTGTGAAGGGCCGACAGTCTCGGCCACATTGCTCTCCCCTGCAGTCACTTACGATGCGGCATCGACAGACATCGACGCCGTGGTCGGCCGGGGCCCCATTGTCTCAGGACTTGCCCTTGGTGTGAGCTTTGGGGTACTGTCTGCCAAGCATCTGCATGGGATCTGAGGTGGGAACATTACCACACATTCCATTTTATGTCTTGAGGCTTTCCTGAATAACACATAACCCCAAAACCCGTGCTGCAGTTTCTGCACCTTGATGCCGGAAGAGTCCCCAACATTTCGTTTTCTTCAGTAGTAGCTTTGACAGGCAGCTGACCCACTTGCGTTTCCGCAATCGCTAGAATGCCGGCCGTAGTTGACACGCACACATCGGTTGTGAAGCATTGGAGGACGTCTGGTGAGCCCATCGAGAGCTTTGCACAACCATATACGGTAAAAGCCAGAAAGTTGGAATATGATTATCCTAACCCTTCTATGGTAAATTATAGGGTATCCTACCATGAAACCATATTCCAACTTTCTGGAGTTCCCTATAGGACTATCCTTCCAGCAGATAAGCCTTCGGAATCGCAGAGCCTCTTACCTAGCAAGTAGTAGGTGCTTCCGACCAAGTAACGTCAGAGTTGCTGCCGCATAGCCTTCGTTGGAGGCACTCTTGCCGGATCTGATCGTGTTCCGAACGGTGACAAGAGTTGTGTGGGCTCGTTCCCTTTCTACATGAGAGCATGAGCGATCTCAATTCAGATGCCACCCACGGCTTGGCAGATGTGCTGAAACCAGCCTTCGAAACGAATAGAGTTTTAGTACAACCAACCCTTCAAAACCCTGAACCCCTGCACCGCAACCTAAAGCATCAGATGCCAATGATGACCGCCTCTGGACCTCAGGTTTGGGCCACGGCGGTGTGTTAGACTTAGCGAAGGCAGCGGCCGCGATCATTCCGCACCCTGGCATCAGCATGTTTCTCCGTGAAGGGTTTTTCATGGTTTGAGGCGTTGCAGCGCGTTTGGACCCATTCGTGATGGAAAGAGGGTCATCACTGAGTCATGACCATAGTCTCACTCGTCTAGATATGGAGTTTGAAGTGCGATTACCTAGATACGATACGCACGCTGAGAGTTCCTGTGCCGCTCCGGCTCGTGACAGGTGCTCTGGAGAACATGATTCTGCACTGGCACCTATGAAACCGACCATTGTATGGACAGCTGTTCCATTGCTAGACTAGGCCATGCCCATGGCAACCTTGCCCCTAAAGAGCCGAAAAGTGTTGGTGACTTGTGCACATGCCGTCCGCAAAACACGGGCCCAAACCAAGATCCAGAGCCAATCCTGAGACCCCAAGCCCTGCCCAAACGTTAAGGCCTTAAGACCTTGAGTCCAAAGCCTCACACCCTAGCCCTCAAACTGTGATCCTAAAACCCAAATATATCCAATGCCCCAGACCTCAACAGCCTAAAGTCCGCACGCCCTGAAGCCTTAAAGTTTGGAAGCTCCAAACCCTGATGACTCCGCTTCCTAGGCTTGTCCGTGCAAGCGCCCAGTACTCACCGATTTTCACCCGTCCCGGCAGTGGCTCAGCCACCCGGACGCCATATGCCGAACGCCTCTGCACTTCCTCGTAGTAGCAGTAGTAGCAGTAGTAGTAGTAGTAGTAGTAGCAGCAGCAGCAGCAGCAGTGGTTTCGCATCAGCTAGGGCTTGCAGTTGACATCAGAACCGCTCAGATGCTGCTGCTGCGGCCTTGGCAAGGACAAGCATGCCCCATCTTACAAGGGCCTCAACTATCAGCTCCATTCCTAGGGTGCCTAATCATTGTGATGCTGTCATCTACGCCAAACCCTCGTTCGTACGTTACACAAACCTCGCAGTTTTTCGGAGCCTTTCACAAAAGATGAATCATCCCACCACCTTCTAGTCGACCGATCACTCTTAGGGCTTCAGGGAGCCCTAAACCCTAAACTCCTTAAACTCCCTAAACTCCCTAAACCTCCCTAAACCCTAAACCCCCTAAGCCTCAAACTCCCTGAACCCCTTAAAGCCCCTACTTGGAGGTTCATGGGCAGTTACAAGTGGGGTTACAAGTAGGGTACCTATAGTTATGACCCCTTTTAGGGGATTTATAGCCCCACTTATAACTCCCTATAACTACCCTAAACTCTAAACCCCTATACCCTTTTAGAATCCCTGTAGATCCCTTTAAAGGAACCCGAACAGCTGCCCATGAACCTTAAACTTCGGCCCTAAAGGCAATACGTCCTAGCTTGCAATCCGCAGCTGCCCAAAGTGCTACGGTTGATGATATAAATCCTGCATTACCTTAAGGGCCCTAAACTATGGGAATTATGGTATATTCCTTATTATGGGTAGTGCAGGATTTATACTATCAACCGTATGTCATGCATCTGCTGGACCATTCAACCAACTCTGAGGCCATCATCTAATTGAGTGCAATATGGTATAACATAAAAATTGTCATCTTGTACTATACTATACCATATATAACACCAGCTTTATATCGTACAATAAGAATAGTATTATAGTATCGCATAATCTAGTAGAGTATATAAACCCTAAACCCTAAACCCTAATGCCAGTAGTATATTGTATGATATTATTGTATGATATTATAGCATAACCTAGTAGAGTATAAGATACGGCTTGCCCCAAGGCCAAGCCCGGTCGGGAGCTTACGGAGCTGCTCGTCAACGGCAACATGCGCGGCAAGGGAAATGCTGTCGGAGCCAACGAGCTTCGGCAGTGGTATACGGTTTTTATAGGTTTTTAGGGTTTAGGGTCTAGAGTTTAGGGTTTAGGGTTTAAGGTTTAAGGTGTTAGGGTTTAGGGCTTATGGTTTAGGTGTACTCATTGCAACCATGGCCCATGCTGGGAATCTCGTCCATGGTAGTGTTACCGTTGTTGCTATTGTCATTACTCTTGTGCTTATTCTTTATTTCGCTATCTTGCATTCTAGAACCAAAGCAAAGAGCAGCAGAAGCAGCAGCAACAACAGCAGCACTATAGCGCCGTGATCATTACCTGTACTATTTTGGGGTTCCTTAGTATAACTACAGTATAATGGGCTCCAAACCCTATTCTAATTTTTTTAGTGAGGCCCCTTTCTTAGGTCAACCTGAAGGGCTCCCAGATCCAGAACATGCAGCTAAAACTCCAGAAGCCTCCCAGAATCACAGAAACACTCTGCGAAGACCTGCAGGAAGCCGGAAAGGGAATCCAAGGCTGAAGTCCCAGCATCTTCGAGTTGAACGGTTTAAAGTAAAAGCCAGAAAGTTGGAATATGATTATCCTAAGCCCTTTATGGTGAATTATAAAATATCCTACCCTGAAACCATATTCCAACTTTCTGGAGTTCCCTTTAGGGCTTAGGGTGTATAAACCCAAACTTTGGACCCAACCGTGGCATCCTCGACCCTGACCTCTGAAGCGAAGCCTCGTTGATCCCGGAAGTCCCTCCACCTCGCACCTGCAGAAAGCATCATCAGCTTCTGCGCCAGCCCTAGTAGTAGTAGTAGTAGTAGTAGTAGTAGTAGTAGTAGTAGTAGTAGTAGTAGTAGTAGTAGTAGTAGTAGTAGTAGTAGTAGTCGTAGTAGTCGTAGTAGTCGTAGTAGTCGTCGTCGTCGTAGTAGTAGTAGTAGTAGTACTAGTAGTACTAGTAGTACTAGTAGTACCACCCCCAAAGCCCCTTGCTGCTACCCCCAAAGCCCCTGAACCCTCAACCCCGGATCTAGCGAGCATCGGATCTTGCAAGGGCCTCAACGGCGCCCTGCCGAAGTGGCCGAATGCCCCTGTCGCTGAAAGCTTTCTGCTGGGCAGCGATGCAAAGCCGCGGGCCTCGACGCTGCTGGCAGGTGGGGTGGGGCCTTAATAATTTCAATAGGGTTTGGGGCCCATTATTACTGTAATTATAATGAGGAACCCCCAAAATAGTACACTGGTTGTTGTTGTTGGCATTCTGCTTCGTCTTCCTCTCATTGTGACTGCGTTTGGTGTTTTCTTCTGCATCGTCGAACGTATCTTTCTTGGTGCTGCTACGACAGAATCAGGTTTTACCTGTTGAATTGGTCGGCGTCCGGCAGTCCACTCCCTGGGCTTAGCAGGTGGAATCCAAACGGCTCAGATTGAATTTGGGAGGACGTTGAGTGCAGAAGCCACTGTCAGCACGTTTGCAGAAGAAAGACTCCCACTGCAGTGAGTATGTGTGAGTCTAGGCTTTGGCTGAACGGGGTTTGCGGTTCACGATACAGCTTCTCTTCAAACTTAGGAGGGCTGCGGGGAGGCGGTGTCTTGCGTCGAGCTTCGTAACAAGGATTAGGGTTTAGGGGTTTAGGGTTTAGGGTTTAGGGGTTTAGGGTTTAGGGTTTAGGGGGTTTAGGGTTTAGGGGTTTAGGGTTTAGGGTTTGGGGGTTTAGGGTTAGGAAGCTTTGAGCGGCTGAGACCGAACAGGCGAGAGACTTACAAACAGGCCTGGAACCCCTAGCCTCAATACTTGGAGGTTCATGGGTAGTTATAAGTGGGATTATCAGTAGGGTAACTATAAGTATATCCCCTATTAGGGGACTTGTAACCCCACTTATAACTACCCATGAACTCATGAACCTCCAAGTAGCCTTGGTCAAGATCTCAAACATTGAAGTACAGTCTGGTGCCGTGGTGAGTAGCTAGGTTCCTCGTTGCCTCTGCTGCTGGTCCCAACCACAGCGGCCGTCGCAGCGACGAGTGGGCGCTGCTTGCCTCTTGCCTTCATGGAAGGGCTACTCTAAAGAATCAGTGCAGCTGGTCCTTCTCAGGAGAGTTGCAGTGTATGTGAAGCACGGAATTTGCAGTGTAGTCCGTCGTAGCAGCGCCAGCGGCGCGGCAGCAGTAGCAGGAGGAGGAGGACAATATAGGGGCCTGAATAACGATTTTGGGGGTTCCTTATTTTTATCATAGTATGATGGGCCCCAAAACTCTATTCTAATTACTACGGCCCCTGTAATAAATCCCCATCAAAGCCCTTGTAGTAACCCTTTTGGGCCCCTAAGTTCCTATTTTAGTCATTAAGGCCCCTAAGTTCTTATTTTAACGATTAAGGCCCCTAAGTTCTTATTTTAACGATTAAGGCCCCTAAGTTCCTATTTTGACGATTACGGCCCCTAAGTTCCTATTTTAATTATTCAGGCCCCGAAGTTCCCATTTTATTGTTTAAAGGCCCCTAAGTTCCTATTTTACTTATTAAGGCCCCTTTACGTTCCTATTTTAACTATTAAGACCCCTAAGTTCCTGAAATTACTTATGAAGGCCCCTTGACGTTCCTATTTTAACTATTAAGGCCCCTAAGTCTTTAAGTTCCTGAAATTACTTATGAAGGCCCCTTTACTTTCCTATTTTAACTAGTAAGGCCCCTATAGTACTGCTTTTTGGCCTCACCCGCCCAGTGGAAGACGGCAGGCTCCGCCCGGAGGGCCCCGAAGCTCTTGTGCCCCTGGCCATTGCCGGCCCCGGCCGGGTGGCTGCAAGAGGGGGTTCTTGTTAAGGGACTTAAATTTAAGGTGCCATAATAAAGAAACCCAGGGACCCTACACTATGGGAATTATGGTATATTCCTTATTATGGGTAGTGCAGGGTTTGTATTATCAACCGTATCAAGCCTCTCGTCCTCCAGTGCCAATCTTCCTCCCTGCCTTGGCACAGACATCCCAACATCGGCCTGAGAACTAGGATTTTGGGGCATATTATACTATAGTTACAATAAGGAACCACCGAAAATAGTACTGGTAATTTTTAAGTGTTTAAGGCTGATTCAGGGAAACGAAGGGGGAAGAGGTCTGCTTCACCTTTCCTCCTGTCCTTTTCTTTCCTTTTTCTCTCCCGAACTTGGAGGTTCATGGGCAGTTATAAGTGGGATTATAAGTAGGGTAGCTATAGTTATAACCCCTATATGGGGACTTATAGCCCCATTTATAACTACCCATGAACCTCCAAGTAGGATTTTGCGCCCAACGCCTTTGCACACATCTTTGACCGCCTGCCGGAGAAAAGGCTGTGGGACCCAGAGAATCCAATACCAATTCATTAAGGAATATACCTTAAGTTATAGAGGCCTCAATATTTAAGGTATATTCCTTGATTAAGGGGTATTGGGATCTCTTTTCATGAAAAAGATGTATTCCCTAATTAAGGGGTATTGGGATCTATGGGGACGGACATCCCATGTTCCAAGTTGGGAGTTTCATGCCCAAAGAGCCCAATACCCCTTAATTAAAGAATATGGCTTAAATTACATAGGGCTTCATATTATGATTTAAGGTATATTCCTTAATTAAGGGGTATTGGGCTCTCTGGGTGGCGGACCCCCAGCCACCGGGCCCGAGGGGTTCGAGACTGAGTTGCTTAGCGACTATCGAGTCCCCAGACTTAGGGGTTTAGGGTTTAGGGTTTCGGGTTTAGGGTTTAGGGTTTAGGGTTTAGGGTTTGGGTTTCGGGGGGTTTAGGGTGCCTTTCGATCATCACCTCTGACATGTTCCTCCGGTTTCCATATGCTTCGGCCCGGAGCGCTGCTTGTTGCCGCTCCTGGTGTGGCTTCGGTACGGCTAGTTACCACCTTGCACCTAGCCAAGACTTCCTTCCGCATGCTGCATGTCAGTCGTAATGGACTTGTTTAAGTGAATCTTTAAGTCACCCGGGTTTCGGCACCGTTCGAGTTCTTGCCCAAGAGCCGAAGCTTTCATATGAAGCCCTCCTGTCGGGGTCCTTATAATAAGGATCCTACTATACCCAGAGCCTCCAAAACCCCTTAATTAAGGAATATACCTTAAATTCTAATAGGATCCCTTATATGATTTAAGGTATATTCCCTAATTAAGGGGTTTTGGAGGCTCTGGGTAATTGGGGTACTATATCAGGATCCCCTATTTTCGGAAACTCCCTAAACCCTAAGCCCTAAACCACATTAAGATTCCCAGTCCGAGGTCCCTACGGCGTCGGGGTGGGGCTCCAGGCGACCGAGGTGGCTTTGTCATCGTTGGGTAACGTTTTACATTGTTATGGGTACTTAAATCCAATAAGGAATAACAGTTTAGATTTTTAATCTTATCCCCCCTAAACCCTAAACCCTAAACTAGGTGGTGGCGGACGCCACTGTGACGCAGGGCCAGTCGGCCCGAGGCCTATAGGGATTCTGTTGGGGTATAGGGGTGTAGAGTTTAGGGCAGCTATAACTGGGCTTATAAGTCCTCTGATAGGAGTTATAATTATAGTGTTACCCTACCTATAACCTTACTTCTATCTAGCCAGGAACCTCCAAGTAGTCGCGGAGAGCCAGGGCAAGAGCCATAGTGATGCCGGGACACGTGCATGTTTGCAGGGAGCAACACAGTCACCGCCAGACAGCTTGACTTTCGTTGCACCCGGACAGCACACATGCCATCCCAAAGCATGCCCTCCGAGGCTTAAATCCATAAAGTCATCTGAGAACACTGAAAGAAGTAAGAGCCACTACAGCCGGAGGTTTTTCAATTCAGCAGAAATCATGTGCAACACTTGCTCACGACCACCTCGCAACAGACAGGAACCGCGGCAGCTATGGCCCACGCTATCAGCGTCTTCGTTGCGTCTTGGCTTGCGATTAGTTTTGCAGGGTTTTGTGTGGTTCAACAGATGCAGGCCCTTGGTTAGCGGTCGTTGTCCGTATGCAGCATCAAGCATGACCTCTCTCGCTGGGCTCTGACGAGACCCAGAGAGCCCAATAATTACCCCTTAATTGAGGAATATATGGCTTGAGTTATATAGGGCTTCATATCATGACTTAAGCTATATTCCTGAATTAAGGGGTATTGGGCTCTCTGGGGAGCTGCATCATGCGGCGACGTTTGCACCCGGCGCATCTCAGAGCCAAGCATGCCCAGGGAACTCTGAGCTTAAAGTGCTCGACTCAAGACTTGAGATCCCTACTTGGAGGTTCATGGGTAGTTATAAGTTGGGGTAGCTATAGTTATAACTCCTAGTAGGGGACTTATAAGCCCATGTATAACGACCCATGAACCTCCAAGTATCCCAAGCTTCCCGACCCCTCATGCCTCACGCCTCTCGTACCTCCAAGCCCTTGAGCCAGGATTCCGCAGCTGCTTCTGGCGGCACGGTTAAGCAGCAGCAGCTGATGGATGACATGATGACGGGGGCCGGCTCGAACCTTGGGCTGGCAAGTGCTCTGTGTGCTTTTGGGGGTCGCCTGCGGGGAGTTGGCGGGTTTCTGTTGTCTGCAGTCTGCCGTGGGCCTGTAGGCCGTTGAGGCTACCCACTTGGGCCGTGGGCCTCTCTGTACGTACACCCAGCTTATGAAAACATCACATACCCCCGCCGAAGCCTCAAAGTCAAAAGCATACACTTTGATATACAGCTTACCGCTGAAAAGCGCACATCATGATGGGATCCTTAAGGGAGAAGGGTCCAGGGCCGTAGTTTGTGCCAAGTCTTCAAGCAACCCACCATTCTTCCTAGCACTCCTTAAGGTTCCCTAAGATCCTACAGCATCAGGAGTTTCTCTGCTCTCCGACACCCGGAGCATGCAGCCGTGGACTCCATGGAGGCCACCTTTCCATCAGAGGCATTGAATTAGAGTGTTAGGTTCTTGGAGTTAGGCCTCCCAGGAAAGCGCGCGCACCTGTGAACGCTGAATCGCAGCCACATCTGAGATCCGATGATCTGCGTGGCAATCCTCGGCTCAGGATTTTTGGAACCAACCAGCAGCTTTGCAGAGATCTCATCAGCCCGTTCATCGCCATGGCTCGTGCTCTTGTGCTCAGCTTGGTGCTGGCATTGGCTTCGGCAGAGTCCGTGAAGGATTGCATCGAAAGCAAGTGCCGTGGGTGCGGTGGAGAGCAATGTCAGCTTTGCCGCGAAGACGTAAACACGGTGTCTGCTTGCGTGTCATCCTGCATGGACAGCCTCTGCCGTGGCTGTGGTGGCGAGCAGTGTCAGCTGTGCCGTGAAGATGCCAGCCACATCGAGACCTGCTGCTCCCAGCAGGGTCTGGAATCCGTAACTTCACAGATCGACACGTGCAAGGCCAAGCCCACAACTCCTTGTGCGGGCTTGTACGGGGCTGAAAGCCTCCAATGCGCCTGGGAAGAGGATGTGAAGAGCTGCCTGGAGACCAGCTGCCGCGGCTGTGGGGGTGAGCAATGCCAACTGTGCCGCGAAGATGCGCAGAGGATCGACACCTGCTGCCAGGATCACTGGCACTCGGTGGATCCGCCACAGATGTGCAAGGATGCCAAGGAAGACCTCGAACCCAAGAATCCTTGCGATGGCTTGTACGGCGCTGAGAGCCTCCAATGCGCGTGGGAGCAAGATGCAAAAAGCTGCGTGGCGGCTGCATGCCAGGGTTGCAGTGGCGAGCAGTGCCAGCTGTGCAACCAAGATGTTCAGAAGATCGCCAGCTGCTGCGACGAGCACTACCACTCCGTTGATCCGCCGCAGATGTGCAAAGACTCCAAGGAGGAAGCTGTTACCAACTGCTTTGACAGCAAGTGCCGCGGTTGTGGTGGTGAGCAGTGCCAGCTTTGCCGTGAAGATGCCAAGAGCGAGTGCTGCACTGGATCCATGCGAACTCCTTCCTGCGAGTCTTCCAGGGCCGTCCTTCCATAAGCGAAGAAGTGTACAGCTTTGTGGCCGGTGCCACTTGGAAGCTTGCAGATATGCTTAGACCGATTTTGAGCTCAATCTAGTTGAGGACAGAAGATCCTTGCAGTTTTAGACTTTTAGATCCAGGGAATTATGCCTTTCGGACCTGCTTGCATGAGGTTCCATTCCCAGCAGGACAGGATGCAACATCTACAGACTCCTAGGTGCGTCATGGTGAAGAGGCGTGCGTTGCCAACCTTGGCTTCTGATGCTTCCAGGAATTTAGCGCATTTCCTGATGTCAAACCTCTTGCCCCAAGCCCCAACAATCAGGGACCGCGGGGAGCTCGCAAGTCGGAGACCTTACATAAACCTTTCAACCCTGACCCCTAAATCCTGAGATACAACTCCCCGAACCTGGACGCTGAATCGCAGCCACATCTGAGATCCGGTGATCTGCCTGGCAACTCTCGGCTCAGGATTTTTGGAACCAACCAGCAGCTTTGCAGAGATCTCATCAGCCCGTTCATCGCCATGGCTCGTGCTCTTGTGCTCAGCTTGGTGCTGGCATTGGCTTCGGCAGAGTCCGTGAAGGATTGCATCGAAAGCAAGTGCCGTGGGTGCGGTGGAGAGCAATGTCAGCTTTGCCGCGAAGACGTAAACACGGTGTCTGCTTGCGTGTCATCCTGCATGGACAGCCTCTGCCGTGGCTGTGGTGGCGAGCAGTGTCAGCTGTGCCGTGAAGATGCCAGCCACATCGAGACCTGCTGCTCCCAGCAGGGTCTGGAATCCGTAACTTCACAGATCGACACGTGCAAGGCCAAGCCCACAACTCCTTGTGCGGGCTTGTACGGGGCTGAAAGCCTCCAATGCGCCTGGGAAGAGGATGTGAAGAGCTGCCTGGAGACCAGCTGCCGCGGCTGTGGGGGTGAGCAATGCCAACTGTGCCGCGAAGATGCGCAGAGGATCGACACCTGCTGCCAGGATCACTGGCACTCGGTTGATCCGCCGCAGATGTGCAAGGATGCCAAGGAAGACCTCGAACCCAAGAATCCTTGCGATGGCTTGTACGGCGCTGAGAGCCTCCAATGCGCGTGGGAGCAAGATGCAAAAAGCTGCGTGGCGGCTGCATGCCAGGGTTGCAGTGGCGAGCAGTGCCAGCTGTGCAACCAAGATGTTCAGAAGATCGCCAGCTGCTGCGACGAGCACTACCACTCCGTTGATCCGCCGAAGATGTGCAAAGACTCCAAGGAGGAAGCTGTTACCAACTGCTTTGACAGCAAGTGCCGCGGTTGTGGTGGTGAGCAGTGCCAGCTTTGCCGTGAAGATGCCAAGAGCGAGTGCTGCACTGGATCCATGCGAACTCCTTCCTGCGAGTCTTCCAGGGCCGTCCTTCCATAAGCGAAGAAGTGTACAGCTTTGTGGCCGGTGCCACTTGGAAGCTTGCGCAGGTATGCTTAGACCGATTTTGAGCTCAATCTAGTTGAGGACAGAAGATCCTTGCAGTTTTAGACTTTTAGATCCAGGGAATTATGCCTTTCGGACCTGTCTGCATGAGGTTCCATTCCCAGCAGGACAGGATGCAACATCTACAGACTCCTAGGCGCGTCATGATGAAGAGGCGTGCGTTGCCAACTTTGGCTTCTGATGCTTCCAGGAAATTCCCGTGCGTCTCATTTAAAGACCCATGTGGGAGTTGCCGAAAATAGGGGTACCTTATTTTGGGGTCATGATAATAAGGATCCTGCCATTTAGGGTACTATATTAGGGTCCCCCATTTTCGGAAACTCCCATGTCAAGCCTCCTGCCCCAACCCCCAACAATCAGAGACCTCGCTTGGACTCGGAAGTCTGAGACCCTAATATAGGGCCTTAATAACAATAATAAGAAGAAGAATAATTAGAATAAGGTTTGGGGCCCATTATACTATAGTTATCATAAGGAGCAACCAAAATAGTATAGGTAATTTTGAAAGGCCCTTCTATTATGCCTTTCAAACCCTGAAGCAAACCTTTGGACCCCAAGCCCTAATGCCTCCAAACCTTCGAACCTTGAACCGCGGAAGCTCTCAAGCTTTAAAGCGCTAAAAGCCGAAAGCCCCAAATCGCAACAAAAATACACCAAAGGCATCCCAAAACCTTCAGACCCGACTAAACCCCCAAATGCTAAACCCTTTACCCTCCACCCGCAGGTCCAGGTTCCCAGAGGTCCCCTAAAAAGGATCCCTGATCGAAACCCTGACATACACCCGCGGTACTTGGAGGTTCATGGGTAGTTATAAGTGGGCCATAAGTAGGGTAACTATAGTTAGAACTCCTATTAGGGGACTTAGAGCCTCACTTATCACTACCCATGAACCTCCAAGTAAGGCAGCCTTGGCTGCGGGCGTCGCAGCCTCGGATGCCGATGCAAATGCACGAGGCGCGTGGAAGCGTGATAGGATCCGGAGGATCAGAGTTCGGGGCTACAGGGAATTGAGGGTTAGGCTTACGGTTTCGGGTTTGTCTCTCACGCTGCTCTTTCGCCCCGAACCTTTGAGCTCAAAACCAACCGTAAATATGAAAGACTAAAGCCCACAACCTGAAACCTAAACCCTGCAGTCTTAAGCTCGGGATCATGGCAATTTTATTGCCGTGTTTTGAAACCTCCGGGGCCGGCCCTGGATTTCCTAACGGATTATGTGGGAATTTCCGAACATTATAGGGGTACCTTATTTTGGGATCCTCATGATAAGGATCCTACTATTTCGGATACTATATTAGGGTGAGTCAAAGGCTACAGTACCAAAAACTCCCCGAATCCAGTCTACACATTCAGAAGTTTAGGGTTTAGCGGTTCAGGGTTCAGGGGTTCCTGTGTCGCATGAGCTGAAGTGCTTAGCAGACGGCAAGCCCTGAATCGAACGGATCCAGAGTCACAAACCCTTGACACTTCTGAAGATTTCAGGGTTGAAGTGTAGGATTCAGGATTTTCAGTGATTGAGGGCCACTTGACAGAAGCCTCATGTACCCTGGGGGAAGTAGCATTCCGGTTACCTAAACAGTATAGGTTACTATCCACATACTATACACCCCAGTAGCCTACTATTTAGGTAGAACTCGGAACATTATACCAGAAATATGATACGGAACCCCCAAAACAGTATTGGGGCCCTTCGAGTAGAACTCGGAACCCCCACCCGAAGCCTTCAACCCACGAGCCGGAGGCGGCTTGAGCGTCGTGCACACGCTGGCCTCCGTACTGGTCGGGATGCGGCCCGAGGTGCCCTTCCCACTGGCTTGCCGATGCTTGGGCGAAGTTGGGGCCGGCTGTCTAGCTCAGGGCTCCTGTTGAGCGGCCGTTTTGATGAGAACAACCCCTTCGAACCTATAGCAGGATCCAAGAGCCCAGTGGATGTGTTGAAGAAGCGCTTAGAGATTGCAAAGCAACCCCTAAAGCCTAAACCTAAACTCTAAAGGCTAGACCCTAAGGAGCAAGAGTCTCGGTGTGCATGAACAGCTGAGGAGTGCTCCTGCCGCCGGTACTTCGCGCTTGGGCCGAGGAGGTCACGGAAGGTGGCATGGTTTACATAAGGGCTCTCTAGGCTTTAGAATTCAGGGTTGTATGAAGGTTCTACAAGCGTCTTTTTGGGTTTATGAAGGTTTTGCACCGTTGCTCACTGGCTGTGCTCGTTATTGATACTGTCGGGTACTGTTTGTTCTGTTGTTGCCTATATTATGCCTGGCTGTATTGTTGTTCATGTTTGTATGAATCGTAGTAGTGTTTCTGCTATCCTTGTTGGCATTATAACCACCTTTCTTGACGTCCGTAGTACCAAGCCTCAAGCAATACTATATTTCATGATGATTACGGTGTTAGTGATGTTTGCGATGGTTATGATTATCATGGTGATGGTGGAGGTGATTATTCTGACGATGGCGATGATGCTGCTGCTGATGATGGTGGTGGTGCTGCTGCTGATGATGATGATGGTGGTGACGATGATGGTGACTACGATGATGGTGGTGATGACGATGACGACGATGATTGGTTGATTGATTGACTGCCTGACTGACTGACTGACTGACTGACTGACTGATTGACTAACTGATTGATTGATTGATTGATTGATTGATTGATTGATTGATTGATTGATTGATTGCTTGACTGAATGATTGATTGATTGATTGATTGATTGATTGATTGATTGATTGATTGATTGATTCATGGATTAGTTTATTGATTGATTTGATTGGTTTGATTTGTTTGATTTGTTTATTTGATTGATTGATTGATTCATTGATTGCTTACTTGATTGATTGATTTATTGATTGATTGATTGATTGATTGATGGATTGAATGATTGATTCGTTGAATGATTGATTCGTTGATTGATTGATCGATGGTTTGATTGATTGATTGATTGATCGATTGATTGATTGAGTGTGTGAGTGTGTGAGTGAGTGAGTGAGTGATTGAGTGATTGAGTGATCGATCGATTGATTGATGATGATGGTGGTCATCTTGATCCCCATGATGATCATTCCCACAAGAACTCACAAGATCTGCTTTCTTGAACTTGCCTTGTTGTCGCATTTCAAGGACGACTCTTGCTACAAGTTCACAAGGCTGCGGATTTATAAATCATAACCACCCCAGGAACTGAACCGGGAACCATGAACTGTAACCCCCCAAGTTCAAACCCCGAAATCCTACAGAAGAGCCTGGAGTTCCGAGGCAACGAGGTCGCGGCCGTGTCGGCGATCGCTTTGCTTTCGGAGGTCTGTCGCAGTAGTGTTGGGATAGTCTTCGAATTTCAGTCTGCGGAGTTTGGGCTTTTTTGGTTCCTAGTGTCGTGGTTCGAGGTTCCGGGTTTGGTGTCTTTTCGTTTTGAACTCTCTGCCCATAAACCCCAAAATGCCCCCCCCGTAAACCTTGCAAGCCCTACACTGCCCCACAAACCCCAAAGCTTTTGCAGGCCATGCTGGGCCCTGCTCCCACCGAGCAGTCCCTGCAGCGACTGGCCGACTTCGTCGACAACTCCTGCGGCAACTGGGATTGAGCTTTAGTCGTTAGGGCTTGTGGTGTTTGCAGAGTTTAAACAGGGTGCTAAGGCTTAGCATCTGGAAAGCTAAACCTGATCCGCCGTCCACTGGTTCTGCAGAGTCCTTGAAAAGAAGCCTGCTTGGCCATGTCACCCCAAACGCAATGGTAGCTTCTCAGCAATGGTAGAGCATGGTGTGGCATGGACATCGTCTCCGATTGTCCTTTTTCCAGCATCTCTCTATCCCTGAACCAGCCCGAAACCCTAAAACCACACAGCCATCCCCCGCGAAGCCCAAAACAATAAAGCGTCGAACCTTGGACCTGAACCCAAAGCACTGAACCTTACTTGTGCTTAGTAGGGAATGGAAGAATGGTAGTAATAGTAGTAATTATAATTGTACCCCATTCCTCCATTCCCTACTAACCAAAGGTAAGGAACCCAATACCCACAGCCCAAACTCAGTTCGAGCCCTTTTCCCGAGGAAACGCCGGGCTCCCGCCCGAACTCGAGCTCGATCCTGCCGAAAGTCCGGAGCCCGGTTGGGGAGGACCGATTGGGTTGCTTTCAGGGTCCCTTTAAAGGGATCTATAGGGATCCTATGAGGGTGTACGGGTGCACAGTTTAGGGTAGTTAAAGTGGGGTTATAAGTCCCCTACTAGGGGTTACAAGTATAGTTTCCCTTACTTATGACCCCACTTATAACTACCCTTGAACCTCCAACTGAAGCTGTAAGTTGAGGGTCTAAGGGTTGGGCTGTAAGATCTTGAGTTCGAGAATTTACGCCTTGAAGGCAAGCAGTCAGGAGAAGCAGGCGGGGTTGGTCTTGGATATGCCGTCGCCTTGGCAGAGAAACGGAGGCCAGGATCATGGCATCAGAGACTATAATGCAACCCTAAACCCTAAACCCTGAACCCTAAACCCTAAACCGCAATTTCACCCTCGTCGGCGAACTTCTGTCAAAGCACAGGGCACGCCCGGAACCGAACCCTTGATCTCCTCGAGCACTGTGCATGTCTTGAGCATGCCCAAATCCTCAATCTTTCAACCCGAAGTGTTACTATAACTATTATTAATGTTATTGCTATTATTAATATTATCAAAGATATGGTTATCATTACGATTAATACTAACACTACTCTTCAACACCACTTCCCAAACCCCCCTAAACCCTGCACCAAACACCAGAGAAAAGCTCGTTTAAGGCCCCGAGAGTGTTGCCGTGCTGCTGGCCGCCAACGCTGCACAGGCCGGGGACAAGGGGTGTGGTGCCTTCGGGTTTTCTGAGTATCAGGCCTTTTAGGGCTTGGGGTTTACGATCTTGTTGTCTGGGGCGGGCTTGTTTTGCCCAGATTGGGCAGGTTCGAGTTCAAGGTTTGCGGCTTATGTTGTCGAGCTTTTTGGCAGAGTAAGAGGCTGAGGGCAAGAGGCGTACAGGATGACGGTAGCATGCAGCGTAAGCTGACCCTTGAGCCCAAAGCTCTTGAACTCAATTCACCAGAACTAAAATCGTAACGACCGCAGCTGCAATTTTGTAACAAAACAAGAAGCACAAACATCGATTCTTGTAGCATTTCCAGAAGCTCACTGAAGAACATGCCGCTGGACCGCCAAAGCCTTCTGCAGGTTAGAGTAGGTTTGAGGCTCTTTGTTTGGGCTTCTGGGGTTTGGGGTTTAGGGCTTAGGGTGTTCATGGTTTGGGCTACTGGGGTTAAGGGTTTAGGGCTTAGGGTTTAGGGTTTAGGGTTTAGGGTGTAGAGTGTAAGGTTTAGGGCTTAGGGCTTATGGTGTTCATGCTTTGGGATTCTGGGGTTTCGGGATGCCAGCTGGGGGTTGCAAGGGGCCTTGATCTGCGTGTCTCGCACCGAGCCGAGGCATAAGCACATAACATTAACATATACTACGCCGTTCTTGCAGGGGCCTTAATGATTATAGGGTTCCTTCAAAGGGATCCTTAACGGGGTCTATAAGGGATCTATAGTAAGTTTCTACAGTACAGGGGCCTAAATATTTACCAACACAAGTTTTGAGGTTCCTTATTATATTTGTCGTATTTTGGGCACCAAACCCTACTTAATTATTCAGGCCCATACGACGGACGCCTATGTAATTAGACTATGGTTTTGGATATTTTATGTTATACAGATAGCAGGGAATCCAAAGGAATAGTATCGCTAGCTATTAGAGCACAACTTGCGCCATCAACAAAGAGTCAAGGTCAGTTAAACCTAAACCGCAAACCCTGTAATTGTCTTTACACCCTGACCCCTCAACCCCTAAACCCTAAACCCCTAAACGCCCAAACCCCTGAACCCCTAAACCCTAAACCCCTAAACCCTAGACCCTAAACCCATGAATTGGCAGCTGGAGTTCCGAAAGCCTAAACCCGAAACCCAAGTGCATATCCGCATATCCCACCGAAGCAAAAAGTAAATCCTGTAAATTTTCAAATCCGTTACCTTCAGATTCAACAGCCCACGGGACACCATGTGCCCAGTCAGGCACCGGTCATGTCGCAGCGGCCAGCGCCCGCATGGGTGAACGAGCCTCCTGCACTTAATGAGGGCCCTACAGTTGAAGGAATGGAGAGTTACATGGAAGTTTCCGAAAATTAGGGGGTACCTTATTTTGGGGGCCGTATAAAATAAGGGTCCCACTATTTAGGGTGCTAGATTAGGGTCCCCTATTTTCGGAAACTCACAAATAGAGAGCGGGATTCGGCTCCTCCTGCTCGGGATTTGAAAACCTCGACGCCGCAGTGGGTATATCGTCATCGGGTGTAGAATCTCTCTCTCGATGCGAGCTCCATCATGTGTGGGGCATAGGTTCGCAGATCGTTGAGAACGCTGTCCCTTAAGCCCAAGAACCCTAAACCCTAAACCGTGTCCCTTAAGCCCAAGGACTAGAATCCGACAAACCTTCATCTTACACCCCGAGCCCGCAACCTCAAGAACTGCGGGCTTGCTGCCTCAAGCCCAAATCTGCAAATCCCAAACAACACGATACAGGGGCCTAAATCGTATAGTATACCTTAAAACCCTATTCTGATTGTAACCCTATAGCATTAGTCAGCGGGGCACCCGCGAGTCTTGGCCATGTAGAATCTTGAACCAGCAGCGACTTACGACATCTCTCTTGCCATATCTTCTCTCAGGAGGTATAGTACTGGTGGTATAGCAGTGGGTGCTAGATTCCATGTGGGAGTTTCCGAAAATGGGGGTAGCTTATTTTGAGCTCCTTATAATAAAGATCCTACTATTTAGGGTACTATATTAGGGTCCCCTATTTTCGGAAACTCTAAACCCTAAACCCTTTATAGAACCCTTATAGCTCCCTTTAAGGAACCCTTTAATTTGTTGGGGTCCCCTATTTTCGGCAACCCCATGTGGGCCCCCCTTGACCAGTCGGGACGTGCTGGTAGAGCTCCGAGGCCGCAGCGGCTGGAAGCCGTCTTTCGTGCCGCAGTGGGCGCAGAAAAGACGTGGGAGTTTCCCAAAAATTAGGGGGTACGTTAGGGTTCCTTTACAAGGGCTACTATAAGGGTTACTATAAGGGCTACTATAAGAGTTTATATGTGAGTTTCCGAAAACTAGGGGGTACCTTATTCTGGGGTCCTTATAATAAGGATCCTACTACTTAGGGTACTATATTAGGACCCCCTATTGATCCTACTATGATTTAAGGTATATTCCTATTAATTAAGGGATATGGGAGAAGCACCCGACTCTGGGAGTGTGTACTTAAAGGATCATGGGACTTAGTAACTAGGGTAATAATTAGGGTAGCTATACTTATAACCCCAATTAGGGTACTTATAACCTTACTTACTAAGTCCCATGATCCTCCAAGTATGCATGTATGTGGAAGGCGCGTGCATGTATGTGCACGTTCTGCATCTGGTGGGCTCAAGATAGTGACGAATGTGCTGTGCCGACGGGCGTGGGACCAGGTGCGGTCTGTGACCAAAGTCTGTCCATGCAGTGTCCCGAGCCCTAGAATCCTAAGTTCAAACCACCTTTTCTCTGTCTCTGCGTGGCAGTGGGGTCAGTATTGTATGATGTTTGTACTCTTCTGATATCCTGGGAAACAGACAGCCATGCTGACAAGCTGAGCAGAGTACATGCCTCGAGACTACTCCGCATGTGTGACTGGGGAGCTGGGATTGTGTTAGGTTGATGTTAATCAGTTGGTTTATGTGGCTATATGTGTGCTGCATTGCTTCCCAGTATGCCCCTCAGCCACCTGCGGCATTCAACCAACCAAACCTAGGCGGGGAGAAAAGAGGGTTCAAACAAAAAAAAGCCATGAATCAAACCCTGACAGAGCCTAAACCCGAAACCCCAAACAGAGCGCCTACAGTCCCAAAGGCTCTGCAACACCCGCAATCCCAACACTCCCCAACCCCAACCCCAAGACCCCAAAAAACAAAGCACCCCCCAACTCTGAGCCCTCAAGCCCGCGAAACCCTAAATGGGTCGTTAAAAGAAGGCCCAGCCCTCAACCGCCCAACAAAGCTTTACACTCTGAGCTTGACAATTTCATACGCTACACGAGCCCAGCAGTTTTGGAGGAAGTCAACTCCGTCGCTTAGACATGGACAAGGCGCAGCGGCCTAGGTGTGCTTGGTTCGGGGTCAGATGTGTTTTTTTGGGCCTACGCGCGTTTTTTCGTTTATAAGTCTTGGTGTTTTCAGGGTTTGGGAAAATGCAGGGTCTAGAATGGTTTAGAAGAATAGGGTTTGGGTTAGGTACGGCCCCCATACAGTAAGAGTCTATAGTATTAAGGTCCTACTATATCTATGTTATGAATAGTGGGCCGTACCCTGGGTTTGGGCTTATGGAGTTTGGGGTGAGAGTTTTTTGGCCGTTTCTCGTTTAGGGTTGGAACCTTGGGCTTCAGAGGCTTAGGGTCGTCGAGGTGTCCTCCGAGGCATGGCCCCTGGAAGTAATAATACTTTAGAAGCTGCCCCTACCCTGTAATAGTGACTATAAGATTATAATAGGGCCCTGTTATATTCCAATTTTACCACTATTACAGGGTGGGGGCAGCTTCTAAATAATACTGATGATAAGACTAATCACAACAGAGCAGATAAAAGTCAGTATTAGTAAGGATACGGTTATGAAGCTATAGCACGATTTTCGTCACAGTCAGTATAGTCGTATGAAAACCGGGGTTTAGATGTATGTATACATATATATATATATATATATATATATATATAAATATCTATATATATCTATATATATATATATATATATCTGTATATATATATATATATATCTATATATATATATATATATATAGTAATCATTAAACTCCGAACCCTAAACCCTGAGCCGTGGAAGTTAAGGCCCTCAGCCCTGAACCTTTCAGTCCTGCCAGGTGAACCGAAACAGTTTAGGGCTTAGGGTTAAGGGTATAGGGTTGAGGGCGTAGGGCTTTTCAGGGGATTTGATGGTTTAGGGTTGACAATACCTCCTAGTATAGAAACCCTAGCTACTATTTATGTAGGTATAGGGACCCTTAGGGGGGGGGGTGTAGGGTTTTAGGGCTCTAGGCTCTAGGGAAAGCCTTCAGCCCTGCCAGGTTAACCCAGAACATCTGCCTGAGGCAGGACCGGGGGAAAGCGCTTATCTCTTTGTTGCATATTTGGCTTGTGCCAGGTAATAACGGCAATCATAATGACAACAATCATAATAGTTACAATAATAGTAGCAATAAAGAAATATTCATTACGCGTGTGTATATGTATATATAGTCAAGGGTTCAGGCTTAGGGTTTATTAGTTCTAAGAAAGGAGGGTTTTCCTGCAGTTGCGATGTGCCTTGCCCAGGTGTATGAACGAAAAACGTTCCCATTCAATCCCTCAGCTGGGCCATCTCCTGTTGACAGCAGACTGTCAACGCCAGCTGCATGTCGGCAAAAGTTTAGGGCTTAGGGTTTAGGGTCGATAAAAAGAGTTGAGGGTTCATATAGGGTTTAGGGTTTAGGGTGAATCTCTACATAGAGCCGAACGCCTGATCCCAAACCTCAAACTCCCAATGCATCCACCATCCCGAGCTGAGCGGCGTTGTCTGCGCAGCTGAACCTTAAGCCATCGAGCCATCCCCTCTCAATGAACCCTTAAACCCGAGGCCCTACAGTCTCAAATCCTAAACTTAAAGCCCTTCTTGATCTCGGAAGGGCTGGGGTTTCTGGACTCTACTACACTTCAACCCTGTGTTCACACCCAGGCTATCTCGGTGCAGTCCAGCCGACATCGTGCGTTAGGCGGCAATCGGCCGCACGTGCTGACGACGTGCCCCGGCAGGGGTCGGGTGGGGTTTGGTCTTTTGGGGTTTGCAGGTTTATTGTTTCATAGGCGTTAGTGTTTCAGGGTTTGGCATTTGGGGTTTTGGGTGTTGGGTTGGGATGCGGCTGGGGTTTAGGGGGTTCGAAAACCCAGAGTACCCAAAACCTTTTCAAGGAACTGAGACCCGCATGATGCAAAGCGATTCCAAGACCCTGCTATAGGGGCCCAAATAATTACCTATCTATCTATATATATATATATATATACATACTATTTTGGGGGTTCCTTATTATATACCTAGTGCAATGGGTCCCCCCTGGACCCCGAAAGTATGTAGAACAATAGCCTTTATGGGCCTTGGGCCATTAATATACCTGCTTTTGGGGGTCTGGGTAACCCTCAAGCAAAAGCTCTTTAGCTCCTAAAGCCTTACCCCCGAGCTTTCACAGCCCCTAAGAACCCTGAACCCACAACCCCGAAAGCGACATGCATAATGCTAAACCCGAAACGCCAAACCCCGAAACTCTAAACCCCAAACCTTAAACTCCTCAAACCCTATAAACCCCTAAACCCTAGAGCGCCACACCCCCAAAACCCCAAAAAGCAACCTTGAAAAGCCAAGGCACGGCCTGGAGTTCATCGCAGAGCCGGGGCCAGCCGTTCACCCGGCCTTCGGGCGGTCCCTGTCGGTGACCTCCCGGTCTCAGGACGGGTTAGGCTTTAGGGTTTGAGGGGCTTCGGGTTTAGGGCTTTGGGGTTTTGGGACTTGCGGTTCAGGGTTTCGGCGTTCGGGGGCTAGGGTTTGCGGTTTTGCGCAAGGAAAGCTTGAAGCCTTCATCTTCTAGAGCGCCATGATAGGATAGCAATATCCACCATCCTACTTCTTGAACTATTCGGGGTTCGAAAATGGCCACAACCACGATGGGCAGCCTCTTCGTCTTCGTGCTGCCGCACCCGTTGTCATGGTTCTTCTTCGTTCTTCTTTCTGCTTCTTCTTCTTCGGCATCATCATCATCATCATCACCACCATCATCATTATCATCCTCATGATCGTCATCATCGTCATCACCACCACCGTCGTCACCATCATCACCATCATCGCCATTATCGCCACCATCGCCATCATCAGCAGAATCACCATCGTCGTCACCACTACCATCATAGTCATCACCATCATCATCTTGATGATCATCGTCATCTTCAACATCATGATGATGGTCTTCATCATCTCCATCATCTTCACCATCACCATCATCGTCTTCTTCTTCACCATCGTCACTATCACCGTCACTATCACCAGCATCATCGCGTCAGAAGTAGCACTGTCCACGCTGCCATCGTCAGCATCGTCTTCATACCCACCGCCACGGGCATCATCCTAATCTGCATACTTCTCGTCCTCCTCTTGCTCCTCGGTTTGCCTCCATCTCAATCCTCCGACAGCCGCCGTCTTGTTCTTCTTTTTTTCGGAATCGCAACCCTATACCTTAAACCCCGCCCGACAGGAGGCGACAACTGGCACTATCCGGGCCGACGGTCTCGATAAGACCCACAGGAAGCACGTCTACAACTCCGCCCACAACTTCGGCCACCACGATGTGCGCAACAACATGAACCCCTTCATTGCGCAATATCGCATACCGAAGTGGGAGACGACCAGCACCATGTATGGTGAGCACTATCGGCATCCGGAACAGACCTACACCAGGCCAATGAAGAATCGCATGCCGGTGTTCCACATCAATCTGTGATGCCTGTGATCAGAGCCTGTAGCTGGCGACATTCGAAGACGGTTTCACCCCCGATATGCACGTGGCATCTAATCGAACCCCGAGCTGTGACGGAAGTTGCAGTGCCGCCAAAGGTGGTTGCGAGGGGTACTAGGTTGCTAGGACGATAATGACCAAGAACTTGAAACTTGGCACCTTTCGAAGTTGTATAATCAGCATATTCCACCAATGGTTAGTTGTAAGTAGGGTTATAAGTAGGGTGACTAAACTTATACTAATCCCTATTCGGGGAAGTAGTCCAGATGATCCTACTGAAAATTGCATGTCGCTCCTCTCCAGGAAGTTGAAGTGCCAGGCATTGCCTCAGCTCAGCCTGCCATCACCACCCCAGCTGCCTCGGAATCCGTGACACCTGACATGTTTACTGGCAGATCAACCCCAAGACATGGGCAGCTGTCAAAATTATTGTCCTTTTTTTGGGTACCTTAAATGTTAGGTGCCGTTTTATAATACTATATTATTTTTCATTATTGTTATTATTATTATTATTACTATTATTATTACAATTATTAGTATTGTTATAATAAGGACCCAAAAAGGGACCCTAATATTGACAACCACCTACATGAAACCGGCCGGTAGTGCTGGTATTGTGCTTGAGGCAGCTGGACGTAGCGAGCTCATAGAAAGCTCAAGAGCTTGTAATTGCGGTTCCTCATGCAGAGACAACAGTGCGCAAGGTTTGTGGTCCACTTTTTTTACTGTCCCTCTCAATGCTGATCTTTCGTAACCCTTCCTCATCCTCGTCCGCATGCTCATCCCCATCGGGATCATCATCACCACGTCATCACCCTCATGGTCGTCGTCAGCGTCAGCCGCTGCAGTGTCTGAGCTGATGTCCAGCCCCGAAACTCCAAGCCCCCAGTCCGATGTTGTCCATGTTAATGTAGGAACCTGATTAAGAAACCCTGGGCCTATAACCCCAAAATAGTAGGGTTCATATCAGGGACCCTAATAAAGGCCCAAGGTTTCTTGATCAGGTTCCTACATTACTGGCTTCACTATTGCGCCCACTTTCTGTTGCTGTTGCTGTTGACGAAGAGAAACAACAAGAATATAGAACTTTACCGCTGCCACCGCCACGTAGCACTGATATGCGACGACGAAGGGTTTTAAAGCTCTTCCCACTGCGACTGATACTTCCTATCATCTTTGCTGGTATAGGGGTCTCAATAATTAGACTAGGGTTTGGGGGTATATTGTACTACAGCTGTAAACAAGGAATCCCCAAAATAGTACAGCGCGACTCCACTCTGAGCGACTCCACTCAAGACAGTTCAGTGCTCGAAGACTCCCACCCTAAACCCTAAACCCCTAAACCCCTAAACCCCCTAAACCCCCTAAACCCCTAAACCCCTAAACCCCTAAACCCCCCGAAAACCCAAAACCCTAAACCCCTAAACCCCCTAAACCCTAAACCCCCCGAAAATCCAAAACCCAAAACCCCCAAACCAAGACACGACCTACGAAGGCCCATGCCGTCAAGCCTTGCGAAACGGCGGCCGATGACCTGAGATCCATCCTTGCTTGGAGGTTCATGGGCAGTTCTAAAGGGATCTATAGGGATTCTATAAGGGTATAGGGGTTTAGAGTTTAGGGTAGTTATAAGGAGGGCTATAAGTCCCCTGATAGGGCTTATGACTATAGTAACCCTACAGCTATTATACTATAGTTGCCCTATAGCCCCATGAACGTCCAAGTGCGGTTCACGAGTTCCACTGCGGGCTCCCACGGGGGTCTACAAGGGTTCTTCTGTTCATGTTTCAGTCTTTAATGGATGAGCCTTAACAAAATAGAATAGGGTTTTGGGGTATATAGGACTATGCTTATAATAAGGAACCCCCCAAAATAGTGTATGTGATTATTAAGGCTCCTAAAGTATTTCAGTGCTTGGTCTGGTTCGAGGTTTCAGGGGTGTTGGGGCTGGGAAGCTCCTAACCGTGGCCCTGCACCCCGAAAAAGCAAAAGCGGAAACCCTCAACCCCAAATCTCTCTTCGATCTTCCCTAAACAGTCCTGTTGCTCTGGCCTCACGTCAGCTTACGCCACGTGTGAAGTCGTTCTTGTTGTTGGACCCCCAAACCGGCCCTGATAGAGAACCCCCCCCGGTTGTCACTTTAAACGATCCGTCGGCCTCCGCCGGGGTCCTGCGCGCCGATGCCCAAGGAGAAAGGGCCTCTGCTCAAGCACGGAGGTTCACAGGGGTTGAAGATGCAGGGCCTTTTGGGGGATGGTACGGTTTTGGGGTGTCGGTCCATGAGAGGATTCGGGGTATGGTTGGGGTTCAGACGGTTCAGGACACTTAAGGTGTCCATCAGTGACACTGGTGTTGAAACTCACGGGTCAGAGATCTTGGGACTGCTTGGTGGTCTATGGGTAGTTATAAGTGGGGTTATAAGTAGGATAACTATAGTGATAAGCCCTATTGGGGGACTTGTAACCCTACTTATAACTACCCATGAACCTGCAAGTGCGGTATGCAGTTTCACTTCCTCACCTCCGTCCGGGGCATGGCCAACCCCCCTGCTTTGGCTTGTGTACAACCAGCAGGAAGCTTCACAGAATGAAGAAGATCCACCCGTGTGCACAGTAAGCGCATGGCCATCCGGCCTCTATGTTCGCGAACCAGCAATCGAGGGCAGCAGGCACACCCGACCATATATATATATATATATATATATATATATATTTTTTTTTTTCATCAAGATTTTTCTTTATCTATTTATTACTAATGGTCAAGAAACGCATGAACACTGATCGTGCCGGCCTTCTTCTTTAGCTGCTGTTAGCTGCCATGGCGCTGATGGGCGAGGCCAGCTGGCACATGTACATTTGTAAGTCTACGTGCTCTCATCTTACCCTCCGTCCGAAACCCTAAACCCTAAACCCTAAACCCCAAACCCTAAACCCTAAACCCTCAAGCCCTAAAGGATCCAAGTGCAGATTCCTCCCGGATTTCGGGCCACCCGCTTGGACCCAAAGGCCTTTATTCTTGGCACGGCGCCTGCGGCGCCTGCCACGAGGCCTGGGCATTGCGGTACACTTTTTTTTGTTAAGGGGGGAGGGGGGGGGTTAGGGTTTAGGGTTTGGGGTTTAGGATGATCTTTAAGTCGCGTTGACAGAAAAGGGTGCATCTAGTGCGACAGTCAAGAAGGTTCGTGATGCTACTAGCAATTTTAACAATCTTCATGACAATGGCCACAGCAGCCAGTATGAGATGTGATGTGAGAGAAATCGGCAGAATGGAGGTTTTGGGGAGTTTCACTCTGGAGCTGCATGCGTTTAGGGTTTAAAGTTTAGGGTGCAGGGTTTGAGGAGGAGCTTTGCGACAGGCTCGTCTTAAACCAAGACCTAGACCCCACATCCTGTGCCGGAGAGCAGTTGGTTGCGATCTTTTCTGCACAGGTTCTCCTCAAAGCCTCAGCGCGTAACGCGGGAGGTTCGGGAGCGAGGCAGGTGGGTCGTGGGACATGTCTTCCCAGACAGTGTGGTCTAGTCGAAGCGATGTAACATTTGATTCGACCTGGTGTTTTGATTCCTACTCCATGATATAATAGAGCATCACATGTATGTGATATAATAGAGCGTCACATGTTCTGCTGACGTGTATGATGGTGTCGGGTGTGTGGGTTGTTCTTTTTGCACTGCTCATGACTGTGCGCATGCAAAGCTCTGTTCATTCACCAGAAGCAATGTAGAAGCATGCATGCATGCATGCACCCCGCACAAACATACCTGCGAGCATGCATGCATACATAAATGCATACACATGCATCATCAGTCACTCCTCCTCCTCCTCCTCCCCTCCTCCTCCTCCTCCTCCTCCTCCTCTCCGAGTCCATGTGTGTGAGTATGCATGGATACCCTGTTCCAGGTTGTGGAAACAAATGCGCAGCAATGTGTGGTATAATTGTGCTACTGAGAGAAAATCTTTTGATTCGAGGTGCGCCGTCGACACTTGCATCGGCTGCCATGGTGTTGGCGGCGGGCGTTGTGGCAAAGAGGTGTGCCGCCTTGGCAATGCACTTGTGAACTTTGGAGTATTGTAAACCTGAGTATGGGCGATGGCCAGCGCATGGGCTTTTCGCAGTCGAGGCACCGTGCCACCATGGTTGGCACGTGTCGCTTGCGAGAACGCTATACAAGTCACCGTATTGTCCAACATGGGCTCATCTAGCACGAAGCCATCTTGACACACAGAAATCTCAGGGGCTAGGTAAGCCCTAAGCCATACAGCCTTGAAGCCTGACCCTGAAAGCAGAACCTAAGCCCGCACATCCCGTCAGGCGGATGGCAGACACGCGGGCGACCGCTGTGGCCACAAGGGTCCGGTTCTGAGACACGGGTGAGAGGTCCAAGCGTGATCTGAGACGCAAGATAGACACGCACACGATACGGTCCTTGCAACTCTGCGAAAGTATAAAACGGATCCTCTAATTTAGGGTACTAAATGTCCCCTATTTTCGAATGCCTCCAAGCTTGAAAGCCTCCGCTCAGGGGAAGAAGAGAGTGCTTCCCAGGATCGTAAAATCGGCTGCCAGGGCCCCAAACCCGAAGTCCAGAAGAGCACGACTGGCCTTTTTGTTGGGTATGGTTGTGGGGGACGTTTCGGGTTTGCAGGTTTTGAAACCTTGAGTCGGAATATGCAAAGCATGTGCTCTGAATTTCCACAGCTATGTTGGAGGTGCTTGCTCAAGTGTTGCCGTTTTGATCCGTTGGTTATTTTTGCGGTGACCAGGCGACGGCGACGGCACCTGTAGCGGCCAATGTTGCTGGATTGACAGGTCGGGATCTCGGGGTGGGGAGGGATACGACGGAAAATAGGAGACAACCGATGTACTCATGTTTCATGGTTAGGTTAGACCCTAAACCCTAAACCCTAAACCCTAAACCCTAAACCCTAAGCCTTCAGGATCCCTGTCTAGAGAACAGGCCCCGGAGTTTCGGGTTTAGGAACGAACACTTCGCGTGTAGCCGACACTCGAGCTGAATTGGCTATGTGTTTGAGAAGCTGCTACCAGGCCTGACGGTTTTCGTATTATCAAGTTAGTCCTGTATGTGTAGGACTCAAGCCACCTTTGCACGCCTTATGTAACCGAGCTTATCTGAAGCTGAGAGGTCCGAGTCGGACGCCAGGTGCTAGAGGTGCAGAACTTAAAGACGAACGTACTCCACTGTGGATGATCTGAAAGCGGCTCACACCGATTTAGAGAAACTACTACAACCAAAGCGAGCAAGAGTAGTAAGCTTGATGTTGGTAGTGAACACATTCATCACCACAGTCGCAAGCTGCTGCCACTCTTACTCTGGCTGCTCTGGCTGCTCCCTCGGCCCCTACTTTTGCTGCTCCCTCTGCTCCCACTGCTCTCACTGCTTCTTCTACTCCCATACTCTTACAATTAGTAAAACTCTTCCTCCGGTTTAGGGTTTAGGCGTTTAGGGTTTAGGGTTTAGCCTCGAACAGTATGGACGTAGTTGCAAACGTAGGATAGTTGCCAACTGCAGTGCGCGACCGGAAGCTTGTTGGGTGAGAAGCGAAGGATACCTGTGAGGCTTTTGAGTCCAAGCCCTAAACTTCAAAAGGTACAAAGGCAGTTTACTTGCCTGTTTTCAGTGGGAATCAAGAGTTCCCTACAGCGCTGATTTTGGGTCATTCCTGCCCTCTGCTCCGCTTTCCACAGAATAGCTAGCCTCGGGCTGCTGGCTGGAGCGCCAGCCTTCCACCCGACATCCCAGTTTTGTCTCTTCATGTATCCTTGGCCCAAAGCTAGAGCCCTGAAACCTAAGTGCTAAGACTCTAAGACCTACACCCAGTAATCCCCAAGTGCCTGAGCCGTAACTTAGCCAAAGGCCCAACAATGAAGCTGGTGGTCTTCGGCGGCACCGGCTACATCGGCCGTGCTGCGGCCGGGGGTTGCAAAGTTCTGCTTCAGAGGGTTTTGCTTTTTGGGATTTTCAGAGGCTTTGAAGCCTGTGGCTCCTTTTTTACTATGCCCTCCATCAACCTGCAAGTGAAGCACCGCAGAGAGGGAGTCAGCAGATGCCAAACAAGTGCACAGATGCAAGGTTCCGGGTGCTTTTGTTAAAACGACAAATGCTGAATAGTCGCCAGGCCCCAACACTCCGAAGTCCTGTAGGGTTTGAGCTCATGGTTCAGGGTTACATTTTTTTGTATTACATGACATTACTACAGTGTGCGATACACATGTTGTATTATGTCATAGCCTAGACGGGTTGTCTTACAGCTCCTGGATGCCACGGCCTGAACCCAGAACCCTCTAACATAGACCACCAGAGAAAATCAGACCCTGCGTCTGCAGCAAGCCTTATAGCCCCTGATACTATGCTCAGAGCGATAATGACGGCAATAGTGCGAATAGCAAGACTTACTAATGCCAATCATAATTTTTGTAACCATAACAGTTGTTAATGTTCTTTTTGTTATTACTATTAATATTGCCACTGTTACTCTTACCGTATTGCTTTGTTGTTACTGCTGATACCCGTTATGATTGTTGTCTTTGTTATTACTATTATTGTCGCCACTGTTACTTTTACCTTATTGCTATTGTTGTTATTACTGATACCAAGCCGCGGAGGTGCAGGAGCTGGCTGCCCGAGGACACTCTGCGCCTGGCTCGGCCGAGTTAGACCGGGGTTTCAGGATTAGGGAGTCAATATACGGCAATATGTCATAATATATATATATATATATATCATAATATAGTGTAATGCAATAGAGAATATAGTACAATATAGTATAAGGCTTCGTCCTGTTTCGGTCTTTGGGGTTTTATCACGGCTTGGGGGGAGCGAACGCTTTCCGATTTGCTTGCTGGGCTTTTCTTCTCGTGCTCGCTGGAGCCCAAGTTTCCGACCGATGCCCTAAACTCCTGAGCCTAATGATGGGCCCGAAACCAAAGCCCACCCAGGCCAGGTGTCTTTGTTAACCAAAGGTCCATGCTTAGGAGTACGTCTCTCCATCAGCTCCTTTCAAGTCTTCTTGCGAGTGTGGAAGCGGGTGCATGGGTGAAACATGGTGAAGTGCCATACCGTTCGTTACACGGCAGACACGGCCTTGGATGGGTTGAGAATCGGCTCTCATACGGCATCCACTCGGTCCTGAAGTGCCATGCATGAGCATTCAGTGGCTGCTGTGTCAGCAGGTTCTTCTACCGAGTGTCACTGTTATTGCACGAGTGCTTCTTCTGCTTGCGCTGTTACTGCCACAACACTAATGACGATTAAGTACCGAAAGAACCCTCAACCCTAGACCCTAAACCCTAAATTTCTAACCCTAAACCCTAAGCCCCCAAAGCCTAAACCGAAGTACCAAAAAGTAATGCGAGCTTTGGTGCTGTGGTTGGCCGAGGTGGTGGTGTGCACACGTAGCAGCTCGGGCATCGGCGGAAAGCAGACCGCAGAGGAGACGCAAAGCAACGAGTGATGGGCTTTAATATAGGGGCCTCAATGATTACCTATACTATTTTGGGGGTTCCTTAGTATTATTATTTTTATATTTATTATTACCAGAATATGGTTATAATGATAAAGGCCTCTATAATACGATGTTGGGCGAATCATGCGATGATTTTGGGGGTCCCAAGCTCTGATGTGTCGCCTGGGATGAGTGTCGTGAATGGCTCAGCCTTTGTCTTGACAGCTCGGACTTCAAGCAAATAGAGACACTGAAACCTCCCACAGATGCCACAATGCTACACCCTGAATCTTTAAAGCCTGGAAGCACATGAACCCTGAATCCAAGGCCTCAGAGTCCAAATACAAGCGCGTCGGTCTGCCCCAAACCGTGAAGTCTATGGCTTCAGCTCAAGACCCTAGAAATCTCCGATCCCTAAAACCTAAACAGCAAACCCGAAGCCCCAAACCCAAAACTCTGAAAGATTGAAGTGCAAGTCAGGCCGGTCTTATACCCAAGCCTCACAGGCTACCAAATCCTAAACCCTAAACCTTAAACCCTAAACCCCTAAACCACTAGACCCCTGAACCCTAAAACACAAACCCCTGAACCCCAAACCCCTAAACCCCAAACCCTAAAACCTCAACCCCTAAACCCTAAACCCTTAACCCAAAACCTGAATCGATCCCTCGACCATCGCAGGATGTCCAGGCTTCGTTCGAGGGCAGCAACCTCGGACTCCCACCGGGTCTCGGAGAGGGAGAGTCCTGAGAGGCTTCTTCAGGGTTTAGGGCTTTAGGTTAGGGTTAGGGTTTGGGGTTTAAGGTTTACGGTTTAAGGTTTAGGGTTTGGGGTTTAAGGGTTACGGTTTAAGGTTTGGGGTTTGGGGTTTAAGGTTTAGGGTTTGGGGTTTTGAAGGGTTTACCGACAAAGTGCAGTGCGGGGCCTGCTGTCTTCCTGCAGTTCACTTGCTCCCGGTCCGGGTTTCAGCTGCGAAGCCCGGCGTCTTGGGGTTTCTACCTTTTAAGGGTCCCTTTAACGGGATCTATAGGGGTCCTATAAAGGGTTTTGGGTTTAGGGTCTACTTGGAGGTTCATGGGTAGTTTTAAGTGGGGTTTTAAGTAGGGGTAACTATAGTTATAACTCCTATTAGGGGACTTATAACCCCACTTATAGCTACCCATGAACCTCCAAGTACCCTTAGCCCGAAACCCTAAACCGCTAGCATTCATAAAATCACACAGAATGCGTACAGGGCTTTCGGCGTCCGTTCCGGGTCCCAGATCAAAGCCTGGCGAGGCGGGCCTGTAGGATTCAGCGTCTCGGACGATAGGCCTAAACCCCCTAAACCCTAAACCCTATAATCCCGAAACCCTAAACCCCTAAACCCCCTAAACCCTAAACCCTATAATCCCGAACCCCCAAACCCCTAAACCCTAAACCCTAAACCCCTAAACCCCCTAAACCCTAAACCCTAAACCCCTAAACCCCTAAACCCCTAAACCCCTAAACCCCTAAACCCCTAAACCCTAAACCCCTAAACCCCTAAACCCTCAACCCTCAATCTGATAGGGTTTAGTGTTCAGGCTTTCAGGCGAGGGCGCCGGGTCTGTACTACGAGAGCCGAAAGAATCAGCAAGATGACTCACATCAGTTTTCCGTTGCGCTGCAACTCAAGCCCATGCTGAAATCATTCAGAAAATAATAGATCCTGGGGCCACCGCCAAGATCTCTGTAGTCTGATCCCGACAGGATTGTCCTTGACCCTTGACCCTAGGCCCATAAGCACAAACCCCCTCAAAGTTGAAAGAACCTCCAAGCTCTTGACCCGAGCCCACAACGCCATGGCTCGCCTTTGGCTTTCCTCACTGGCTTTCCTCTCGCTCGGCGCATGTTCGCAACGTCCTGAGGCCGGAACGTTCGAAGAGGGACTCTCTCTCTCTCTCTCTCTCTCTCTCCCTCTCTCTCTCTCTCTCTCTCTCTTTCTTTCTTTCTTTGTCTTCGCTCTCTCCCTCTGTCGTGTTCTTTGTTCCCCTTGAACCATCGTGACATCAGGATCATCACCATCATCATAATCATCACCACCACCACCACCATCATCATCATCATCATCAACATCATCATCACCCTCAGCATCATCATCATCATCATCATCATCATCATCACGTTCACAATCTTTGTCGAATGTGGCACCAGCATCAGCATTGTAAATGTCTGTCCTTATCCCTATCTTTCTCCTCCTCACCATCAAAGTGGTGATCAAAGCCATCCTTCTCCTCATCAGCGTCATCATTGTCTTCTTCGTCGTGTTCCTCTACATGCTATCGGCCATTTTCGGTCGGAGGTGAGCACAGCGGACGGGCAGCTGCAGGGCGTCTGGAAGGGGGAAGCCGCTTGGCACACCTTCTTCATGGAGGTTGAACATGGTTTGCTGTGTAAGGCATTTGCAGGGCTGGAATCTAGTCGGGTCTTACCCTGAAGACGCCTAATCCATCTCTTCCATCTCTTCCCTCAAAGCAAACCCCCAAAATCCGAAGCCTCATTTTGCCATCCCACAAGGGCCACCTGTGCCCATCAGATGCTACGAACCCTCCGTTGAATTTACGCGAGACTCCTGTGGCTCCCGTACATGTGCCCAGAAGTAGCCGGTGGGTGTCTTTGCCCATCTGTTTAGTACGGCCATCTATTGCCCGCAATGTCTTGTATGGGCAGAGTTCCCAAACACGCCAAAGCCCAAACTCTAAGCCCGAAGCAGCCCGAAACCCCAAATCCTAAATCCCAAGCCCTAAAGCCTAAAACTTAAACCCTAAACCTTAAACCCAAAACCTTAAACTCTGAGGAGGCCCGTAAGTGGCCAACGAGCCTTCCCCCGTGGGATTTTCGGCGTGCACTGCAGGTCGTAAAAGAGGCGCTTAAAAAACAACCTTAGACCCTCAATCCTAAACCCCAGACCCTACCTGTAGCCGAAAAGACCTACCTTTTTAAGGAGCTCTATACAGAAACCATAATAAGGAACCCTAAAAAGGTAGGTCTTTTCGGCTACAGGTAGACCCTAAACGAGGTCCGGGCCTTCCAGGGAATCCCTTTCGCTCGGCCTCCCATCGGGGATCTGCGTCTGCGGCCTCCGGTGGCTAACCCGCCCTGGACGGGTCTCCGTGCCGCGGCTTGGGAGTTGGCCTTTGGGGTTGAGGGTTGGTTTTGGGGTTTAGGGTTTGGGTTGGGGTCGAGGGTTTCGGCTTTGTGTTTTAGGGTTTAGGTTTTAGGATTGAAGGTGCGAAGTAGCATGATGCGGGGATTGGAAAGGGTTTCGCATGGTGTTGGAAGACACCGCCACAGTATGTACAGAGTTTTGTGTCACGTACGGTTGTGAGGAACAGAGCTAGCGGATTTAGGTGTGGCGCTTCAAGCTTGAAAAGTCTAGTGTTTCATTAGCGGGCCTCCTTGCGCTTCACTGAACATGTTCATGAACAACTTCTGTCCATGTTACGCCTGCCCGTCTTGTACTTGCTACGCTACGGCGGGCTTGAGTATTCACATTCTTATGACAACACCAACTCATTATGTAAGTTTGTGCATTTTCCGCAAAGTCCACCCATTGCATGTGCAACAAGTTTGTACACTGCCAAATGTTGCTGCCAGCAATTCCAAAGTTGCTTGCGCTACGCATCATTCCTTGCAGGGCCAGGACGATATGAGTAGTTGTCAAAATTATGGTCCCTTTTGAGATCCCTAATATAATACGGCAGCTATTGTGTAGGGTACCCAGAAAGGGACCCTAATTTTGACAACCACCCATATGCCATATGCCATATGCCTACTTTAGACATTCGGCAGGCTGTAGGCGCCTTGAGCCTTCTCGGGCCTCCCTTGAGCAGTGCAGCCGAAACACTTACTAGTAACTTAGTAGTACTTGCAAAGCCTTTTGGATTTCACATTCTTCAGATCGTGAAACCCAAATCTATTGAACCCTGCAGGAATTTCGGGAAGTTTTTACACCTGCTTTCTGAGCCCTGCAATCTCGCTTGCATGTGTCTTTGTCTAGGACTTTCCGGATCAAAGGCATGAGGACTTTGGTGCTATGATTTATCGTGTCATGGATCGAGTTCGCTTGATGTGCTCTGAATTTGCACGTGTAACTCTGTTTCATTCAGCATCGTTCAGTTCGCTCCGCCCCAAGAAACTTGTCTACATCCAGAGGCCATAAGTGCAGTGGAGCGACCCCGAATTTGCTCAGGTGATGCTTCGAGTGTCTCAAACCCATGCTTTCAGCCGAAGGTACTTTGCGGGAGCATCAGCTTTGAACAGGGATGCGCGGGTTAAGGGGTTTCGGGTATAGCGTCAAGAGCGGTAGGGTCTTGGGATGTATGTTATTAGGGACCTCAAGCAGGTTTGTCGAATACGGCGTGAGTATGCATGCATCCGACCGGAACAGCACGTCCAAAGCCCCTAGATGCCCGCACCTGCTTCATGCCTTCTCAGGGATGGGGTCGAAGGAGTGTGATCGCTTGTATATATATATAGATAGATAGATAGATAGATAGATAGATAGATAGATATAAATATGTAAATATAAATATATATAGATAGATGCATAGGTAGGTGGTTGTCCAAATTAAGGTCCCTTTTTGGGTCCCTTGGGTTCCCAAAGACGGACTCATACAACTACCCATATATACATACATATATATATATATATATATGTATAATGTATATTCCTGCCAGGACCTGCAGGTTTATGGACAACGAGCCGTAGAGCAGCCTCCCACTCATTTTCGGCAACGTCGGCTTGACAGCTGCAGCATGTGTTCCTACGTCCAGAAACCCGCGCTGCCCTAAACCCTAAATCCCAAAAGCACCCAATTTTCAAGATCTGACCAGACGGGCGGGTCGGAAGATTGCCTGTACCTCAACGTCTACGCACCGAAGACGGCCTCCGGCGCATTGCCCTGAGCTTCGGCAGGAAATGTTGGGGAGTTTCAGGGAGTAATATAGGGGCCTTTATATTCAGAATTGGTCGTTATTGGAAGCACAAGCACCGGATTAAACAATTCTCGCCTGATTAGGCCTCAGGCCACAGGATTTCTCTTAACTTTTGAGAGTTCAGAGTTTGAGCCTGAGGGCGAAGGTCTCACAGTGAAGGTTTCTATATTACTGCCCAAACCTGCCCTAAACTACATCCCAAGTCCCAAAGCCTCAGCCGAGGTCCCAGGCAACTCAATCCGGAATCCAAGGCCAAACACCTGGAATTTAGATCATAAGTCCCTGAACCTAAAGCTGCTGATTGGGAGGAGCAGGCAAGCGCAAAGGGGAGTTCAGAAAAAGAGCCTATAGCTGCCGTCTTCACACATCGCCTTGGTGCGGAGCTGCGCGCCATAAACCCCAGACCTCCCCCCAACCACCCGAGACACTCTAAAGCTTGAAGACATGTTCTCTGAAAGCCAGATTTATCACCCAAGCCGCTAAACCCTGTACGCTGTACATACCCTAGATTATATAGCCCTAAAGCCTTATGTGCTTACCTCTAAACCCATCCCTCTAGTATCCTCTAGCAGCCCTTAACTATCGAACCTCATTTCCTGGCCAAGGTCTTGTGTGGATCCATGGCGGGGCCTACGAAATCGGCGTCGGTTGGGGTCAAAACGGAACGGCCCTAGCCACCGAGCGCAAGAAGTTTGGGGCTTTATGTTTCCTTTTCCCAGCTTTGGGGGTTTAGGTGTTGATAACTCGTGGATTCGGGTCTAGGGCTGCAAGTTGGAAACCAATGTCTGAAAGGCATTGGCCTTGTGCTGGTCTTTGTGAACGTCTTGGGAGGAGGGGTGTTCGGGGAAGCCCAGTGCGAGGTAGCGGGTGCATCCAGTGATGAGCTTAGTGAACCTAGGACTGCTGTGATTCCACCTACATCACAGGGACTTGTAGGGGGGAGGCCTTAATGCCATAGGGTCTTATAACATACAGTCCCCCTACCCCCTCCTCCTACCCGCCTAAGGGTCCCTATGACTATGACGTGTATCCTTGCTGACGACCCAAAGTCTTGTGCCAAGGCAGACTTCTACCAGCGCAGTGGCCAGCCGGCGGTAGTAGTGACCCTGACCCTCAGCTGTGATTACGTGTCTGGAGCTACAGCTACTGCTACTCCTTGCCCTGCTCCTGCTCGTACTCCGACTATCACTGTCGTTGTCGTTATCATTATCATTATCATTATCGTTTGTTATTATTTGTTACTATTATTGTTATTATTGTTGTTATTATTATTACTATTATTATTATTATTCTTGTTATTATTATCGTTTGCAGCTTTGTTGTCGTCGTTGTTGGCGCCATGTGCGTCTGCCGCCGCGGAGAGTGGAGCGATTTCGGGGCTGACACGTGCTAAAACTTCAGTTTTGGCACACTGCTGCTTGGAAAAGCACTGATTTGATTGGAGTTTGTTTTTGCATCTTTTTTGTGGTGTTTCCTTCAAAAAGTTCAATTTCAGGCCTGGGCCGCCGCAGCTTCATTCGGTCAGAGGAATGGGACAATAGTGCCGCTTGTCGTCCAAATTGTAAACAATTGCCCCAAGGTTCTAAGTTGTTTTGGGGATCAATATAGCTTTCGGGTTCAGGGTCTAGAATTAGGGAATTCTTTCTTCTCAGGAGCCGTGACTGCACCACAAAACTTCAGTCCGGCAAAACGTCAAAAATGGATGCACAACTCAAGCAAAAACACAAAGGTAAGCACGGTATAAGCACGGTATTTGCGACACTTTCGCAAACGCCACACTAAATAAACACCAACAGCAAAGCTTGATCAAACACCATGCTGCGAAACATGGTCCTATTCACGAAAACCCACACGAAACTCGAAATTTCCCGGCTCTTGACCAAAAAGGTTAACGACACACTCTCCACGGCGGCAAATGCATGTGCTTCCTTGTTGTTGTTGTTGTTGTTGTTGGTTGTTGTTGCTGCTGCTGCTCCGAGTACAAGTACAAGTACTTGAACTAGGACAAGTTGTCGGTCTCGTACCCGTGCTTTTACTAGTACTCGTGCTAGGACTAGCCAGCAAGAGCACTGCTAGTGGTACTGGTCCTAGTATTAATACTCGTGCTGGTATTGGTACTGGTCCTTGTACTGCTACTACTACGACGACTGCTATCCTAGGAAAACAATCCTACTCGGCCACTGCTCTCATCTTCATTGCTCTCGGTATTAGCACTCTCAGCACTAGTAGTCCTAGCGGTGATTTTCCTGCTGCTATCTGCTGCTACTTGGACATGCTTGCCCAAAAACCCCGCCCACGATTCTCACGGCTGCAGGTGCTAAACAAACCCTGAGCCCGAACCCTCAACCCTGAGCCCTGAACCCCCATGATTCTTACATCGTAGGAACCCTTGAAGTGCTTCGTTAACAGAGATAAACCCCAAAACTCTGAACCCCAAAACGTCCAAGCTGCACACCATACCCACAACCCTAAAAGCTCGAAACCCAAGCCGTGAGTCCCCACACTAAACTCAGAGCCCTAGACCCCGAACCCTAAACCCTAAACAAAACCCGAAACCGAGGAACTACCGGCTCAACGTCTTCGGTTCCCCGGCATTGGCTTTGCAGGGTTTCGAGTTGAGCGTTCGTTTCCTTCTCGAGCCCCTTCTGATATTGAAGCCTCAGGGACCCGAGTCGTATAGAGTCCACAGTGCCCAAATCCCCCCAACGCAGGCTTCCTTGGAAGTGAAGCGCTGCGCTCTCGCGACCCCGCGCACGGATCCACTGGAAACTATGGCATCCAGGACGACGTCAGTCGAAGGGCATCATGTCCATAGGCGGTGATCTAAGGGCGATTCATTGCTTTAAGCTTAGGAGGTCTTGATAAAAAGGAACCTGCGGTCTATGGAACTCCTCACAGGCAGAAACTGCCCCACATGGGGTATGGAAAAATCACCGATGGTTCCTTTGGCCGTCGTTCTGCAGAAAGGCCCAGACAGTCGAACGAACAGTCCAGCCATACTCGACCACTCAGAATTGCAGCAGGTTGCGGGTATGCTTGCATAGTGGATAGCATCTCCGAGTAGATAGTCCCCAGCTCCTGCAAGTATACAGAACCATACCCCCCGAACCTATTCGATTTGTTACGGCTCCTTTTTGCCAGACTTGCATCCGCAACATTTCAGCAGGTAAAACCTGTGTTCGCCCAGAGGTAAAACCGGTATTCGCCAAAACCCTAAACCCTAAACCCCAAAGAGGACCAGCGTCTGGCACTGCAGTGGGTGCAGCGCAACATCGGAGCTTTCGGCGGCGATCCGAGCAAGGCATCAGCTGAGGGGAGCGAGTCTATGATAGGGGCCTTAATAATTGGAGCAGCGTTTTAAGGCTCATTATACAAAAGTTAGAAGAAGGAACCACCAAAATAGTAATAGCTAATTATAAAGGCCCCTATATCAGGGGTTGAGGTTTCAGGGGTCTGGTGGTGTGGTATACAGGGGCTTGACTAGTTGCCAATTCAATGCCTTAGGGTTTCTCGATCTAAACTGACCTATATTATACACCTTCAAGGCCCCAGGTTTTTGATAAGGCGAACATCACAGACATGATGAGCCAATCTTCCCTGGAAGCACCAGGTTATGATCTTCGGGCAATCCGCCGGCGCGGGAAGTGCCCTTCCGTCTGCAAGAGTTGGAGGGTGCTGGACCTCTGGGGGACTTTGTGGATTTAGGGATTCAGGTTGTTTCGCGTCACAGCGAGCTGAGGTTTTGGTACAAGGATTTTTGCAGTTTCAGGACTGCTCTGGAAGTTTCGGGGGGGTTGAGGTTTCGGGATGTCAAGAGTATGCCGGGATGTTGGGCGAACTCCTGGTTTTGGGGACCTGCCAGCATCGAAAGTCTAAAGCTTCAACGGTGGTGGCATGACAGGGTTCTTTATGTCCTAGATTCGACTCTCTCTGCAAGGTTAAAGCCCTTGATGCCGGAGCCTCGTACAGCCGCAAGACCTCAAGATCAGCTACTTAAGCCAGAAGAACAAGAGGAACTGTATCAAATCTTTGGGCTCGCTGGTTTTTTGGAGGACAGGGTTCAGCCTGCGGGGTGAGGGGGTCGAGGTTGCGGGAGTTGCTCAGGATGTAGTGAGTAAGCTTACGCCGCTGGATCTTGTACTTACCTTTGGTTAGTAGGGAATGGAGGAATGGGGTACACTTATAACTACTACTACTACTACTACTACTACTACTACTACTACTACTACTACTACTACTACTACCATTCTTCCATTCCCTACTAACCACAGGTAAGTGTAGCACGAGCCCTCTGCTGTTTCACTTTGGGGGTGTAGGATGCAGGAGGTAAGTCTCAACCCTCCGAGGTGTCCACACACCTAAGCTCCGAGAGGCACCTCGGCTGCCACGGGAGGACTGCAACCCTAAACGAAGGGGCCTCCCTACCTTACTGTAATGGGCTTTATTATAAGGGGGGAAAATATAGGATATCCCTATCCTAATTCTTGCTTATGTGCTTTTTGGGGCCCTAAAACCCGGAGCCCCAAACCTTTCCTTGTAGTAGAGTAGGTAACCTAACCTTTTTTGGGTAGTATAGTCTGTATATAATCCCTAAGTAACCAAAAAGGTTAACCTTCAGTTCCCCATGACGCCCGACAAGTACGCTTTAACCCAAAACCCTTACCCAGAGAGCCCAATACCCCTTAATTAAGGAATATAGCTTAAGTCATAATATGAAGCCCTATATAATTTAAGCCATATTCCTTAATTAAGGGGTATTGGGCTCTCTGGGTAACCGCAACAAGGCTTGGGGATATAGAGGTTGGAGTGAGTCCCCCGCGTTCTCTTCCCGGAGGCAGAATCCACAAGCTGTTTAACCCTAAAGCCCCACATAAACCTGAGCCCTAAACCCTAAACCGCAAGCCCTAAGCCGCAAGCCCTAAACCGGAAGCTCTCAACTGTAAGCCCTAAACCGTGAGCCCTAAAACCGTAAGCCCCAAACCGTAAGCCTTGAACCGTAAACCCCAAACCTTAAACCGTAGACTTGTGAAAAGCGGCAAAAGCGGCGCAGTGCTCAGCGAGCAGCATGTGACAGGAGCAGTATCAGTCGCAGCAAGAGTTACAGTGGCAAAGGCAGCCCCGGTAGCAGCAGTAGCGGTGGTGATGTAGTCGGAGTAGCAATGAAACATCCAGATCCTAAGTTATGTATATATATATATACACTTTGCTATTATTGCTATCATTATTGTTATTATTAGTATTATTACTGTTATCATTAGTATTATTATTGTTATTGTTAGAATTTTTATTGTTATTATGAGTATTATTATTGTTGTTTTTAGAATTTTTATTGATATTATTAGTATTATTATTGTTATTTGGGAATTGGGCATAGTCTCAGGGCCCTGTCCTTAAACCTGATCACTAGCACTTTGCACCAACTTGAAGTGCAGAGAACTGGCCCAGAACTCCCGTCCGAGGAACTCGCTTGAATCCCAAACCCTAAACCCCAAAACCCTAAACCCTAAACCCTAAACTCTAAACCGACTCCCAGCCCTTTTGTCCCTAAAACTTTCGATCCCAAGTCTCAACTCCCTAATCTCCCCGCTTGAACCAAAACCCTTATGGGAGTTTCCGAAAATTGGGGGTACCTTATTTTGGGGTCCCTATAATAAGGATCCTACTATTTAAGGTACTATATTAGGGTCCCCTATTTTCGGAAACTCCTTTATTGCTTTTCCCCCAAACCCGACTTCCCAACTGATTCCAAGGTCGAAGGGGCTCTTCTCTAGTGCCCTGATGGAGTCGGGAGGAGCGGGCGGGGATGGCAGACCAATGTCGGCTTCTGCTACGTGACTTGCGTTAGAGCATAGCCTGCTGCGGTCACCTCTCCTATGGTCACCTAGCAGGGGGGAGCTGGTTGTATAAGGTTGCCGGCGATTTCCTGCTCTTCTGTGTCGTGTTCAGGCTGCATGACGTCAAACGCTGCTCCATCTGTCCTTTCCAATTTGCCGTGCATTCTGTTGCATGACGCGTTTCTGCTATATCACGCTGTGCTACCAGTTGCTGGATGCCAGACTGCAGGACGTTATGCCATGAGATGTATTAAGTCAGGGCAGCGCAGAGCCATGCAGCGTACTGTGCGATGTTGTATCCTACTGCCCTGCTTGGCCTCACTGGATAGGTTGTAACACCTTCTATTGATTCGTGTTGCGGTTTACGGTTATGACGTCGCGAGCCAAACTAAAGTCAAACTGTTGATCGGTCGATATTTTAGCATCTCAGTTCCGAGACATGGGTGGTTGCGGTTCGGACGATTTAGCTTGCAGGTGGCCAGGGCGACGGTGCAGAGTTGGTGTCCAAATCTCTTATCTGACCATATAGGACACCCGCTTCGTACCCTAGTTGGTGTTCGACTGGATTCCATGCTGCATTGAAATCGGCTCACATATTCATGCATACGCAGACGCACGAAACTCTGTGATGTCGTCTTAAAGAGCCTCAAAGCGTGTGCTTCACGATCTGATGCCGGAGGCAAGGGTTCAACCTTTGAGGTTCGGGCATGTGGAGCGGTGGGGTGGTCTCGGGTTCATGGGCTTCTGAGGGGTTTGGGCTACTGGATGTCGGGTGTAGTGCGTAAGGTTGGGTGATCTGTGGAGGGTAGGCAGTTCGGGTGGAGCTATGCCCTAAAGCCCGCATCCAAAGCATCTGCCTTGGACACGATGAACGAAGCCCCACTTCGAGCGAGATGTCCATCGTCACCCAACTCTAAGCCCCTGAAGTTTGTGGCCCTACGCACCAACGCTGATCTCTGAACCCTGGATCCAAAAGCGTAAACCTGAAGCTCTGCGTTCTGAAGCCTACGACAGCAATCGTAGTAAGAGGACCGGACTATGTAGCAACAGTATTCCTCAGGGACCTTGATAATTACAGGTGTCCTACCGTTCTTATCCCACAGTCCATTCCGATTTTTGAGGGCCTCATATGAAGTTGTAAGCTCTAAACCCCGAACCCCACAGGTAAAGCCCTGATCCCTTCGCCCGAAACCTCAGCCGCGCGAGGATTCAGCGGCTGGGACGTACAAACCATGGCTGAAAGCGAGCGCTGGTATAAGGAGCTGCTAAAGACATCCGGGCGCCCCTGAGCATTAGTCCAGGGCTTTCGAAGTTTACGGATAAGTTTGAAGGGCTGCTTAGCGGCTTTGGGGTGCTATGATGTGGACTGCTGTGCCTTGGCGAGGATGGCAGTGGTGGCAGCGGTAGGTTGCTTCTAAGATTATCCCGTGCCAGCACTTTGCGAAGTGGGGCGGGTGTAGTCTTTGGCTCCATCCGCCTATAGTTGTGAGCCCGCATATCGACATTCCCGATTCAGAAGTTGATTTTCTGAAGGCCTGAGCCCACGACACTAAGCCTACCAGCCTCAAAATCCCCAAAGCCAAAGCAAACTCCCAAACATGTACGGCCTAAATCCTATACAGCCTGAACCAACAACTCCCTCAGCCTTGCGCATCCAACCCTTGAAACCTTTCTTTCAATAAGCATCCATCATCCTTCATCACCTTAACCTAAACTTAAACCCTGAAGCCTACACCCAAAGCCACGAACCCCAAATCCTAATCCCTAACACCCTAAACGCTAAAACCCCAAACGCTAAAACCCTAAACCCTAAAACCTAAAACCCTAACACCCTAACACCCTAAGCCCTACAACCCTAAACCGGACGACGCTCAGGTGCAAGGATGTGAAATGCCTCGTGGACATGGCTGGAATTGATCTGCTGACTGCGTACGAGAAGATCCCGAACGGAAGGTCGGAAGTCTTCAGGAGTTTATATAGGGTTTAGGGTTTAGGGGTTTAGGGCGGTTTTGGGCTAGGGTTTAGGGGTTTAGGGCTTAGGGGTTGAGGCCTTAGGGTTTAGGGTTTTAGGGTCACTATGCTTTGGCCTGGCCTGGTCTGGCTAAGCTTGGCTTGGCTTGGCTTGGTGTTATGTGCGTTGGGGCTCGGTTTGTTGCTCAGCTTGTCCAAGCTTGGCTCGGCGATGCTTTTTCCTTTTTGGCTAGCCTCGGTGCTTGGCTCGGCGCTCTTGTCCCTTAGACCCCAAACCCATAAAGCCTAAACCCTTAAACGCTAAACCCTAAACGCTTTTAGCTTGGCTCGGCTCGCCGAGCCAAGCCAGCCCGAGCCCAGACGAGCAAACCAAAGGCCAAGCCGCACCTTGAGAAACCTCCGGCAAACTGAAAGCCCCCAGCCCCAGGGCTCGAAGCTCGAACGCCCCAAAGAACAGAAGAAGTTCAACGATATACTACGTATTATGCATTCCACATCAATATAATAAGATATTACGCATCTTGTATTGCATGTTAGAAATGATATACTGTGCCAGAGTCTACTTCACTTGGCTCTGTGTTGTATTGCTGTGCTCGATCTTTCCCAAGATACGTCTCGGAACACAGGAGAACCCTAAAATTTGAAACTCCAACAAGGCCGAAACTACCATTAAACCTTAGTCCCTCAAGCTTTTAGCCTTGAAGCCATCCACAATCCTCATAAGCACTCCACGAACCTGTCGTAAACCCCCTCTGTATGTCAATTATGAACACGTCGTTTTATCTATCACATTACAGACCGTCAAGCCTAAACCCTCCCAAACACCAAGACGACCTTCATGAAGTCACCGCGAAGCTCTGGCAGGTGCTGCAAAAGTCTGCTCGGATCACCCTTCATTCCCTGGGCCCCAACAGCAGCTCAACTTGCAGGGAGCGTTGTAGGGGGTTTAGGGTCTTAAGGCTTAGGGCCCTAGGGCTTAGGGTCCTTCGGTTTAGGGGCTTAGGGTTCCAGGCCTTCGGGTCCTGAGGCTAGGGTCTCGGAACTTAGGGGTTTAGGCTTCCAAGAGACGCCAAAGTGTTGAATACACCCCCAATGCCCTACTCTAATTATTAAGGCCCCTACAGCACCTGTCTGAGGTGGATGGCGTGGAGTTGCTCGCTCATCCTTACGATCTTGTCACGGAGGGCAAGGCAAACCTCATACCCTCGCACCGCAGCTTTAGGGTTTAGAGTTTAGGGTTTAGGGTCCCTAAATCTCAACAGCTGTTTTGGGGTTTAGAGTTTACTTGCAGTCCCGGAAGGGTTCCGGCGCAGAGCACGAAAACTTGGAAGTCTGGGAGTGTAGGGGATTTCACAGAGTAGAGTTCTATATCCAGAGCGTAGACTGTAGGATTTGGCCTCACGACGGATCGCCAACTGAAGTCTTAGGGCTCGGAGTTCCATTGCCGGCGCCCTGCACGAAGAAACTCCGGGTTTGCGACCCGCCATTTGGCGGGGCCTGAGCTGTGGCCCAAGCTCTAGGCGTTGGAGGTACAAGAGCCTTGAACACTGGTCAGTGTGGGTAACAGAAACCCAGGCCCCAACCTTTGTAAGCACATAAGTGCTGACTCATGCTCTTCCTGAGGCATCCGGCACGAAGACACCGATAACCCCTGCAAGCATCGTGAAGCCCCTTCGCCCCGGCGTTCCAACCCAAACAGCCTTTGCCGGAGGTGCACAAGGTTCCTATGGTCATCGGCACCAACGCGGATGCTTGGTGTTGTGATATTCGATGATTTCAGCTAACTTCTATGCATTGCTATTCCGAGCTCGTTCGGAATCCAGCTCCTCTCTGCAGTCTGAAGCAACCGAACCCTAAGCCCAGGGTTTAGTGGTTTAAGGGTTTAAAGGTTTAAGGTTTAAGGGTTTCGGGTTTTAGGCTTTGGGGTTTAGGGTTTATGGGATGTGGGTAGTTGTCAAAATTATGGCCCCTTTTGGGATACCCTAAATAATAGGTGCCGTATTATAATAGGGACCCAAAAAGGGACCCGAATTCTCGACAACCACCCCTTTGGGAGTTCCCGAAAACTTGGGGTACCTTTTTGCGGGGGGTCCTTATAAGAAGGGTCCTACTATAATAACTATATTAAGGGTATATACCTAGGGGTCCTTATTAAGGGTCCCTCCTTTTATCCTTGTATCGTCGACAGCCCGGCGCTCCTCAGTCCCACCCTCAGGACGATGGAGCTACCTTCGCCTACAATGTGCTACCTGCCTTGAGGGTTTATCCAAGGGCAAAAGGAGGGACCCTTAGAAAGGACCCCTAGGTATATACCCTTAGTATAGCCATTATGTACCCATTATATAGCCCAGTATAGGGTAGGGGTCCCCATTAAGGGTCCCTCCTTTTCCCCTTTGAGTTTAGTGTTTCGGGTTTAGGGTGTAGGGCTGATTGGAGGACCCTCACAGAGACCAGTGATACCAGGATGTCGTTCTTGTATTTCTTTCGAGGGCCCGTTGATCAGACTAAAGGCGTGTGCAGATATTGGGGAGGTCGGCCGTAGCTTCGCGGCTCTGGGATTCAAGAGTACAGCGTTCAAGTCTGTTGTCTTAGGGTTTGCAGCGCCGGGCTTGCTAGTCACTAGTCTTTCGCCGCTGCAGCTGCTGAGCTAACGGGTCGCAAGAAGGTTGGAGCAACAGTAGAACTCAGTAGAACCGCTCCAAGCCGTGCTATAACTCCAGCCTACGCTCCAGGCATGCAACTAGCCCCCCAAAACTGGAGCCCAACGCTCTGGCACTCCTATGCTCGAATATACTCTAGCATGTTGGAATAGACCATAATAAAGGAATTTATCACAAGTTATTCGAAGAATGTACTCTTACCATACTGTAATAGACTATAACATACCATAATGTACTATAACATACTGTAACAGACTATGGCATACCATTGTGTCCATAGCATACTGTAAAAGACTATGACATACACTCATATGCTTTAATAAATACCAATAGCAACAGCAACAATATCATCAACAATAACAATAATAACAACACTACTGGTAGTAGTCATACTACTAGCAATAATAGTAATGATAATATTAATGTGGTATCAGGTCTGCCTCGAAAGAGTCCTTCAAAGCCACCTTCGAGCGACAGGCGGGGGTTCGGGCTCTTGGGGGCTCTTTTTCTCGGGGTTTAGGGTTTAGGGGGGCTTTTAGTGTGTTTAGGTTTTAGGGTTTAGGGTTCAGGGCTGTTGGGATCGTTCCGGGACTCGGGCGGTGCCAGAAGCTTAGATTTTGTTTATGGCCGCGAGCCTGGAGATGTTTTTTCGGAGCGGGTAGAGGGTTTGGGAGTCTAAAATTTAGAGCAGTATTCCGGCTTAAAGTTCGCGGTGTAGGAATCCTACCCTCAAGGACCTCTTCGAAAGGCAGCATGCGACTGCTTCAGGCCTTTCGTTGTTGCCATGCGCCTTCGGAAGAACAGTATGGCGGGACTAGGGATCTGCCACACCCTACATGGAGGTTCATGGGTAGTTATAACTATAATGATAGTTACCCTACTTATAACCCCACTTATAACTACCCATGAACCTCCAAGTACTTAGACCTACCCATAGTCTCCATTCTAGTTCCTTTTTTGGGTCCAAAAAATGAATTACAATGGAGACTATAGGAAAACCCCAAATCTGAAGCTCCCAACCCCAAAGCCTCAACTAAATGGCGGTTTCCGAAAATAGGGGACCCTTTTAAAGGGTTCCTAACAGGGATCTATAAGGGTTCTGTAAAGGGTTTAGGGTTTAGAGTTTCCGAAAATAGGGGACCCTAATATAGTACCCTGGATAGTAGGATCCTTCTTATAAGGACCCCCGCAGAAAGGTACCCCAAGTTTTCGGGAACTCCCAAAGGGGTGGTTGTCGGGATTAGGGTCCCTTTTGGGTCCCTACTATAATACGGCACCTAATATTTAGGGTACCCAAAAAGGGACCCTAATTTCGACAACCACCCATATGGACCCCCCAAAAAGGTACTCCAAGTTTTCGGGAACTCCCAAATATTGGGGTGGCTGTCAAAATTGTGGTCCCTTTTTGGGTACCCTAAATATTAGGTGCCGTATTATAATAGGGACCCAAAAAGGAACCCTAATTTTGACAACCACCCATTGAAAGGAAGAAGCCGCAGAAGACCTTCAGTCGGAAGCATCGAACCTGAACATCTCACATAGGGGCCTTAAGAATTACCTATACTATTTCGGGGGTTCCTTATTAATATAAATATACTTAAGAATTACCTATACTTTTTTTGGGGGTTCCTTATTAATATCTTAAGAACTACCTATACTATTTCGGGGGTGCCTTATTAATATAAATATAGCATAATGAGCCCCAAAACCCTATTCTAATTGCTAAGGTCCCTACGTAAAGGATCATGGGACTTAGTAACTAGGGTTATAATTAGGGTAACCATACTTATAAATACTTATAACCTCAATTAAGGTACTTATAACCTTACTTACTAAGTCCCATGATCCTTTAAGTATATTAAACTTTGAGCCCACGGGCTGAACACTGTGCTCCAGTTTGGTGCTTTGATGGGCCCTCGGGCGACGTCCGAGCGCGCCGCAGCCTACCTCGAGGCGACTGGGCTTTGCCAAGTGGGAGTTTCCGAAAGTAGGGGACCCTAATCTAGTACCCTAAATAGTAGGATCCTTATTATAAGGACCCCAAACTAAGGTACCCCCATTTTCGGAAACTCCCAAGTAATGGAAGTTTCGGAATCGTCGGGTTTCCCTATCCACCTTGTAGGGGCTGTTTTATGGAAGTGCTGCTAGATTGAATGTACAGCGTCGAGGGCTTGTTGGAGAACTTGGCATTTTTGTCGCCCTGCACGGGCTGTTGTCTAGAGTTTCACTGGTTCTGATAGGAACTTATGAACGCCGAATATGCCTTGCCTAGGCGTTACTGAAGATGCTAAAGAGCATACCGGGCTCCTTAACACCTTCTCGTGTTTACAGTTCTGCCATGTGCTGCAAGGCCCTGTAGAGATGTATGCAACCTTCAAGACCTCCTATAAAACACGATCTTCCCCATGCCCTAAGCCTTGAACCCCTTCCACCAGAGCCGCAACCTTGAGAACTTCACAAAGGAACCCTTGATCCCAAGCCACTCACCCGAAACCCCGAGTTGGATTCAGGAGCCTCACCCGAGCGTAGCGAACCGGACCACGGCGTGGTGGGCCGAAGACCGGGAGGTGGCGTGGCTTAGGGCTTCGGGTTTAGGGTTCAGCATTTAGGGTTTGGGGTTGCGGGTTTGCGGCCAAGGGGGTTTTAGTGTAAGGTGTTTAGGGTTTAAGGTTACGGTTGAAGAAAGCTGAGAGAGAGAGAGAGAGAGAGAGAGAGAGAGAGAGAGAGAGAGAGAGAGAGAGAGGGAGAGCGAGATGGATAAAGACAGATATTTATTCACATATCATACTAAGCAGCATAATCTGTGAAATTTAGTTCCCAAGTTTCAGATAGATTGGTGGAGAAATACAGACAGATAGATAGATTGACAGATAGTTGGATAGGTAGGTATGCAGATTGATGGACCGGTAGGTAGGTAGACAGACAGATTGATTGGTCGATCAATAGAGTTCAATAGAGATGGATAGATCGATAGATAGCAAGGTAGATAGGTCGATACATACATGCGTGTCTCATTCGCCCCAATACATATTCGCATCTACAAGTCACATGTCTGAGACGATAGACATGCATACATCCATGCCTCCATTGGTTCAGAATACGTACTCAAGGTCCGAAAAATAGGGTCCCACTCTTTGGGGTACTATATTAGGGTCCCCCATTTTCGGAAACTCACATGTTAGGGTCCCCTATTTTCGGAAACTCCCATGTTAGGGTCCCCTATTTTCGGAAACTCCCATGTGGTCCAGCGCAATGTTCGGCCCACTTTCGGGGCCAAAGTGAGCAAGCTAAAGTTGTAGCCACCTTGACCCTCAAGCCTGAACTCCCAATACAAACCTGAAGCCTTGGGCCCCAACCTTAAATCCCAAACCGAACCCGAAAGCTCCGAACCCAAAGCTTCAAGCTTTGAGCATGTAGACTTAAGCCACTATCATAGGCTTCTACAGACTACAGACCCTCAAACCCAATTAACCCCCCTTTCGAACATCCAAAAGCTTTGAGCAAGACCTAATAATTGCCAATACCAGTCCTTTGAGCTCCTTATTTGTTGTTCTAGTATAATATATACCCCCCAGCGCTATTCTATCAAGTCGTGAGGCCTGAGCATCGAATCCCTAAACTCTACATAAACCCTGAACACCTCGACCTTCCAAAACCCTAAACCCCTAAACCCCTAAACCTTAAACCCTAAGCCCCTAAACCCCTAAACCCTAAACCCTGACCACCTAAAGCTTAAAGCAGGTTACGGATCAGGACTTCGGCTGCCCCACGCACTGGGCCGCCGCTCACCTGGCCAAGCAAGGCCTCCACCCTCCTCCTCTGCCTCCTCCTCTTTTTTCTACAACAACAACAACTACAGTTACAATTACAACTACAACTACAACACAACTACAACAACAACTACTACTTCTACTACTACTACTACTACTACTACTACTACTACTACTACTACTACTACTACTACTGCTCCTACTCCTGCTCCTGCTCCTGCTCCTACTCCTGCTCCTGCTCCTGCTCCTACTCCTACTCCTACTCCTACTCCTGCTCCTGCTCCTGCAGCTGCAGCTGCAACAACAGCAACTACTGCTGCTGCTGCTGCTGCTGCTGCTGCTGCTACTACGCTACTGCTGCAAGTTTGCTGCACGTGCATCAGGCAGCAGAGCAAGGCACAGGGGACTCCCGATGCCTCGTCCTGTGCAAGGAGACTCGACTATCCGTAAACCCGAGTGCACTAGCCTTCGTCCTTCACCTACCTACTGCCCTCAACCAAACCCCAACTACAATCTCTAGATTTCATGCATAGTGTTTACAGTCTTGAGGCTTTAGCTTAGGGCTGACGGTTTAGCGGTTCAAAGTTTCGAATCTACGGTTGCCTGCATCCGCACACCCCAAATTTTGAGCCGGAGCCCACCTCCTTTTTACCTGAGCCCAAACCCAGATCCTTATACCCCAAACCCTAACCTATACCGCATGGGAGTTTCCAAAACTCGGGGATCCTACTCTAGTACCCTAAATAGTAGGATCCCTACCATACGGACGCCCAATATAAAGTACCCCCGACTTTTCGGAAGCTCCCGTGGACCCATGCGATGGCTCGACCCCCCCCGCGGGGCAAACGCAGGCTTTCACGTCTTCCAATATTTGCGACTCGGTGGCTGAGGATTCCTGGTGTCGGGCCCGGGTTTTGAGGTTTAATGTTTAGGGTTTAGGGTTTAGGGTTTAGGGGTGTCGGGTTTAGGGTTTTAGGGTTTAGGGTTTAGGGTTTAGGGTTTAGGGGTTTAGGGGTTTAGGGGTTTAGGGTTTAGGGGTTTAGGGTTTAGGGGTTTAGGGTTGAGGTTTCATACAGTTTGGGGCTTTCAGAGAGGAAGAAAGGCTTTAGGGATCTGTACAGATGAGACGGTTTCGGGATGTTTAAGGCCATGTTTAAGGTCCGGGGTTTGGGGCTTCAAGATTTTGTTTCGACGTGACTCGATCTTGTGACGTGTTCGCCACGACAATGTCATTGAAGGATTGGTAGCTGCATGGTCGAGTTTCCAGGGCAAGTTTTTCTCGTGTGTGGGTTGCAATCTGCAGCGCCTAAAGGGGCCAGCACTTGGGAAGAAGGATTGGGTGCAGGGTTTGGGGATGAGGTGCTTGAAAGAGAGCTGGCGAATCAGAATTCTTCGAGAGCTTAGCGACCCAAATGCCTGAAAAGAAGCGGTTGACAAACGGATCTGCAACCCTCGACCGCAAGGACACGAGCAGAATCCGTGGTTCGACGTATGAAGCCGCAGCTCATGTACTGTCTTTATGCGATTGCAGTTCTGTCAGTAGCAACAAACAGCGTCCAGAAAGTCCAGTCACCAGGTTTCAGTAGTATAGGGGCCTTAAAAATTCGAATAGGGTTTTGGGGCACATTATATCACAATTATAATAAGGAACCCCCAAAACAGGATAGGTAATTCTTAAGGCCCCTATAGTATTCCTACAGAGTTTCGGTGCTTGAAGGGCCACGGCCAGCAACAACTTCAGCGTGCAAACGCCCGATCCCTTTAGGGTTTGGGATTCGTTTTTTGTGTCTCTTCGGGCACATCAGACTATTTCCACTGCCTTCCGACTTCATTGGCGTGTCTATGTGTACGTGTGCATCTATGTATATATATATATACACACATTTATATACCTGTATGAAACTAGCAAAACCACGGAGGGAACAGCCAGTTCTGCAGGCAGTCCCCCGAAGCCATGAGCCCTTGTCTGCAGGTACTCCCACCCGGCCAAGGAGAATTCCATAACCTTCCATTCTGATGAGCTCCGCGGTGCTGATGGTGTTTACTTGGAGCGCGAACGTCATTGCGATCCAGGGTTACAGGTATAGGGTTCCCGGCTTGGTGCGTTTGGATTTCAACGGTTTGACAGCCTCATGTTGGGAAGCTCCATCGTCTAGTTTTGGGCCTCGACGTAAGGGTGAGGGCTTCTAAGGGTTCTAAGGATGAACGAAGATCTGTGTGGAAGACGTTCCGTCTTGCAGGTAAGTCTATAATCGGCCTGGATAATTACACTCGGGTTGTGGGGTTTATGCTGTTGCATACCACTGAGTACATATGTGTGTATATATATATATGTACAATCATTTATTTATTTATTCGGCAGCGTTTACGAATTATTCAGGCCCCTGTATCAGTCCTTTTGTCCTTACAGGGCGTCCGCTCAGACATAAGCAGCCACTGAATTAGTTCTTTGCTGTTTCCATAAAGTTACACCAGCGCGCATGCATTGTGCGAGAGTCGGGATAGACAGCATGCAGCTACTTAAAGGATCATGGGACTTAGTAAGTAAGGTTATAAGTACCTTAATTGGGGTTATAAGTAGTTACAAGTAGTTATAGGTATAGTTATTCTAACTATAGCCCTAGTTACTAAGTCCCATGATCCTTTAAGTACATCGACTGATTTTCCAAGTTCCGTGGCACTCAGCTTCAGGCCTCTCAACTTGTCCTGAACCCTCGACTGCAGGCCCTGAAGAAACCCTAACCCCTAAACCCCTAAACCCCTAAACCCTAAACCCCTAAACCCCTAAACCCTAAACCCTAAACCCCTAAACCCTAAACCCTAAACCGCTAAACCGAATTTAGAAGCACGCTGCAGCCTTTGAGTTCCATAGAGTTATAATTGTACCCCATTCCTCCATTCCCTACTAACCAAAGGTAAGTGCTCCCTGAAGCTCAGGTTGAAGTATGTGTTCACTGACCTCCCAGCGAATGCCACGGTGGAAGAGTTGAACCTCTCGACGCACATCGCGACGCTGCTCGGCTTTCCAGTGTTTAGGGCTTAGTAGAAGGTCGCAGTCGCAGTTTTGCAGACTACTATAGGGGCCTCAACAAATTACCAACACTACTATTTTGGTGGTTCCTTATTTTCATTATAGTATAATTCTAATTTTGAAGGCCCCTGTAGTACCAGAAAAGTGCCAGCCTTGCATAATGGGGTTCACCCTACGACGGCGACACATCCCAGCCACCAGCCGGCAAGGTTCACAACCGAAACAAGAACCTACATCTCCAACCCCAATGAGGGTTCCTTATTAGATAGACTTATATAGACTTATAGTATAACGTACCCCAAACCCTATTCTAACTGCCATAGGGCCCCTACATTACACACCAAAACCGAAATCGAGCCTTGGGAGTAGTCCTGACAAGGCTTCCCTGCGCAATGCAGCCATGTTACCAGCAGGTCCTTTGGAGGCTGAGTTTCGGTAGAGGCGCCTCCTACCCATAATAAGGAATATACCATAATTCCCATAGTTTAGGATCATTCATGTACTGCAAGATTTGTATCATCAACAGTAGGTACCCTTATACCTATACTGCAGCATGGAGCATAGCCCCGCAACAGCACCCACACATAAGATCCAGGGGCCCTAAACCCTAAACCCCCGAACCCCTGAACGCTCTCCCAGCCTCCCAAACCCGATATTTGATGCCACCCCCCGAGCCTGGCTCTCATGAACTGAACCTCTTAGCAGCTTAGCATGGCGGGTCCAGGGCTGAACCCCAGCTCCAAGGCCAGTCTAATATAGGGGCCAAGAGAACTAGAATAGGGTTTAGGGGCCCATTATACTATAGTTATAATAAGGAGCCCCCCCCAGAATATTGTAGGCAGTTATTGCGGCCCCAATATTAAGCACGCAGCACGAATCTCAGCAGTTCTCCACTCGACTCCCGCGAATGACAGGGCATTTTCGGCTACGCACCATTCCACAGCAGAGCCTGCATCACGAAACTTAAGGGTCCTAGACTAGCAAACCCACGCCGTAGGGCCCTGGGCTAAAACTGCAGGACCTCGCCGGATTCGGGTCTTGAGTACCAGTAGGAGGATCCTTATGATGGGGACCCGGGATCGGAATCTGCAAGAACTCCGAGTGCAGAGCGAGGTACTGGAATCGACTAGCTGCCCATGGGAACCCGTCCTGGGGAGCCATCCCCTCTTGGCCCAAAACTGAGCTCGACGAGCAGGCTGGTAGCCCAGGGCCAGGGGGAACACGCCGGAACTAGGGACTATAACGACACCTATAAGTAGCTTCAAGGTTGAAGGTTTCGGTGAAGGGCTTAGGGTTTGGAGTTTGAGTTGCGGACGAGGGCCTTCAATCCAGCATTCTTTGGGGATCTCGGAATTCGGGTCAACCGACGACCCTAAGCCCTCAACCCTTTTTGACCTAAACTGCCCAAAAGGGATCTTTTTGGGGTTCCTGAAAGGAATCTAAAGGGTTCCTTAAAGGGGATCTTCTTGAAGTTCCTTAACCAAGCGCTTTGTCCCATTGCGTTTTTTGCATACAACTTTGTCAGAGTGAGAGTCTTGCGGGGAAGACCTTAGAAGCTGCCCCCACCCTGTAATAGTGACTATAAGGATTATATTAGGCCCCTATTTTATTCCTATTATATCACTATTACAGGGTCGGGGGCCCGCCCCAAGGAACACCCTATGGGTTGGTGCCTCCCGGGCTCCTGGGCTCATGGAAAGGAAATCCTTCTTCAAGCATCCCAGGGTGAAGTGGCGGGCCATTGGGGTTTGCAGCTTGGGGTTCAGTAGGATGCTTTTTGGGTTCCGCCGGATTTTGCATTCAACAAGAAATCAAAGATAAACCTTTCGATACCCTCAGCCACAAAGCTAGACCCGGCCGCGGTGCCCTCAGAACTCCGTGCCATGTACAGCGAGGAAGCCAAAACCCAGGTCGGTTTAAGGTTTCGGGCTCCGCCCGACAGATTGAGAGGGTATAGGTTGACATGTCGGGGTCTTTGGGTTTAGGTTCGACTGGATAAGATAGTGGAAGGAAGCGTCCTTAAACTTGACCCAGATTCGGAGCCCTAAGCCCGTAACAGCCCAGAGCGGGCATTCTTCTCAACAAGATTGCCCCCAAGTAGCCAGTCGCTTGCGCTGTCAGGGGGTGGCTCGACCATACTTGAAGCTGGACGTGGCGAGTGCCGGGGGCATCCAGGCAGGACAGGGTAAGCCGGGTGGATGAGACTGGGAACGGCTTCATCCCAGCTCCCCAAATCCCCAAATCCAAATCCGCAACCCTAAGCCCTAGATCCTAAACCCTGGCCTCATGCACAAGCTTTCCTCCTTTCGCACTCGATATTTGACGCATGCACCCCACGGTTTCAAGCTACAGAGGCCTTTGAAGGCCCTGAAGCCCTCGGCCTCTAACCTTCCCTGAACCCTGATCCGCTGGCGAGGTGATCAATGAGTCCTTCCGGCCAGAGCTGCTGGGCAGATTTGATGTCGGCACTTGGGTAGGGGGGGGGGGGGGGAGTTCGGACTGTTGGGGGTTTGGGGGTGGGGTTCGTGGTGTTGGGGTTGAGGGTTAGGGGTTTCGGGCACGTTTCGAGGATCAGGGGACTTGGAATTAGGATTTAGGGCTTAGGCTTCTATGTTGATGGGAGCCTTTTTCGTATCAGAGGCTGCTCGGGAGTTCCGGGACGGTCTTGGGCCCAGTGGCTTTGCATGATGGAACGAACGGGAAACCAAGGCCTCAACCTCAACCGCTAGGGCTTGAAGTTGCAGGGTTTAGGGGTAAACATATTCATCTTGATATTCACATTCAGATTCGTGTTCGTGTCATCTCAGCATCATGTCATGGTCCTCCTCCTCCTCCTCCTCCTTCTCCTCCTCCTCCTCCTGCTCCTCCTCCTCCTCTTCCTCCTCCCCTTCCCCCTCACCATCATCATCACCACCATCACCATCACCATCACCATCACCATCACCATCACCATCACCATCACCATCACCATCACCATCACCACCATCATCATCATCATCACCACCACAATCATCATCATCATCATCATCGTCACCACCATCATCATCGTCATCATCACCATCACCGCGATGTTCATCGTGTTCATCCCATCAGCGCCCCCGTGATCACAACTCGCTCTTGCCGGCATCGCAGCATCCGTTGCCCAGGCAGTGCGCCTTCATGAGTGCTTGGCTGAGCCGGGCAATTAAGCCCCCAGAAGAGCTGACTCTGGTGGTGTGACTCTGAGGGCACTGGTTCCCCTTCCACAAGCGAGGGCACCATTGCGTAAACCCATTTTTTTGTTTTTCCAAGGCAAAAAGTCAAGAAAAGTGCATCCGTGGGGGCAGATTTCAGGTTCAGACCCTGGAGGTGGGCTAGTTCTGACGGCAGGAGGTTTTCTTTAGCCTAAACGCCCCCCAACATTTCTGAACCCTAAACTCCCTTGCAAAAGTTCCCACCTAACCTAGTAGAGTCCTTTTAGCGCAGTCGCAGTACCTTCTTCCGCGCACCATTCCCGGAATCAGCATCTGAGGATATCGTGTTTGTTGGGGCAGGGGCTCTAGGCTGTTCGGGCCTGTGGTTTCAGTCCCTTAGGTGTGGCGGCGCAAAAGCACGCCCGCAATCCCTAAAGGCCTTAAAGCCCAAAGCTCCGAAAGGCCCCGAAGCCCCAAAACTGCTAAAGCCCCTAAAGCCCAAAGCATCTTGGATCCCAGCAAGGCCAGGGTGATATCACCGTGGTCGAAACCGACGTCACCGATCCGACGGCGCTGGCCGTGGCCCTCAGAGATCAGAGGCTTTTAGGTGTTTGGGGCTTCGGTGCTCGGGGTGTGGGGTTTAGGAGTTCAGAGTTTGGGTCTCAACAGGCCATTCCGAAGCTAGTAACCTTAATTGTAAACAAAAGACACAAAAGTGCACTTGTCGCATACACATTCAGAACAAGATTTGTCGACCGCTTCGTCCATTGATTGACCGTCATAGTGTATGCTGCCCTTGTCTCGAAGGCCAGCGAGGTTTGTTCTTTTGACTGTACTACTGTTACCTTCATTCAGCCCCAACATCATGGGATCCTTCATTCAGCCCCAACATCATGGGATGCGGCTCTAGCGTTCTGCACATAGGGGCTTAGAGTCGCTTAGAGTGTAAGTTAGTACGGTCGCTTCTGGGTGTAGGGGGCTTAGGGTTTGACCCTCGATGCAGTAACGGGACCCTTTCCACCAGTGCACGCAGCATCGGATTCCCCGCGGTTTAAGAACAGCTAAGTTCGCAGTGGTCTGTTCCCCAGTTGTAACGTTGTGCTCGAAGGACCGTGGGAGTTATTAGCTAGTAGCAGCTAGGTCATAGCTGGGAAGATACTTTCAACTAGTCGGAATCATCCTTCTTTGTCACCGTACTTGCAGAAGACTGCTCCAAGCATACTTGAAGGCTCATGGGACTTAGTAAGTAAGGTTATAAGTAGGTTATAATTAGGATAACCCCACTTAGGGGACTTATAGCCCCCATTATAACCTACTTACTAAGTCCCATGACCCTCCAAGCATAGCAGCCAAAACGCAGCCTCTTCGCGAGGATCGGCTCTACTCCTCATTGGATCCACCTGCCCAGGTCCATGGCTCTCGGGGGGTTAGAGACCCTTACTTGGAGGGTCGGGGGACTTAGTAACTGGTTATTTTAGGGACTTATAAGTACCATAACCCCAATTAGGGTCCCTTTTAGGGTACTTATAAGTCTACTTACTACCTACTTACTAAGTCCCCCGACCCTCCAAGTACCCCAAAGCCCTAAGCCGCTTAGTCCCCAGCTGGTTGCTTCGGAACAGTCTGCAACGGATGCATGCAGAAACCAAAACCCCTAAGTGGGTGGTTGTCAAAATTATGGTCCCTTTTTGGGTCCCTCATATAATACGGCACTTATCATTTAGGGGACCCAAAAAGCGATCCTAATTTTGACAACTAGACAAGTCTTAAGCTCCTAAGATGCCAAAGCGACCTTAGGGCCCTAGGGTTTAGGGGTTTAGGGGTTTAGGGTTTTGGGGTTCAGGGGTTTAGGGGTTTAGGGTTTAGGGCCCCAGTGACCTGGGAACCAGAGCCCCAAGAGTTCCAGGCTCCAGAGTGGGGAGTATCAAAGGGGAAAAGGAGGAACCCTTAATGGGGACCCCTACCCTATATAATGGGCTATATAATAATAGTAAGAGGCATATAATAGCTATATTAAGGATATATACCTAGGGTTCTTTATTAAGGGTCCCTCCTTCTATTCTTGGAGAGTACCGTGTCTGGGGTTAGGCTTTTTCGGTTTGTGGGTTTGGTCGTCGGTAAAGGGTTCAGAATGCCGGGGTCCAGGCTGTAAGCCGGACCCGAGGCTTTATGTCCAGGAGTTGAAGGGCTTGCCTTTCAGGGGCTGCCGTTCCTTCAAGCCCCAAGTGAGCTGAAATTCCAGGGGTGTGGGCCATAGTTGGTGAGGGAGTAGTTGGGATCGCCGCCGCACCCGAGCTTGGTAAATCCGGGATCCCTAGCGAAGGTCGCCCGTCCCCACTCCCACGGCTTCCGGGCAGGGAGCAGTTTGCTGTCTCGCCAGCCGATCCGGGGGACGCCAGGACGGATCTTTGGCTCTTAACACTAAGGGTTCGATAGCTGATGGCGTGCCCTTTCTGCCGTTCCTGGCATTCTCATCTGGGTCTTTTAGGTATCGTTCATGCTTGGCATGCACCAGTAGTTCAGCGTTAAACCCTAAACCCTGGACCCTATGCACGTCAAAACCGTCGACAAGTGCAAGGCGACTGCTAGCAACAAAGGTGCTGGAGCAATAGCCGCTTGCGGTTTACTATAGGCGCCTAAATGATGATTAATGCTTTTCTGTGAGTTCTTTATTAGAATTATAGTATAAGGGGCCCCAAAACCCTAGTCTAACTATCAAGGCCCCGATATTACCCCACGCCTCGCTTGCCCCAACCAAGCATGCCATGAACAAATATTATGCAGAAACTTGATTAAGAAACCCTGGGCCTATAACCCCCAGAATAGTAGGATTCATATAGGGAACCTTAATAAAGGCCCAAGGAGGTTCCTACATTAGCTACGGTTTTTGGGTGCCAGTGCCTATCATGACAGAGGGGCACTAGCAGCATAAGAGTCGCACGGCACAAGGAAAGCGAATCGTAGCGGAAAAGGCTGCTTCGCAGCTGCCCAGGATTTCGCCAAACATCGGTAATCCCCGCAGCTTTGTGCCTCAAGGCATTGGCCTCGGCCCGCTTTCCCCCAGAGGGCATCTCGCGGGCGATGGAGGCAGTGCCGAACCAGGTGAAGCCTCTGCTGCTGGAGGAAACCTGGCGCTGGTATGGGCCAAACGACCCCGTCACTTTGGAGGACAGAGAATACTTAGGGCTCAGGGGGTTTGGAGGACAGAGAATACTTAGGGCTCAGGGGGTTTAGGGCTCTGGGGTTCGGGGTGAGGGCTTGCAAGAACCAGCAACATACGTCGAGCCGACCCTGTAAGACTATGCTTTAGAAGTGGGAAAGATAGAATCCCTGCGGAATCCACCCTAAACCTCAAACCCCAAGCCCTAAACCCTAAACCTAAGCCTAAAGCCTCAACCCTGAGCCTTGGTCCACCCAGGACGTAAAGCAGTCCGGGGCCACAGGCATCGTCACGGCGCTTCACCAGGCTCATCTTGAAAGCAAAGCCTGAATCCAAAGCTGGGTGATGGTAGGTCGCGACTGGCTTTGCTGCGGTTGTCCGAAGACAGGAACAGACGAACTTTCACGACGAAGAACCAACATCTCTGGACGTTCTTATGTAAGGCGCTATACTATTTTGGGGGATTCCTTACTATAGTTATAGTATAATATGCCCCAAACCCCTGTTGTAAGGCAAAGTCTGGAGCAAGATGGGGTCCAGTAGATGCCCCTTAAGCCATTATCCCCGTTGCTACAAGACACCTGTGCTGGGGGGAGTCTATGTGACAGAGGGGGTCAGCGGGATGTGCACAGTGGTCTGAAGCTTATGTTGTGTGAAAGCTCTTGTATTACCGCGAAGTCATTCACTCCAAAGTCTACTTCGTCATGCCTTCTTTTTGAGCAGCTATTTACTCGTTACCCAGCCCGGAAGGCCTAAACCCTAAACCCTAAACCCTAAACCAAAACCCTAAACCCTCAACCCTAAACCCTGCGCGCCGCAGATCCCCATCGGAGAGATCTGGAGCGAATCCGCCATCCTCGAGCGCAAGAAAATGTTGCTGGGCGTTGCTGGGTCACGGTCGTCATTGTCACAACGGTGGTGATCATTAATCATTACGGGTGTGGATCTACTCGCCAGGCATGTATATATATATATATATATATATATATGGATATGGCCCCCCCCCATGTACCCACGCCTTTCTTCTAAATCCCACTTTTCGGAAGGCGTGGGTCCGCGGGATCCCCTTCGTCCCCAAGCCTTTCTCCTAAATCTCAGGTTCAGGATGGCGTGGGAGTTTGGGATTGCGGGCAGTGCCTGCAGATTGTACTTTATTATTTCATGTCATTGGCGGGTTCCCTCCAAAATAGCCCCGAATCATCCGAATCATTTCCGAATCATTTTGATTCGGTCCTGGCGCTGGATCCAAGATCCAAGATTGCCCAGAGGTCTTGCGCGGGCAATCTTGGAGCCGACCCTCATCCGAAGCATTTCCGAATCATTTTGATTCGGGCCCGGGCCCGGATCCAAGATCCAAGGTTGCCCAGGGGTCTTGCCAGGGAATCTTCGATCCGACTTTCACCCATTGGATCCAAGACTCCTTGGCAAGACCCCTGGGCCATCTTGGATCTTAGATCTTGGATCCGGGCCCGAATCAAAATGATTCGGACATGATTCGGATGAGGGTCGGATCCAAGATTGCCCGCACAAGACCTCTGTGCAGTCTTGGATCTTGGATGCGGGCCCGAACCAAAATGATTGGGATGATTCGGTTTCCCTCCTTCTTATTCAGCATGTGTACTGTCATGATAATTATAACATCTGGTTTGTCATGAAGTATGCCAGTCATTATTCAGTCAATACTGTGTTTGTTGCTTCAGGAGATGTAAGTCCAGCACGATTCTGAATATCGTTTTTGTCATTTACACGTTAGCGTAATCCTCCATGATTTAGCCCATTGTGCAGTAATCTGTTCAATCAACTTCATCGTCATTGCAGTTATCCTACCGTCAACACCAAATTGCACATCTTATGTTTTAGACTTATTTCCCGGCTCCCCTTCGCCTTCTATTGTCATGTTGGTTATATGCGACGTCTGGTCTTTTGTGAAGTATGCCAGCCATTTACGTTACCATACAGCTGTGACTGCCGTGATTCATCCCGTCATTTCTGTTCTACTGTTTGGACATGTAGACTAGCACAGCAATTCCATTCCAGCGGCGTCGTACAACTAGGAAATCTGAAGTTCATATTGATGGAACTGTTAATGCCCTTTTGACATGTGCAAAAATGTTGATGAAATTTAGTCGGCCTAACCACTAGTTTTATAGTTTGACGGATTGGCCGGGTTCATTTGTTGGGCACACATATGACATATGTGCTCTTGCGATGTGATTACTTATATTGCTGCATGTTTGTGAACATCTTCATGAAATCAATCCTTTCATGCTGTACAAGACTAGGCATGAATCTCTGCCTGAAGACGGTACTGTAAGAAGACCACCTAATTGATCGTCTTCGTCCGTTACCGTGTGCGGAACTAGCCGTATCGTCTACTCTTGTCTAGGACTGAAGCCTTTACTAAGGGAAATTTAGTGTTATATGGAGAATGTATTGGCTTCGCTTACACTTTCTAAAGGTATATGTATAACGTGTGTTGCTTCATGCTTGGATGGGGGTGTCTCTAGGTGGTACACTTTCATTTTTGTACGTCTTTAACTGGTGCTTACAGTAAAGAGCACTACCCAGTACAGTCACCGCAAAACTCTGACACACAGGAGTCTTTATTGGTCATCATGCCTTAGGTGCGAAACATGTAAACGACTCTGTAAGAACACACAAGCTCCAGCTCGATAGGATGGACATGATCAAGATGATGCATAGGCTAAAGATTACCTAAGCTCAGAATAAACATGTAAACCTTACAGTTCATATCAATACAAGACAGCGGCAGCAACAAACTTATCTAGTCAGTACCAATAACAATATAGCTTAATCGAAGAGGAGTAGAATGGAGTAGAAAGTTCAATGCACAGCCAAAACATGTTGAATTATCGTCGGTCTCCGCCTCTTTCAGCTGGCTTCTAGGAACAAATATGTCGGCAGAATAAGCCACAATTTTACTGAGAGTTTTTGCGTATGTTGGCAAATCGTGCAAGCAAAGGTTCGAATGTTCGAAAAGTAACAGCTCGTAGGCTTATACTTTATCAAAATGTGAATAAACTTAGGATTCAACAACCAATACATTTACTTTTACAGGTCGGGCTAGCATAAAGCAGGGTGAACAATAGCCACAGGACTGGCGTACCTAGGAAGTTTTTTTCAGACATACTAAGACAGGGGGAAATAAAGAGTGTTAGCTGGGTTACGTACCTAGGAAAGTTTTTATTCAGACATAGTAAGACAGGTGGAAATAAAGAGTGTTAGCTGGGTTGGTATTACTGAAGCAATCAGAACGGCGGGTATAACCACGGTAGTAAAGACACTGGTCACAAGAAGAGCATTATTGGTAAATGTAACAGTGAAACTACACTTGGTGCTGGCATAGAAGCAAATATTAGTACTTTCGTGTACTTTGCATATGACCAAGAACAGTGGAGATTGGAAAGGTTTGTATTGCCACGACCACGACCCCGCACAATTCAAGCGCGAAGCGTGGGTACATGAGGGGGGGGTAGCATATATATATATATACATATACATACACATATATACATACATACTCAGAAAACACAGAAGAACCTATACATGTATACATCCATACATCTATATATATATATATATATACATACATATATATATGTATATGGACATGTACCCACGAAGGATGAATCTCCTTTGTTGAAGGCATTAGGGCCTTCTGCCGTTTGGTTCCCCTGGCCGAGGTTGGAGGATGCCGGCTTCACCTGGTCCGTGGTGGACGCCGGGCTGGCACGTACGGTTGATGGTATAAATCCTGCATGACCCATAATAAGGAATATACCATAATTCCCATAGTTTAGGGTCCTTAAGGTACTGCAGGGTTTATATCATCAACCGTAGTGTCATATTAGGCCAAAGGGGCTTTAGCCTATGGGGGTTTAGTAGGGATTAGGGTTCCCATAATAGGGCCCATATTAAGGAATTCCCACCCCAAGAATCTTAAACCCCCCCACTTTGGCTTCCACTATAGTGCAGAGAAGATCCGGGGCCGAGGGGCTCCTGGAGACTCCAAAGCCCTTTTTGGTGTAGTGTAGGGCTTTGGGGTTTGGGGTTCAGGGGAAGTTTAGGGCTTAGGGGTTTGGGGTTTAGGGGTTTAGGGCTTAGGGGTTTAGGGTTTAAGGGTTTAGGGCTTTAGGGTTTAGGGGTTTAGGGGTTTAGGGCTTAGGGGTTTAGGGTTTAGGGGTTTAGGGCTTTGGGGTTTAGGGCTTTGGGGTTTAGGGATTTAGGGCTTTGGGGTTTAGGGTTTCGGGTTCACCCTCTAGAGAAGGAGTTTTGCCGAACAAAAGTGATTACTATCGATGCCTCTGGAATTCGAGGTGCGTAGCTGAATCATAGGGCCTTGTCACTTCCAACCCTGAACCCTAAATCTTAAACCCACTTTAAAAAACCTTAAACCCCAAAGTCAATCTCCAAACTCGGAACCCGAAACCCTCATCCCGAAGGTTTGAGCCCATTGGATTTTTAGCCCCAAACCCCACACCCCCATCCCTAAACTCTAAGCTCATACCCTTGACGTTGCAGCCTAAACCGAGGAGTCCGTGCCTGTGCATGAGAGCATCAAGCTCGGCAAGGCGGACCGCGACAAGTTCCGAGGCTGTGTGATCTTTCGTTAGGGACCCCAAAAGCACATAAGCATAAGCATTTTACCGGGATATCCCTACCTTGTTGGGCTTGCTTTGGGGTATCACTGTCCTAATTTTTGCTTATGTGCTTTTTTTGGGCACTATTTCGGGCTTTGGGGATTTCGAGCCATGCCATTGAGGGTTCAGAGCTTCTGAGTTTTGGTTTGAGGGCTTCGGGGATTTAGGGGCTTGTGAGTTCGGGCTGTTTGGGTTACCTTTTGCATGCTCAGGGTTTAGGAGAACAGCTGAACGGATTCGGGAGGTGAAGCTCTCGACCTTCCGTAGAGCGGTGTTTCTGGGCAGTTTGGGGCTGCTCAGGAGTCTTTCGGAATTCTTTTGAAGACTTCATGGGAGCTTCAAAAAATTAGGGGTACCTTATATTGGCATCCTTATAATAAGGATCCGACTATTGAGGGTACTATGTCAGGGTCCCCTATGTCCGGAAGCTCCCTCATGCCTCGACCATGCAGACAAGGCCACAGAAAACCTTTCGTTCCTGAACAGACGCCTGACTCCAGTTAGGACAGCCCGAGCCCCAAACCGTAGAATCCTAAGCCCTGAACGCCTGAACCCTAAGCCCCAAGTCCTAAACCCTGCTTGGAGGTTCATGGGTAGTTACAAGTGGGGTTATAAGTCCCGTTTTTTCAAATTATAACTATAGTTACCTTACTTATAACTCCACTTGTAACTACCCATGAACCTCCAAGTAAGCCCCAAGTCCTACACCATAAACCCCACACCGCAGACTGTAGCTTTGGACTAGAATGTCAGCTGCTTCAGGCCATTGGGTTCGGGCATGTTCTACCTCAAGGTCTTTAGGAGTGCAGAGGGCTTGGGTGCAGAGTTAAGGGGCTGTGGCAAAGTTAGAGTTCAATATTAGGGTCTGGGGCTTGCAGCTTCTTGGTTGCCAGGATTAGGGTTTCGGGTTTAGGGTTTAGGGAGCTTTACAGTTTTTTTCGGGTTGCGGTTGACAGTAGCAAGATCACTGATTTCGGATTGTCCGTTTTGTCTCGACAGAAGCATGCAGCCAAGGTACATCGAAACCTACAAGCAGACAGTGCGAAATCTGGGCAAGTGCGGCATCCGCTGCATTTGCTACAACTTCATGCCTGTCCCTTGGCTCATTTAGCTGTAAAGCCCTCCGCCCTGCGCTTACACCCTGAATCGGCCCTCAACGCTGTGTTCTACCCTCATACAACCCTTACAAAACCGTTCGAAATGCCCTTTCACACCCCTAAACTCTAAGCCCTGCCCTAAACCCTAAACCGCCAACCCTGACCTTGTGAGCCTCTCGAGACTCCTTCGGGGCATCGAGGTTCATGGGTCGTTATAAGTAGGGTTATAAGGCCCTAATAATTGCCCTAATATGCGTTATAAGTACAGTTACCCTACTTATAACCGTATTCATAACTTCAAAACAAAACACCCGCCAACTTTAAAGCCTTGCAAAGGTCTTAGACTGGACTCGGACTGACCTCACCCGCCGTTGGCCGGACGGGTCAGAGGCCTTGGCGTACGACGCAGACGAACCTCTTTCTGAAGGGGTCTGGGGGGGAGCGGGGGTTTAGGGATTTTCAGGGTTTAGTGATTTAGATAAGGGTTTTTACAGTGTGTTATTCTGAAGGCGTTTGGGGGTTCAGGTATTTTACAGTTTAGTAACTCAGCAGGTTTGGGAGTTAGTCATTCTGACGGGGTCAGGGGTTTAGGAGTTTGTCATTCGAGCGGGGGTCTGGAGGGTCTAGGGATTCTAGGGTTTAGTAGCTCAGGAGTTTGTCATTGTGAAGGGGCCTGGGGGTTTAAGAGTGGTTTTGGGGTTTAGCAGGGTTTGAGGTTTAGGGATTCAGGGGTTTATCATTCTGAATGCTATTCCTTGTCGGGTCCCTTTGAGGCTTTCCTTTAATTTCAGCGTCCCTTCGAGTTTCTGTTGGCATGAAGGCTGTCGCATTTCGGGGTCAAAGGATTTCGGGGTGTAGGGTTTCGGGTCTGGGGCCTTCGGTTTGGGGTTCGGGAACGGGCTTAGGGGATCTTCGAGTATGATGGATTTACACTGACGGTCCTAGGGTTTAGTCGCTCTGTTATAGTTACTATATATTGCAGCACTTGGAGGTTCATGGGTAGTTACAAATATGGTTATAAGTCCCCGAATAAAGGTTATAACTAGAGTTACCTTACTTACAACCCCACTTGTAACTACCCATGAACCTCCAAGCATGAGGCTGTAACAGGTTGGCATGAACAAGAGCGGATGCGGCCCGAAGCCTGCCTTTGCAAGCAGCTGCTGCTGCTGCTTCTTCTTCTTACCTTTGGTTAGTAGGGAATGGAAGAATGGTAGTAATAGTAGTTGTAATTGTACCCCATCCCTCCATTCCCTACTAAGCAAAGGTAAGTCTTGTTCTTGTTCCCACCGTTGAAGCCTTGCGAGACCCTGAAGAACCGAAAACCGTGCTTGCCCTGACGCCCTGAAACCCTAGACCCTAAACCTTCAAACCCTGGACCCTAAGCCCGAAACACTAAACCCTAAACCCCAACTCCTAAACCCTAGACCCGAACCAAACCCCTAAATCCTAAACCCTCAACCCTAAACCCAACCCCCCCTGAAACCTAACCCGCCCCGGAAAACCCAACCCTCCTAAATCCTAAACCCGAAATCCTAAACCCCGAAACCCCTGAGCTTTCAACACCCTTCGGAGGCCTCAAAAGGTGGGATGAAGGTAGGTGGGATTAAGGATCTCTTATATAAGGACTCTTATTTGGGAATATCCCACCTACATTCATCCCACCTTTTGAGGCCCTGAAACTTAGGGGTAAAATTTTGGTTATTATAATCCCTAAGAAACAGCTAAAATTAGAATTTCTACCAGGGTTCTAAGTTCAGTATAGGAAACGCTGCTCACCCTAAACCGTAAACCCTAAACCCTGAAACGAAGCTCAACTTCGCCCCCTGCCCAGCCCAGGAGCTCGCTGCTTTCGATTTGTACATTCTGAAGCGCGCCGGCGCCGAGCCGCTCGGGCGAAGGGCTTCTGGAGGATTTCGGTGTTTTGTTTTTTTTTTGGGGGGGGGTTTAGGTTCTTATAGGGTTTTTAGGGGTTTTTAGGGGTGTTAGGGGCTTTACGGGTTTAGGGTGTAGGGTTTAGGGTTTAGCTTCCGGAGGTTTTCAGGGTTTCAGACTAGGGTTCCGGGGTTGATTCGTTGAGCCGTGCAGTTTAAGTCTCACCTGGTGGATCCACTGTTTGCGTTTTTCAAGCGTTTAGGGCTTTGGAGCTCAGGGTCGAAGTGCTAACAATCATAATGCTGGTATTTCAAATGTGAGAGCAATAACAGCAACAACGCTAGTTATTCTTCTTATGGCCATTATTTTTATTCTTATTCTTATCATTATAATGCATTTTTATTGGTATACTCATATATACCTTTTTTGAAACATGTAAGAAGCTCTAGTATTGAGGGCTTTGGGATTCTAACTCTTCGGGCTCACGCTGGGGCCTAAGGCAGCTCCGAGCCCGAGGCCCAAGTCCAAGCCTGAGCCCCCAAAGCCTTAATCCTAAAGTTATAGGATCCTTAAGGGGGGGTGGTTCAAGGGGGGAGGGTACTAGGGAGCTTTAGGGAACCTTAGGGAAGCTTAGGGAGTATTGGGGAATAATGGGGATTACTAGGTTACCTACCCCCCTTGGACCACCCCCCCTTAAGGACATCCTAATAAAGATCTAATATTGTATTAACATTCATTACTGTTCAGAAATCAGTGAATATGCATAATTAGACATGGATATTCATATTCGTAGTAACCTTAATATTACTATGATTGTACTTCGGCGAAAGTATCATCACCGATAGACCCCGAACTCCCAGCGGCCAAAGCTGCAAGGAAGGAGTACGAAGCTTCGGCGCTGGCGCGGGCGAAGGCCGTGTTCGAGAAGATGGACGATCAAGCGCAGCAGGTTCCTTTGCAGACTACTGTCTTTATAATTTAGAAATCAGGACGGTTTGCCTTCTTTGGCATGTAAGCCCTTAACCCTGCGCCGAGCCATCAATCCTACACCCTAAGTCTGAAACCAAGTACAGCGCCGTGATCTGCAGAGCCTTAAGTTTTGAGACATGAACGTAAAGCCTCCAGTCCCAATTTCTCGATGCAAAGGTTGAATTTTCAGGAGTCGTTCCGAAATTGGGGCTTTCCGATACGTTGGTTTCAGGACTTTGTGGACCCTATCCCTTACGTGCATTTAGTTACTAGCCCCTAGAAACCATGTTTGGCTCCCCAAACCCTAAAACCCTAGAACCCGGACGGGAAGATAAGATTCTATGGTACGCTATCACAAGTTACGATCTACTATCATATAAATACTAGAAGATGCTATAATGAGCCATAAGCCTCCGACCCCCTACACCAGTTTGGTGCCTCTCTGAGGCGCTACAGCAGAACATCATCGCCGGGCTTCCCGGGCGGATGGTCGAGGCCTACTCCATCGAAGAGTCTTACCTTTGGTTAGTAGGGAATGGAAGAATGGTAGTAAAATGGTAGTAATATGGTAGTAATATGGTAGTAATATGATAGTAATATGGTAGTAATAGTAGTTATAATTGTATCCCATTCCTCCATTCCCTACTAACCAAAGCTAAGGAGTTCCGAAGCGCCATCGCGGAGTACGAGAACGTCGCCTGGTTCCGGCTCTTCAGACCGTAGGTTTTTTTGTAGGGGCCTTAAGAATTACCTATACTTTTTTTTAGGGGTTTCCGCATTATAGTTCTAGTATTACATACCCCCAAAACCCTATTCTACTTGTGAAGGCCCCTATTTTAGGCTTTAGGACTTTTGGGCTCTACGTCTGTAAAGCTTATTTGCGGTTAGGGGCTGTCGAGCAGTAATTAGGGGTAAGGGGTGAAAGGTGTGTGCTTTAGGGTCTCAGTAGCCTCCAATACCACTTCTTTCAACACATGTGCACCTCTTGACGGTGTGATATAGCCCCAAGGGTCATGGGCTCTCGTCCGGGAGTCAAAACACAGCAGAAAGCAGGTCAGTGGCAATGCTGCGAAATTTCGCTGACAACCCGTAGATCATAAACACAATTCTCGCTGAGAGGGCGGTTCGTGTTAGAAGACATTCGCTTTGCGTGAACAGTCCTCTAAAAGCCTTCTTGGGCTTACCCGCATCCCAGCTCAGACAGTTTCGGCTCTGGCGTCCTTGAGGCAGAGCCAATTCCAAACATGGATGCTTTAGGACTTTAAGCCGTCAGCTCATGAGGGTTTCCGGTCGAAGGGTTCAGGCCCTGTGCAGCCCGTGAGGTCAAGCCCGCGCAGATGCGGGAGAACTTGGCATACTTCCTCCGCAGCATCATCCCTACCTGCGAGGACTGGGTTCTTATTATTAAAGGACTTAATCTAAGTTACCAAAATAAGGAAACCAAATTATTTTCTATAGATCCCTATGATGGTAACTTAAATCCCAGAGGAGTGCTTGGGGTTGAGGTCTTAGGTCGGCTTTGAGCTTCGGTTTAACTTCCGGGTTTAGGTGGGGTCCAGGCCTGCATGGTCTTGTAGTTATTGCCCCCAAGGTCCTCAAACCTTAGCACCAAACCCCAAATCAGAAAAACCTTACACCCAAGATTTCCTGCGAGCAAACCAGAAAGCCCGAACCCTAAACCCTTGCCGTACAGGAGCCTGATGCCCTAAACCCTAGACCCGAAACCCTAAACCCTAAGCCCTAAACCCTGAATTTCACGTGATCATGATCTTGACGTGATGAGCAGGGTTTGAGAATGAGCAAAGGGTTGCAAGTTTGCCTGCCCAAATGGGCTGAGGAGGCTGTCAGACTCTGTCATGCAGACCCCAAAAGGCCCTCCAAAAAAACCCTGAATTTGATTGGGTTCGTTTACAATGTGAATAGTTAGATCTATGTGAACCCTGACAAGAAAAACAGCTTTAAATGCCCAGGAGGCAGGTGTCTTCATGGCCATCCACCCCGACGACCCTCCCAGACCTATCCTCGGCTTACCGCCCCTTCGGCCATGAATAGTGAAGGGGTTTCGGGTCGAGGCTCTCGGAAGTCCAGCTGCCAATTAATGGGTTTAGGGTTTAGGGTTTAGGGGTTTGGAGTTTAGGGTTTAGGGTTTAGGGGTTTAGAGTTTAGGGTTTGGTTTAGGGTTTAGGGGTTTGGAGTTTAGGGTTTGGTTTAGGGTTTAGGGGTTTAGGGTTCTCTGGGGGTGTTTGTGGGTCTAATAAGGCTGTCTCGGGGTTTATGGCGATTTGCACTGTAGCGACTGTAGCGGTTGCCCCAACACAAGTGCAGCACGGTGCTGCCCAGAAGTTTTAAGGGCTGAGGCTGCAGGATTTAGGGGTTAGGGATTCAGGGTTTCAGGGCATTTTGGGGTTGTGACAGTCTTAGCAGGGCTTTCAGGTTTCAGGGTTTGGGGCTTAGGATCGTAGAGAATGAAGCTCACAGGGCTGAGGCATTTCAGGGCTTGAGGGTTTTGGGGTTTGGGCTTTAAGATTCATGGCTGTAAGTGGGGTCTTGCGTGCATGCATTCCTTCACCCATTCATTCAAGCAGACCCGCACGTGCATACAGATGTGCATACAGACAGACAGCCAGCTAGTCAGGTCAAGGGATAGACGGACAGACAGACGGACGGACGAACAGACGGACGGACAGACAGACAGACAGACAGACATAAAAACCTACATGCACTTGTATGTTTACACATATACATATATGTATACACACATACATACACACAGATTTACCTCTACATCACATGTGCATGTTTACCTTGGGGAACACATTGAATATTAGCAGCAGCAGTAGTGCAAGTCACAGTGATTGTCACACTGCTACTGATATAGAAACTATCCAGGTTCTGTTAAGCTTCCCTTAATTACCGTTTCTTCTTCTAGAAAGTCACAGTGATTGTAATAATGCTATTGATATAGAGGCCATTAGTGGTTCTTCTGATTTTACCTTTAGGGTTTAGGGGTTTAGGGTTTAGGGTTTAGGGGTTTAGGGGTTTAGGGTTCAGGGTTTGGTTCGTTTCCTGCTTGATGTGTGAACTGGAGGCCGGCCTGCTCGACGCGCGACGACGTCGCGGCGCTGCTGAAGGCGCCTGCGCACTCCGACGGTCGCCTCTGCCCTCTTTAGGGTTTAGGGTTTGGGGTTCAAGGGGGGTTTAGGGTTTAAGGGGTTTAGGGTTTCGGGTTTAAGGGGGTTTAGGGTTTCGGGTTTTGGGGGGGTTAAGGGTTTGGAGCTTGGGACTGCGGATATGGGCATGGTGGCGGCTTTCTAGCAAGCCCGCCATGAATCCGCATGGTATTATGGGATTCCTAGGCTTCGAGACTGTAACTCTTGTGCAGGGGTTTTATACAAAGTCTTCTTAATTTTTGAAAGGGTTCTTTAATGGTTCAGGGTCGCTGCAGGGCGTGAGGGGCTCTAAACTTTGAAGGTCTGGAAGCTTGTGAATTTTCGGCATTCGTGGGATGTAGAGGTAGCGGAGGGCCGGCTGAGGATGGAGGTCGAGGATCATGTGCTGTACTTGGAGGTTCATGGGTACTTATAACTGGGGTTGTAAGTAGGGTAACTATAGTTATAAGTCCTTTTAGGGGACTTATAACCCTACTTATAACTACCCATGAACCTCCAAGTATCCGTCCAACGCGGCAATCCCGCAATCCTGCGCTCCAGGCCGTCGACTCGAAGTTCAACGGCATTACTCTGCGCTCCGGAATGGATGGGGGAAAGTGTGGTTAAGAAGGTCCCTCGAAGACCCTAAAGTAAAAGCCAGAAAGTTGGAATATGATTATCCTAAAGCCTTTATGGTAAATTATAGGGTATCCTACCCTGAAACCATATTCCAACTTTCTGGAGTTCCCTTTAAGGCTACCAGCTTTCTTTCAGGGTTACCTTGCCGTAGAGCTTAGAGCATCCGGTCTCTTAAGGACTCGGAAGGAAAGTTCGAGGATGTCGGGCTTCGTCCTTGCTGGGTCTATGCCCAGCAGTTTGAATCTTTTCAGGGGTTTTGGAGTGCTGGGGATTGCAGGTCAGATGGTCTTGAGGCTGAGATCAAAAGCAATGTCCTGATGCTCGCGACCTGCGACAGAGAGTTTTGGGCTGTTCGCCGTTAATGCGGGTAATTACCCTAAGCCCTAAACCCTAAACCCTAAACCCTAAAGCCCTCCTCCTTGAACCCGAAACGGTAGGTGGCTGTTTCTGTCGAGCTAAGAGGCCGACGGAAAGCAGCCATTTAGAAGCAGACTCGAGGGTTTTTAATCCAAGACCCTGAGGTGCGTTGGCACATACGCCTCGTCGCCACAGAACAAGGCCGGCTCAATGGACAGTCGGGTTTTAAGGGCTTTCAGTGCTTGGTTACAAGGCGCCCAAAGGAGGGTACGGGACAAGGCTTTTCTGCTGTTGGGCACTGTTGGGCTTGGAGCAATCTCCAACAGCAAGAATCCACAGAGCTTGGGCTTACAGACGTCTTGCATGTGAGGCATCCCAAGCTTCATGCGAATCATGTACTCCCATGTGTGACTGACCTCGATCCCAAAACCTGGAACGCTGCAGATCAAAATTAATAGTTATTAATGCTTCTCCTGTTCCTCATCATGACGAGAGTCTCGAGTCTAGATAGAGTATAATACGAAACCGCAAAAAAGACATGTTCTAGTTCATGCGGCCCCTATATTGAGCCACGTCTTTCACCGACAGGTTGAGGACATGGCCAAGGAATTCGCATCGCGCACGCACTTCGTGCACCTGCGGAATGTCACGAAGGCCACGGGAACCTCGGGGTCCATTCCGAGCGCGAACAATCAGCTCTAGATTTGTCCGTAGAAGTTTCAAGTTGATGCCTAATGTTTCTAAGCGCTTAGCCGAAAGCACGAACTCCTGAATCCCACTGTCTTTCCTAGATCTTGAACAGTAGGGCTTACACATCAGGCTTGAATACAAACGCGTCCCAATGAAGTTTCCCATCCACCGCGGGAACGAAACCCCAAACTGTTGGATTAGTTTGAGCGTTTTAGCCAGAATCCCTGAACCTGAACCAGGACGAAAGCCTGAACACTCATCTCAAACAGTCTTGCGCCTATAGGATATCAATCCGCAAGTCGTGAAGCCACAAGCAGGCCCGGCAAGCCCCCTGATATGTGCTGCTCTGGCGAAGTATACTGAGTTTAAGGCCTGGAAGATCCCCAAGACGCCACAACCCTGTATGCTTTAGCTTTAATATAGGGGCCTGAAAAATTCGAACAGGTTTTGGGGCCCATAATGCTCTATTTATAACTAGGGACCCCCAAAATAGTATTGGTAATTATCCACGCCCCTCTAATACGTAGCCAGGAGATGCCTCCCTCTCCGGAGACTGGACTGGGTCCTGCCGGCTGTTCCCTGGCGGCTTCAGCAAATGCCCACAATGGCTTTGTTTTTTGTCCAAGCACTGTTGTGCTTGCGTTCGGTCTGCGCATGATTTCTTGTCTCGTCGAGGTCCGAGATATGTTGTTCAGGGTTCATGGCTCTGGACTACGTACGGCTTAGGGTTCAGGGTGCACAATTGCAAGCACGCGCAAGTCCGTCGTCTGGGCCGGGCCTCCATGCGTTTCTACATGTTCAGCTCGTCGACGATGCTGTTTATGTCGGTGAGCATGGCCTTTGCTTCAGATTGTCTTCGGCGCCCAGGCACGTTCACAGAGTCCGACCATCTGGGCGGTGATGTAGACATGCTGCCTGGCTGCAAAATTAGCCACACAGTAGCATGTCTTGAAGTTATGGTTGGGCAGTAGACAGTGGCCATTACGATATCAACGACAGATAGCCAACCGGCAATTCGTAAAGGCACGTGTCGAACACCGCCTTGACTGAGTGCCTCTGATATCTGCCTTTGTCGACCATACACATATACATACATACATACATACATGCATGCATGCATGCATGCATACATACATACATGCATGCATACATACATACATACATACATTCAAAACACGCACGTCTTTACTGGTTAACCTCATTTCTGTACCAGCCATGCTGTAATGCATTAAGAGAGCACGGCTCAAGGTACTCAATCATGTTGACGATGCTCGAGGACCCAACAGTCAATGTGGTGAGTCCAGTTCTGGTATTCCACTGCCATTGCAGTTGTGATGCGTGTTCCCGCTGCATGTGTCACAGTTTTAATGCTCTTGCTGCTGATGTCGTTCTTACTACAGTTCCATGAGCACCATCATCATCATCGTCATTATCATCATCACCACCGACATCCTCCTTGTCATCGTCATCATCATCGTCATCATCATCATCATCCTCATCATCATCATCGTACACCGTCACCATTACTGCACTTTTCTGCCGTCCTTGGCATCGTCGTCATTACCATTGTCGCTGCCATCACCACATCGCGCTCACCTTCTGGAGCGTCATCGACACTACCGGCATCTTCAACCAAACACAGGAAAGTCGGCTTGAGCACGCCCTTGTAATCTACACCCTGAACCCTGTAGATCCCTTTAAGGAACCCTATATAGATCCCTTTATGGAGCCCTTTTAAGAACCCGAACCGGACATGCTTCAAACATCGACGGTTAGGAGAAGCAGCGCCGCATTCGAGAAGGCTGGGGCGACTCGGCCAACATTCCCTTCCGCCCGGATCATGGCCACAAGATGCTGGATGACATGAAGGCTGGGATGGGGGTGGGGTGGGGGTTATGTGGGAGTTGCAAGATTTTTAGAAAACCCGTGAGGCTTCTGATGCAAATGTTCGGATGGCGGAGTGCAGGTTGCCTGCGGGCCGTAAAAGAAGTGTTGCATGGTTTCAAGCCTTTTGGCATTGAGACTGAAACCCTCAACCCTGAACACTAGACCTCCAGCGCTAACCCCGAACCACGGGGAAGTGGCTGACCTCTAACTGAAGCATGTCACAAGTACAACGCGTAGCAGTGGGAGGAGAGCTGAAACCATCGTACGGGCAAAGTCATGATCTTCGAGGCAAATATCTGATAGCACCAACAATACACGCGCAAAAGAACTAGGTTTGCCAGAATGACCAGGTCAACACGAAGAGAATGTCACGCATGGGAATCTCAACATCGGTTGTTGGCATGCATTACGCCCAAAGTATAGATGGATGAGCACAGACGCACCAACCGACCCCGCATCCTTTCGAAAGACCCAGACCGGGAGTCTTAATCTGGAAGTGGGTGGTTGTCAATATTAGGGTCCCTTTTTGGGTACCCTAAATAAAAAGTGCCGTATTTTTGGAGGGACCCAAAAAGGGACCATAATTTTGGCAACCACCCAAGTCGTAAGCCCTACACTGCAAGTCCCAAGCAGCACCTGTCTTAGGGTCGTAGCACTGCGAAGTTCTAAACCCTCGAACCAAAACCCTTCATCCAAAACTCTTAGACATCCCGAAGCCACGAGGTATGTATCGTTGCCCCCCCTCCTAAGCCCTAAACCCTGAACCCCTAAAGTGTCCTGAATCCAGCAACCTGAATTTAGGGCTTTACGGTTAAGATCCTTCAGGATTTGCTGTTCAGGGTGTTGGGGCTCAGGGTTCGCGAATCCTGGCGTCCCGAGTAGAACTGGCATCGTCCTACATCGTGAATACAGAAACCCGCAGGTTACAGAATCCCTTAACCTTAGCCCCAAACCCTTAAACCCTTCACGTGCCATAGACCGAAAGGATAAAATGCATCTTTACAAGTTTTCAGTATTCCACGAAGTAAACCAGTTCTGAAGGGCCCCCTCCCATCCAGGAATCTTGATCCCAAAGGTAGGGAACGGATGGCTGCATCCCGGAAGACAGAAAGAGTTGGAGCAGCGAAATCACGTTTGTTGACTGCTTGCACTGTAGTAGAGCGGTACGGCTTCGGACAACGAGAACATTCGGTTTTCCAAAGTATTTCCTCGCCGCATGACAGACGGATGACATGTTTGGAACATTAATTGTGGGGCATCTCAAACACGACGACATGCTAGACTACACGCACAAGACCGGCCGTCCATAACATGATTAGGTCACCCAGGAGCTTACCTGCCTAAGCAGTAGCCCTTTACTAGCAACTGCTAATTGCCTCGAACTCCTCGGACCCATAAGCAAAGTTACCTTCCTAGAGACTGTAGGGCCCCATCCGAATGGGTAGTCCCTTTCTGGGTACCCTAAATATTAGGTGCCGTACTATATCAGGGACCCAAAAAGGGGCCCAAATTTTGACAACCATCCGAATCCTTTTGCCGAAGCCTGTGCCACCGGTCAGGGCAAGAAGACGAATCCGGGCTACACCTGCATCGGAAGGCTCAGGGGCCTTGCGGAGCTCCGCGGCCTCCAGGCGCCTTCTGCATCGAAGTGCTTGGGGCTTCGGGGTTTCGGGGGGTTTAGGGGGTTTGGGGTGTAGGGGTGTAGGGTTTTGGGGTTTAGGGGGTTAGTCAGGAGTGTAGGGTTTAGGGGGTTAGGGGGTTAAGGGTTTAGGGGCTTAGGGTTTAGGGTTTAGGGGTGTAGGGTTTTAGGGGTTCTAGGGTCTAGGGGCTTAGAGTTTAGGGGCTTGGGGTTTAGGGTTTTAGGGGTTTTAGGGTTTAGGGGCTTAGGCTTTAGGGGCTTAGGGTTTAGGGTTTAGGGTTTAGGGGTTTAGGGGTTTAGGGGTTGGGGGGGTTTCGGGGGTTGAGGGGGTTAGGGGGTTAGGGGGTTAGGGGGTTCAGGGGTTCAGGGGCTTAGGGTTTAGGGGCTTAGGGTTTAGGGGTCCGGGGGTTAGGGTTTAGGCTTCGGGACTTGGAGTTCCTTCTCGTCTGGTCTCGCCCGGGTGATGCCAATGGTGACGGTGATGCTGACCATGACTATGATGATGATGATATGATGATGATGACGATAGTGGTGATAACTATGAGAAGGGGTGTGTGAATTTGTCTCTGTGTGTGTGTGTGGTGAAAGGGGAGTGGTTCATGGTGACCAAGACTACGACATGAAAGACGTCGGTGCTAGGACGGGACCGAGGACGACGAATCCTCTGAGTTGCTGCGTGTCGTCTCTTTCAGTTTGTGATACCTTTATCCTTGCTCCTACGATTTCGACTGTAGTTACTGTTATCTTTAAGGCCGCTTATCATTGGTATCGCTGAGATGTTCACTGCAGTTTCTGCTACTCAGAGTGAAAGCTGACATAGCAGTACCGACAGCGCTGGAGTTGGCATTGTGCCACCATCCTTATGCCATCGCTATTATTGTCTGGTGGCAACATAACATACTCCTAAGCCCTGCTTGAAGCCCTGATCCATGACTGGCTTCTTCCTTGATGTACCCTGCCCGACCCCTAAGCCCCGAAGCCCCACAGCCGCCCCCTCAACTGGGCTCTCAACTCGACACTCCGGGGCTGAATCCGCGATTTTCCACGAGACGTAAAGACTACACTATAAAACCTCGGACCCCCACACCGACATCCGTGAAGTCCTAAAGCCTTGCATCCTAAAGCTAGAGACTCTTGTAACCCGTAGAGACGCTAAGGCCTTTCAGGTGAGGTTCTTGGGTAGTTTAGGGAGATAGTGACAAAGGTTGCCATCGCCAGCAGCGGTGTCGTCAAGGCCGAGAAATAAGGTTACTGCATGCTACTACAAAAACCCTAGGGCCCTAAACCCTAAACCTGAATCCTAAACCCTATAAACCCCATAAACCCTGAACCCTATCCGGGGCGCAGGGGTTTGGAAGGTCAAGGGGTCAAAGCAGAAATCCCCCCGGCTGGCGGAGCAGTCCCAGGGGCTGCACGTACACCCGTCATGTCGCCCTAAAGACTTTCCCACACTTTAGGACAAGCCGTGCTTCTTGTGGGGTGCGTGGCCAGGCCGGCCACCCCACCACCACCAAGCCCCAGATTCCTTCCAAGCCTCTAGGTCCTTTGCGGAACTATGCGACAGCAACCCTCACGCCATACCAAAAACGAATAAGGTCATGTCTCAATAGCGGACGCGTTGATTGATTCCGGTGCCATAGAAAATTCAAAACCGGTCTCAGAACCCAAGAGCTCTAGACCGGACTAGGGGGGGGTTGCACAACTGCATGCCCGAACACCCTAACCCTAAACCATTCATGAACACCCGAAACTCTAAACCCTGAGCCATTCATGAACACCCGAAGCCCTAAAAGGTCCTCAAACCCCAAACACGACAGTACTTGGAGGTTCACGGGTAGTTATAAGTGGGGTTATAAGTAGGGTTACTATAGTTATGACTCCTATTAAAAGACTTATAAGCCCAATTATAACTACCCATGAACCGCCGAGTAGCCTTGAGAGGCGGCGTCGGAGACGCCAAGCGCGAAGAAGGCGAGGACAAGCTGAGGTCGCCTGCCGTGGAAATGGAAGGTCAAAGAACAGACTTGGAGGTTCTGGGTAGTTACGAGGGTTCCTTTAAGGGTCCCTTTAGTAGGGATCTATAGGGATTCTTGAAGGTATAGGGGTTTAGGGACTACTTGGAGGTTCATGGGTAGTCATAAGTGGGGTTATAAGTCCCCTAATAGGGGTTATAATTATAGTTGCCCGACTTATATCCCACATGTAGCTACGCATGAACCTCCAAGTACTGTTGCGTTTCGGGTTTAAGCTGCATGATCTCAGATGGGGGCGAAGTGTTGTCCTGGTCCTGGGGTTCGGGGTGTCCAGTTGAGAGATCAGGATGTATTGGTCTGTTGGGGCCATCAGATGCAGTGGTGTCCACCAATACTTGGAGTGGGTAGTTATAAGTGGGGTTATAAGTAGGGTAGCTATAATTAGAACCCCTATTCGGGGACTTATAACGCCACTTTAATTACCCTAAACTCTAAGCCCCTATACCGTTATAGAATCCCTCTAGTTCCCTTTAAAGGGGCCCTTAAAGGAACCCTTATAACTACCCATAAAGTACACTCAACAGCGCGAGCCCCGACATTCCATCCCGAGTTCGGAAGTCGAGATCCGAAGTCCCAGAGGGTAAATGGATGGTTGTCGAAATCAGGGTCCCTTTTTTGGGTCCCTTATATAGTACGGCACCTAATATTTAGGGTGCCCGAAACGGGACCTTAATTTTAACAACTACCCAAATCCTATATACACTGATAAGCGCCCGAAACCCCGAACTAAACCACTTTCAGAGTTGTGCTCTGGGGGGTTTGTGTAGAGTTTAGGGTGTTTGAGGGCTTTTAGGTTTAGGGTTGCTGGGCTGAGGGCTCTGGGCAGAGACCAGAGACGACAATAATCTGACAAAACACTCTCCAGCAGACTGAAAGGGAACCCTAAACCCTAAACTTCTCTTGACATGGGGTTTTAGCAGCTGGTCCTTCCTGAGAGGCGAGTTTTCCGAGGTCGCGAATTAAAACACGCAGTCCTCGAAGGTGCATCAACACTGGTCTGAGGCTCCGTGGGACATCTCCCTCTTACGCCGACGTGGAGGTTCATGGGTAGTTATAAGTAAGGTTATAAGTCCCCTAATTGGGGTTATAAATGTAGTTACCCTACTTATAACCCCCCTCATAACTACCCATGAACCTCCAAGTAGGCCCTGAACCCCGAAGACATCCCCAGGTAAGCAACAGACTTCGGCTGATCCTTTGCCGGCTAATGGCCACCTCCGGCATCACGTCTCAAGTGCTCAGAAGAGTGGAGCGCGATCCCGGTGTGCTCAGTCCCTAAGTTAGGGTCCCAGTTTGGGTCTACCAAGGAAAACATCAACCAAAACAAAGACCCCAAGATTGGCCCTGGTTTTAGAGAGCTACCCGCGTGTGCTCTCTTAGTGAGAGCTTTGACACACATTTTGCCCAGTTTGCGAAGCTCTGCCTGCGCTTTGAAGCAGGGAGAAGCGGACAAACTGTCTGTCGGAGTTCCGGGAGCCTCGGGAGGTAGATCGTGTGTACATGTTATCCTGGTGTAGACACAGATGCGAGTAGAAGTAGACGGAATACATACATCCGTATATGCATCCGTATATCCATCCATCCATGCATCCATTCATCCATGCATGCATGCATCCGTGCATCCATGCATCCATGCATATGTATCCATGCATCCATGCATCCATGCATGCATACGTACACCATATGCATACATATACATACGCATATACATGTACATGTACATAGACATAGACACGTACACATACAAATATATGCACTTGACATGTATGTATGCATCTAGATATACTTGCAGATACCTACACATGTCTATATCCATAATATCTCTATCCCTATCCGGATCCGTAAATATGTCCGTAACCGTATCTGTATCCGTATATATCCATCTCCATCTCCATGTCCATGTCCATCCATGCATGCATGCATGCATGCATGCATGCAGGTATCTATGTACATATACTCTTACACATGCAGATACACATGCACATTTTCATTTACATACACATACATTCATTCATACATATGTAGTATACGAGAAAGCCAGCATTGCGAAGATCCCTACAACATGGGTTTGAAGCACATGTGCAGGTTAGATAGGGTGCCTTTTGTGCTACCGCGGCCGGAATTCGGCATTTTCTGTGCGGCTGCGTGCCGGTGCGCCGGCATAGAGACTCAAAGACGGATGTCCAGCAGTGAGGCAAAGAGTTTGCGGCAGAGTGTTCTAGCGTTGTTGTCCTGACTGTCAAGATGAATTCCTCGTGATGATGAAGGTGTTGGTACGTTTCGTAATATAGGGGGCCGAAATGATTACCAATACTATTTTGGTGGTTCCTTTTTATAAGTATAGAAAAAACGGGCCCTAAAGCCCTATTCTAATTACTAAGGCCCCTATATTAGATCACCTTAAGAGTCATCCTCACTTCTAACACTGCGGTACTTACTACTACTGGTACTCACCAGCAGTGTCAAGCTCTACCGACTAGATGCTACCATCTGCAAAGCTCTGGCCTTATATATTCGCGGTTCAGGACTCGTTCGACATCGACTACCAGGCCACGGTGAACTGCGTAGAGGCCCTTGGGAGAGAGGGAACCTGATCTTCGGCGCAGTAGGAATCGATGGTGCTGATTTTGTGAACTTGGACTGTCATGATTTTGTTAGTACCTTCGTCAAAAGGCCACTCCTGCTCCAATACACCGCGATGATGGTATATCTTATATAAATACGTAAATCGGTTATATACATACATATGTATATGTATATGTGTATGTAGACATACACACGTACACATACTTGTCTTGCGATATTGCAAAGTAGTATTGTCTCTATAAATCCACCCTGCATCAGTTCAGGGCAAAAGAGTGCTCAAGCAGGAAGTAGTCGGATACCGCCTTGCGGGACATAGATGTTCCCGTCGCACTCTTGGGATTCGGCATGGTTAGGCCTGCAAAGAGGGTTCAGGGTATGCAGAAATCCACGTGGAAGGGGGGGGGCTTGACTACAGACTACATTACAGTAAACCCCATAAAGTTGGAAACCGGAGTAAGGCCAAATAGTGCTGGGATTCCCCATACATTACTCTTCAGGATTGAGGCTACGGGGTTTCCAACTTTGGGCTTCGACTGTAGGCCATTCCGAAGACAGGGTTTCGGGGGATAGCTCAAGCCACAAGCACCCAACCTCGCAAATCCTCAACCGGCAGCGCCTAAATCCTCCCAAATCCCGAGACTCCATAAAGCCCTAGATCCAGAACCCCACGCCTCTGAACCCTCAAACCCCCTAAACCCCCTAAACCCCAAACCCCCCTAAACCCCTATGCCCCTAAACCGATAACCCGTAAACTGTTGAACTCTGCAGCCATCGATCTTCCAAAGAAGAGGCGTCGAGAAAGGCAAACCTCGACCAGTTTGTGCTCCTTTCCGCCGTCTGTCCGGGGACCCGGAATCTCGGAAGGGTCCGGTTTCTTTTTTAGATCATGTTGGAGCTTGGAATAGTTACCAATACCATTTTGGGGGTTCCTTGTTACAGTTATAGTATACTGTACCCCCAGACCCTTTTCTAATTGTTGAGGCTCCTACATTAGGTTCATGGGTTTAAATGTCAGCTTTTGCTATACGTTTGGGCCCAAAGGGTTTTGACCACTCACTACCGCCGTTTGATTGTGTTTGTCTTCCGACACGGCTACCGGCTCAAGCCCCGTACAAGCGTGCTAAACTAGCTACTAGCACGGCTTTTCTGCTCCCAACATGGCTCTCCGCGCCCTCTTGATGCTCCTGCTTGCACCTGCTGCTGCTGCGCTCGCGCCGGATGTCCCTGCATCTGAGTGGTGTGCCTGGATCCCATTCAGAGCACTTGAGTATGTCGACGACTGCCAGGCAAACAGCACAGCCGCGACCAGCCCGGTTCAGGTTACGGAGGGCTGTGTCGATTGGTGCCTGTGGGTGCCAGGGCCGACATGGAACAGCATCGAGGTCTGCCACCATTGCGTGTCCAGCACAGATTCACCTGCGAATGCCACAGTGGACAACGGCACCGAGCCGGCGAACACTTCCGAGACTGCAACGATCGGAGAGCCGAAGCCAGAGAGTGCACCAACCAGCCTGAGGGGCAAATCTCTGAAGTCTTTCGCCGGCTACCCGAGCTGGTGCAGCACGATCCCATGGGGAAGCTTGCAGTATGTGCCCGATTGCCGCGGCTACCGTGGCTCGGACGTCGCTGTGTACTATGGTCCCTACTGTGCGAGTTGGTGCCAGTGGGTTCCAAGCCCTTCGTGGCAGTACGTCTCTTCTTGCGAGCGCTGTGGTGGGCAGCCGGTCGGGGTGCCAGTCGGACCGTACAGCGGCGACTGTGCAAGCTGGTGCCAGTGGGTCCCAATGCTCTCCTGGCAGTACACGTCTGGCTGCTCCGGCTGCTTCTGATTTTGATGGCCAGCTTTTGCCACTAAGCGAACGCTCCTACTGTAAAGGTCTCGGGGGATGCGAAGACTTAGAGACAGACTTTTGCATCAGGCTCGGCTGAGGGCACGTTACAGAGTCCCAGCACAAAGGACCTAAAGAGGCCACATGTACAGGCGCCATCTCCGACGCAAGCGCAGCCTCGTGTCAAAATGCGCCTCCCTGCCACATGCTTTCAGCGCTTCAGTGGCGGGGCTCTTTGTGCCTATAGGTGCTGACGGAATCAGTAGAATTTGGCATGAGCTAAGATGTCTACAGAGACGTACAACAGACAAGGACGACTTATGCTCTGACTAGGTGCCTGGATCAAGCTAATTTCGACATGGAGGTGGTTTCTGGTGTCCAGAGTTTGGAAAGTGTAGCTTCTTGTGTTGCGAAGCTGAAGTTGGTCGAAAAATCATCCAGTTCCTGCGGTCTGCGCCCATTGATTGAGTGTGACGCAGAAGCAAGACGGTTCGAAGATTGTTCGAAGCCCCACAGAAGCTGTACGAGGACAGCTGTTCTGCTCCCAACATGGCTCTCCGCGCCCTCTTGATGCTCCTGCTTGCACCTGCTGCTGCTGCGCTCGCACCGGATGTCCCTGCATCTGAGTGGTGTGCCTGGATCCCATTCAGAGCACTTGAGTATGTCGACGACTGCCAGGCAAACAGCACAGCCGCGACCAGCCCGGTTCAGGTTACGGAGGGCTGTGTCGATTGGTGCCTGTGGGTGCCAGGGCCGACATGGAACAGCATCGAGGTCTGCCACCATTGCGTGTCCAGCACAGATTCACCTGCGAATGCCACAGTGGACAACGGCACCGCCGAGCCGGCGAACACTTCCGAGACTGCAACGATCGGAGAGCCGAAGCCAGAGAGTGCACCAACCAGCCTGAGGGGCAAATCTCTGAAGTCTTTCGCCGGCTACCCGAGCTGGTGCAGCACGATCCCATGGGGAAGCTTGCAGTATGTGCCCGATTGCCGCGGCTACCGTGGCTCGGACGTCGCTGTGTACTATGGCCCCTACTGTGCGAGTTGGTGCCAGTGGGTTCCAAGCCCTTCGTGGCAGTACGTCTCTTCTTGCGAGCGCTGTGGTGGGCAGCCGGTCGGGGTGCCAGTCGGACCGTACAGCGGCGACTGTGCAAGCTGGTGCCAGTGGGTCCCAATGCTCTCCTGGCAGTACACGTCTGGCTGCTCCGGCTGCTTCTGATTTTGATGGCCAGCTTTTGCTACTAAGCGAACGCTCCTACTGTAAAGGTCTCGGGGGATGCGAAGACTTAGAGACAGACTTTTGCATCAGGCTCGGCTGAGGGCACGTTACAGAGTCCCAGCACAAAGGACCTAAAGAGGCCACATGTACAGGCGCCATCTCCGACACAAGCGCAGCCTCATATCAAAAAGTGTCGCAGCTCGAAAGCCCCTATGCAAGCAAATTTCCTATAGGTCCTATATGAACAGCTTCAAGTCTTTCAGCTTGTAAAGACGGGTCGTATGATCTTGCCAGCAAATATCACCAAACTCTATCTTCCTTGAACCCCTTAATCTCAAACCCTAAACCCTAAACCCCTCGATCCTCGTCTGAGGTGTGCAGCGGCCGCTCTTGGCTTTCCAAGAGGCCAAGCTTCAGGCGGAGGTGCGGGAAGTTTTGTGAAGCTCGTAGAAGTAGCAGTAGTAGTAGTAGTAGCAGTAGTAGCAGTAGTAGCAGTAGTAGCAGTAGTAGTAGTAGTAGTAGTAGTAGTAGTAGTAGTAGTAGTAGTAGTAGTAGTAGTAGTGGTAGTAGTAGTTGTTGTTGTCGTCGTCGTCGTCGTAGTAAGACCTACCTGGACCCTAAAAATATCTACCTGTTTAGGGTTCCTTGTTATGATTTCTTTGCTTCTATATAAGTCCTTGGAAAGGTACCTTATTCGAAATCCAGGTAGAGCTGAGATTCCAGAGACCGGGTGTGGAATAAACTCCCAGGCTTCGAGTTGTTGTTTCTTCTCGGTTTTTCTGT